CCAAAGTTCAGACAAAAATTAAATACAGGAAGGCCCTGGATATCACCCTGTCCAGTGCCTGAATTAACAGAGAACCAATCAGACTTTCACCATTAACCCTGACAGCACTCATGGTTCCGTTGAAAAATGCCTGAAAGAATGTGAAAGATTCTAACATATTTCTCAGGAAGTCCATAGTGTCTCATGCTTGACCGAATAAACTCTCTTCTGATGGAATTAAATGCTGCCTTAAAATCAATGAAATTAACATAAAGTGGAATGTTAAACTCAATTCAGTTTTGAATAATTTCGATCGAGCATCGCCCAAAGTAAAAAAGTAAGTAAGTTGTGAATAATGGTGCGGGTGGAATAAATCTGATCAATACATGAGCGGTTCCGTCTGAACCTACACTGATTTTCCCTAAGAAGACACTCCATTCCAACATCCAGCCTCTTAAGGGGACATACACAAAAACCTTTTATGCCGTGGCCCTGTAGTTAACTTCATATTTAGAAAGTATACATAAAAACAATAAGAATAAGATGTGGTACATTATAAGAGCACTCACTTTCGAAAGAATAAATATTTTCTTTTTCGAAAGTTTTGGAAATTTTGAAAAGTTTGTCACTGTAATACCGATATTTTAGTCATTTTAAACGTTTTTTGGCTGTTTAAAAAAAATGAACATTACTAATACTTACAATCCGTACAAGAAGCCCTTGAAAGGATTATATAATTGAACAATAAATGACGAAGGTACAGACAAAACAAGCTCGAAAAAAGAAAAATTGAAATTTTTGCCTACTTCTAAAGTTATACATTTACATTTCACCAATCACCCGGATCAGCAGATATCGCTTCAAAAATTCTTGTGAGTGTAGCTGATGATCATATCAAACTTTTTGGAGTAGGATTTCTCTCAGATTTGAGTTTTAAGCTAAGAAATGTGGTCTCAAACGACTTAGTAAAATTCATCGTAAAAAAGAGCAACAAATGGCAGATTTAAGGCTTAAAATGCCTATAGGTAACTCAAAAAGTATCAGTTTTTTGGAAATAATTTATACAGAATCGTAATCAGCTTGATAAGACGAATTTTTTACTTTTATACGTTCATTATGTGTGATCAAGTGATTGGGTTGAGGCTAGATCCGCATTATGGGAATCGTGCAGAGAGCCCAATTACGATGTCGTAATTGGGTAGGGACAGGGTAATCATTGATTACCCAATCAATTTTGCTAACGAGATAAACAAATTGCTTAATAACTTCGTCATTTTAAATCCGTTTCGCACCATCTTTTTTACCTGGGGACCTCAGGGCTCAGGCTATCATGTTCATGAATAGAGATTCATCACGAATAGAGATTCGGCGGAATGACAGGCTGAGCGCGGCCTAGTAACATCTTTTCTGATTATATTCCGGATTAAATGATCTATTGCAATATGTTACAACGGAGTCTCTAACATGTTCATAAACACGAGTATAAGCAATTCAATGTTGATTGGGTATGCAGGCCCCCAAAAATCGAATTTTCAAATTAAGTTATTAAGTTAATTTTTATTATACTTATAGGGGTCATACCCTCCTGGCTTGCCTGGGGCTGGAGGGACTTTTCAACTCAAATGCAATTTAAAATATAAAAGAGAAAACGTGGTTAAGACTGTATTTTTGCCCTAAGTTGGGAAATTAATTTTACTCAGCCTACGCCCTACGGAAATGAAATCATAGACTCGCATCCACAGAATTGCTCTAACCAGATAACTATATATAAGCGCTCCTAGTCCTACTAGTACTAAATCGCTCGCCCAAATTTTAAGAAAATTCTTGTGAAAAGGCCCTTTAGGCATGAAAGTGATCATTATCGGTGTATTTTTGGACGCTGATTCCGAATCACCCCCCATGACGTAGGGTTAAAATGCTTCCCTGTAGAGTTATGGGCAAAAAACCGTTTTGGTCACGTGACAGGCTAGTAAAACGTGAATTCGATTATTTAGGGCTCGGGTTAGGGTTAGGGTTGTGGTTAAGATTATGGATAGCTTCGGGGTTATGGTTAGGGTTAGGGTTGGGATTAGGGTTTATGTAAAACCGTTTTGTACGGCTGCAAAACCAAAAAAACCAAAGTCACGTGAAATTTTTCGGCGAGTGATTTAGTAAGATCAGCCATATATAAGCAGTAAGAGCCTCCGCGCTTGCAGTAGTATAGCAGTAGTATAGCGCCCGCCGTAGTAGTTATAGTTAGGTGAATCCACAGACCACATCAGCTCCCGTATAGGATTATGTAAATCAAAATATTTCATCTTTCGTCGCCTAGACCGGACTTACAGAGATCTATTCATTATTCTAAATCCAGTCCCTTGTATATGAAATAATATAAATATACATTAATATACAGGGGGAGCCAAACGTCAGTGCACATACGTTACTGTTAGGTCTTATAGTTATACCACCCTCATGTTTCATATCAGACATCAATTTGCCAGGTCGAGGTTTAAAAGAACTCATTTTACTTCCTCGCCAGTTAAGGTAGTCGTATTCTCAATGTAATTGTTTCTCCGTTAACAAGCTTTGCTCCAGCAGTTCAATGCAAGTTTGTGCACTGAATGTGAAGTACGGCAGCGTTGTATAGGTCGAAACATCAGCGGATGTATGCAAATCAGACGTGGATGTACTAAAAACACGTTTACGCACTGGTGTAGAAGGAAGTGACTTACGTTGGAATCAGGAATGTAGCTAGTGCTACCTCTCCAGTCTCCATGAGGCAGCGAGGAGGGTGTCGTGATACAGCGTTTATAGGTACAGCGCTACAAATACTGTCGGATGACCCACCCTCAAAGTCGGGAAGATTGCACATGTTTGAATCAACTAAAACAAGACTATACAAAGAAAGCGAGCTAGCTAGATGAGCAAGAAATAACGATGCGAAATAGATAAGGTTAACGGCTGTACTGATGCGAAATAGATATTGATAAGGTAAACAGCTGTATTGATAAGGTAAACAGCTGTACTGATAGATAAGGTAAACGGCTGTACTCATAAGGTAAACGGCTGTAATGATAAGGTATGAGTAAGGAACGATCCTACCAACTCCATCTAGGGGATGTTTAAAAAATGAACTCCATTCTGGGATGGACTACCGGGACAGAACCCCATATTTAAATGTTAGATTCTAAGGCTTCCGGTATGGACACAATTTTGATCTAGTCGTCGAGCTGCGTCCGTCTCATAGACCCAAAGAATGAATTATGCAACAAACTGCGGCAAATTTTACAAAATTAATAGCAGTGACTCATTGTTATAAGTGTGGTCGTGGCGGTGGATGTAATGTGTAATGACAATGAGCTTGAAGTTAGACTTGTTCGACTATAATTGCTCTCTAATACTAAGCTTAGAGTTAATGTTACTGGGCGGCGCTCAGCCTGTCATTCCGCCGAATCTCTATTGTTAATGAACATGATAACCTAGGGTCCCCAGGTAAAGTTAATGTCAATGGTACTATGTCGCTTGAGTTCTGGAGCTTTCTTGATGTATTTCAGGGGGACTGTCTGTCTGGGTGCCTGTTAGTAGTATGTGTATACACAATACTATATTGTGTATACACATACTACTCCTGTCTACCCCTGTGCTGATTGGAGCCTTGTGTGACCTCAGAATTCAATTACCGAACTCGGACTTGCCCTAGACACAAATGACCTTGTCACGTTACTGAGGCACTGCTGCATACAAGTGCCGCAGACGTGTGCCGCAATAACGCAATAACGTGACAAGGTCGTCTCCCTAGATAGTATATAGTTATACTGAGTAGCGAGTACGCTGATGATGTTGACTTCAATGACGAAGAGGAAGAAAACTTGATAACTCTTTTGCCAACAGCAACTGTGAACTGAGATTCACAAAGATTTACAAAGATTGGAACCTCTTTGTCAACGAAGATAAAAAAGACTTCACGCATGTTTACTTAGCAAAGTCAAGTGAGAAAGACGAGCAAGGTAAATTGATTGCTGGCAATGAATTACGGAGAAAGAGCACCACACTCGGTTCCATGTTACAATGTAGCAAGGAAGAAATCACTCGGCGGATTAGTCTACGTTATGCTGCTTTCAACAAGTATAACAAAGCCTGGAACAACAAGATCCCTTTGGACAACAGACTTCTGCTGTATGAGGCACTAGTTGTTTCTGTTATGAGAGATAACTCTAGCTGCAAGTCAGTATTAGAGAAACTTGATGTTGTTCATAGTCGTCATCTTGATCTAAGAAACATTTTGAATTATCGTTACCCTAACATTATTTCTAACGTTAACTTGTATAAACGCTGTAATGCGGAACCATTTACCATTGTCAGCAAGAGTGGACATAAATCGATGGAGAATGTTGGGTCATGTTTTACGTGGACCTACTGGTGGTCCAGACTATAATACTAATAGTAATAGCTCGCTTGTATTTGCTATTAACACTGCAGTACCCAGGGCGAGTCGGACGACCGCAAACTAACCTGTTTTCGTTGATTAAGTGTGATTTAAGTGACTGTAATATTTTCTTGAATAATTTAAGTGATCTTTCTTATTTAAGAAACTTAGCGTTGAACAAAGTTCTTTGGAGAAGATTTCAATTTAATAAAGATTTACTTTCAGTAATTTTTGAGAAAGATTAGGCAGCAGCGTTGTTAAGATTTTAGCCATCTGTTGCTTAGAACTTTAGTATATATATGCAGTGACTATGCCGGCGCTTATAATTCAGAGAGCATCCCTTCAAGTCGGCCTTCTGGACTGCAGAGAAAGAGGTACAAATGAATCAATCGTAATACTATCTTAGAAATTGTCATAAAAACAATCTTTACATGTATTGTATTTTACAGTTATAAGTTATAACATTTCACATGCTTTTCGGAGAAAACAGTCGCAATCATCATCATTTAGAATCACCACAACAAGGTTGTAGTCAAATCAGACTCCCATTTATGATCTTTCCGCTCAGACACTACTTGTACTACTTTATAAAAGATAAAAATTTCAAAATAAAAGATCGACCACTAGATCATATCATCCGAAATCGTAGAAACACCGACCACATGAAATTCGGACCTGTCGTGTGCTGAACATTGTAATCGAACATATAATTGTTAAAAGTATAAAATGTAAAATATGATATAAACTATCTCTCTGTTTGGTGGATAAGAGAAACGTCCACTGGTATACTCAAATCCTCTAAAATCTTCAACAGGCCCATAATCTCGTCCAACATAGAGTCCTGTTTAAAGATGCCGGTGTTGTCGTAGCATTTGGAAGCAGCAAGACTCTGGCTCATCATGTAGAACCAGCGGTGCAGGACTCCTTCTCGGACACCGAGACAGATCAGGGTTTGGAACTTTCCATCCAACCCAACACTGAAATGAGAAACTGAGTAATTAATTTTGTTCACTAAAAGTTTTGTATGCTCCTAATCTAAACTTTACACGGTCTGATTTAATTTTTGAATCCGAGTATTATGATTTAAACTGTGTATCTAACTTAAACTATCTGGAACCTACAGACCATACAAAAACAACTATTCACAAGAGGTATAATGAATATACACCTTGGTTTTCAGGAGGGATTTATTTCAGGTGTATCAGAGTTAATAGGATTAGCTATGACCAGCTCATCAGTTTCAGCAGGGATAGGTTGTGTAGCCTCTCTTTCCAGCCTAGCTGCACACTTCTCTACCTCTTCAGACAGATCTAACCTGTTTATCATCACACAACTAACAACTATAGCCACTCCCTGTTCCACTGTCATTGCCACAAAGAAGGCTGTACAATTCATATCGGTTTTAAGAACTAGCAAAAACATAAGTGGGAGACCTACAAGGCACGCGCTTGAAACCGTTATAACTGATATAATATTAGCTTTACCAAACGCGAAAAGTATGCCTCCTCCGATAAGTTCCTGGATGCTGCTCAGAGTTATCATGACAGCGTACACGTAGCCACATTCAATCAGACTGGATATTACAGCGGTATCCTCGGTAACCAGACGATAATACCACAGTCTCGTTAGAAACATGATGACAAGGAAACAAATCCGTTCAGCTACCAAGTTGATGGCACTCAATCTTATTTGGTACTGTATCTTGGCCACATCTTTAGATCCCAGAGCGTTTCCGATCTGGATGACAGAGGTGAAAGCTATGGCTGCAGCACCCGCTATGGAGAAACCGTAGTAGTACAGCGAAATAGTGATCACTTCGACGGTTACCCTTCCTCTGACTTGACTTAGAAATATAGAAAGAAAGAAAGTTATCGTGGTGAAAAGGAGCATAATCCCACCAGCAATACCTATCTTAATCATCTGCCACCAGTTTTGAAATATCCGTCTAGTTAACAAGTGCCTGAAGTTAAGATGCCACTTCACTCTATTTTGAAACAGCGTCATCATTGACATCAGAATGGTTAAAAGTCTGCTAACAAGGATACTGAAAATTATACCTTCACTCTTCATTTTGAAGAGCACGACAGAAACATAGCAGAGTATTGTCTGAATCGCAATCAAAATAGCAGTAAAACCATAAACGGTCATCATTGCTTTCTTGATGATGAAAAACTTGAAGAACACCTTTACAACGTAATCAAGCAGGCACAGTCCCATGGACATCGCCAGGAACCTCTCAGCAATGTCCTTGATATCTCCTGATTCTTCACTGTCATCAAGGAGGGGTATATATCGAAGAGAATAAAACATGGCAACAAAAAGAGGCGATAACAAAAGGAAGGCTACACATCCCTGCAGTAGAATCTTAACCATAAGTACACCAAGTTCACTGTATTGTGCTCTAGCACATAGCTGAGGCCCATAGACATCAAATATTGAGGAAAAGCCGAGGAGTAAGAAATTAACCACAATTGGTAACATGGCACCTAGACCTATACCCGCTAGATACTGGTCGCCCATGTACCCAGCAAACAGATTAATCAAGTTTATCTCCCCCATAGTACTCAATATATAGAGCCAAATAGGTAAGCAGATTTTTAGAAACGATAATTCGTCTGCAAGGACTTTTTGAGCCGTTTCCATTTTTCCTCCTTGCGTTCAACAGTGGTCTACTCTTGTAGCAAAAAAAGAAAAGTTTCCAAACACAAGATGAACAGTTGAACTAGAGACCAATTAGACTATGCCATTACCTTTAACTCGACCGCTTGTACAATAAAGACGAGAGCTCATGGAAATTTACCTTCCCAAACATACGTTACACGGTATACAGCATAGTACAATAATTATTGTGTTGTTAAGTTGCTCCGTTCCTTATTACTATTTAAAGTACACATGGTGCTCATTAAACCACCTCAGTCATTAACTTTTACTCATATTCTTTTGTCCAAGGACTGAATTTCAACTTTACGAATGACTGTTCTAATATAAGTAAAGCGTTTAAATAATATGTACTGAGCCAACAAAAGAACACTCGTCTGTACGCCATTATTGAAAACTGGCGAGGAGTGCCAACAAAGCAGGTATGAATAAGGAAGGAAGTGGACTACCGACTGGTTGTCTGACTGGGTATTGGGTATAAATCCCTGGACTTGCGATGTATGAAATATCGACGAAATCTCAAAGCCTCTCATAATGTCTGGGATGGTAACCAAATAAAGAAATCAAATGAAAAACTGTGATTTGTAGTTGTACGGACAATTATTTTCTTATTGAAGACATTTGTATAATTCATATACTAGATGAATCCTTTTCAAACACGTGATAGCCATTAACCTATCAGCTTTAGAAAGCGATCAATCAAATCACAGAACCACTGTCACGTGTGAAACAATATATAGTTCACCTCCCAAATCCCTATAAAATTCCATTATCGCCAAGTCTACTAAGACAATTTGAATTTCGTATACTAAGAAAAAGGTAAAATAAATTTATAAAAGGTCTAACCTGTTAGAACTAGGTCTCATGAGAAGCTGGACACACTTCACAAAGCTCTGGATAGCAGGCTGGTCAGGATGACACGTGTTCACTTCGGACACCTCCAAATACACCTTGTGCACAAACTCCCAAACCAGGGGGGTTCCCCTGTTGAACCGGGAAATGGGGCGCAACCCCGCACTTAGCAGACCCTGTAGAGCTGGGACTAGTCCCTGTTGACCACAGAGCAGTGTTACTAGCGTTCCTGGGGGTATCGGCATGTTATGTCTCTGGTTTTAAACATTTAATCAAATTTATGTGACAATTTTCGACAATGCACCACAAGAGTTCTTGGCCAGATTACTGACACTAATTCTACAATAACATCAGAAGTGGTACTTCTGCTTCAGAAGATGTACTTCTACTTGTGCAAGCAACGAACCATCGGATTCCTGACTACGATATCTGTGTCTAACGAGAGAGTTGACAGCAGTAGCTAGCATCTCCTGAGCCTTGACAGTGCCGTCTACTCGTAGTGAGGAGGGGAATCGCGGAGGGGACCGGTCTGCAAAAGTACATGGTCAGCTTATCAAGACTATAACTACTAACTAGCTCAATATAAATTATTAGCGCCAAAACAAATTTGAATCGCGTGACTTTTATGTAAACAGCAATATAACAGAGAGATTGAAATTTATTTTATAATGAAAGGTTGAACGGAAAGAAGTACTTCAGCGGTTAGCAGGCACTTGTTTTACAACAGCAGAGGTACAAATCACAAAGATATTGCAGCGTGTGAAGATTTGTGAAGCATTTTGTGGTTTAATGAATATGAAGGTGGCTGGGACAGCGCGAAGGTGAAGCAAGGAAGCTAAAAAGGAGTTATAGTGGTCACGTAGCAGAGGTACAACAAGCACGACCAATGGGTACTGAGGAATATCTTACCGTTCATCAACAACGTTAGGTCTTGTTGGAAACTCTCCGTCAAACTTCCAACCAAGGTCGGACTTTCAGCTGTAAGTTTGTCGTACAATTTGTGTTCTGGTCCGATTACTACATTTGCGCAAACGATACATTTATTTGAATTTTGTGTGGTGCTATTTTGTGTGGTATGTACATTTTGTTTGAGGATTTAGGCTTATTGCGAGGCTGATGTCGTGGATCGAATGTTCATGTTAACATACTTTTAGTAACATTTCTCAAATAATCTTTAAACGGTCCACCAAAAAAGATCTTTACCTTTTTGACTGGAGTTCCTCAGATTCCTATACTCATTTCTGTCAACTCTTTCACCGATCAGAAGTCTTTCTATACTTCCGTCTCGACTGCTCCTGATAATTATTCAGATATCATAAAATGTCACAATATTACAAAGGGATAGATCATAGAACCTCGAGACTAGGTTCAAAAGTAGATGAACCCTTAAATGGATCTGATCGGTGAATTTTTACGAACAATCGCAAGGTGAACTACCGAAAAACACAATATTCATAATTGTAACAAGAATGAAGGATACTGTTGTAATATTAATAACCAGCAGTTAAAAATCTAAACGGACCTGCTGAGCCAGCCTCCACATCTGAACAGGGTACAATGACTGTTGAGAACGTTCTCCACCAAGATGTGGTCCAAACACCAGCCCGGAGAGATACCAGTGTTATCGTGCCCCACTCGTAGTGACCTCAACTCTCCCAGATTTCGTGTCTGGGGAAAAGGGCCAGGTATTATAAAATGGAGAAAAACTTGGAGAGAAACTTGGGAGAAACTTGACTTTTTATGTATCACTAATAGTAACAAGAATACGGATTTGGTAAGTTATTTTCAAAAATTATAGAGTAAGGAGTGTTGTACGTGATACATCGTCACGTACAAAACATGATTGATCACATATGTAATAAGATATTCTATGAATCATCCCCGTTATTCTAAATTTGTTCACGACTAGGGACCTAAATGGCTCTATTTTAAGTCACGTTATTAGCAAATGAGCTCTGAGCCACTATTCGCAGAAGTGCTCTCTTTTTTGTAGAAAATTTGTGGACATCAAATTCTTTGGAACGATCGTGTAATGTATTTCAAATTCATGTAATGAATTTGAATGCAATTTTGGAGCCACTTTAGGGGGGGGGGGGTCCACGTTAAAAAAAGTTAAAAAAGTTAAACTAATTAATGTTAAATTTCAAAATTCAGGCTTAGAAAGTTTAACTTTTTTAACATAAATTCAAATTTGGGTTGAAATTGCAATGGAGTGAATATTCTAGACTAGTTTACTTTTAGGTCATGCGTTGGTATTTTTGTTCATTAGTCATTACATGTAGGAATATAGGAATGCCCATGACAAGAGTAAAACAGTCATATAACATAGGTACAACCGATAAATAATTGATACATTTGATCATTACAACAATAAATTATAATTCATAGAAATATAAACAGCTGATTCATAAATAATTTTTAAAAACAACAGATTCCATTCACAGTGTCAACACTGAAAATAGGGCTATGATAATCTATATCATTAAATCTAGTGATACTAATCGTAATGAATTAATAACTGAATAAAATTCTAATGATGTTTCATAAAAGTTATCGCTTAAACAAAGAGTCACTGTGTCACGATATTATATTACAAAATTTAAAATAGTGTCTAATGATATTTCATAAAAGTTATCGCTCAAACAATGAGTCAATTTGTCACGATATTATATTACAAAGTTAAAAAGAGTCACGTCTAATGATGTTTCAATGTAAAAGTTATCACTCAAACAATTTGTCAATATATTATATTACAAAATTAAAAAACAGTGTCAATGAAGTAAAAATTTTACAGGTGTTACTGTAATAACGTAAATAAAAGAACTTGAGGTTCTAATTTGAAGTTACTTATATCATTTAACCTGAATATAAAAGTCTATCATTAAAATAATTTTCACTATAGTGCAGCCCAGCAGCCGAGTCGTTCATATATTTTAGAACTTCACTTGTAATACGATTAACATCATACGGTTGAGGAATCTTCATTATATCACGACATACATCATTATTCAGTAATGAAAATAGATGTTCCTCAATAATCTCTTCCTCGGACATTCCTGATGTCCCAAGACTACTAGGGAGGCTACCTCTTATGGCCAAACAACTGGCTAAAAAAAGCACAAATCCTTCAGTACTGATCCTGAGATCGCTGAACTGTCACTTGAACGCAAGCAGCTGATGATTGCGAATATGCAGAACAAATTCCCGACCAACAGGAAGCATGTCAAGACCAACATCAACCAGCTAAGACGTAAGATTACAAAGAGACTCAGAGATATCAACAACCGCAGTGCTGACACACTCGTCGAAGAGGTAAACAACACAGACGACGCCCGGAGATACTTTGGAGCCTCTAAGATACTCGCCAAAGGATATGTTAGGCCAGCTCTAACCGTCCACAACCCTGCTGGGAATATCGCAGGTACTAATGAGGAGAAAGCGAGGATTATTAAGGAGTACTTTGAAGCTGAGTTCAACGACGCTGATGAGCCTACCCTTCCTGCCTTCCTTGACCCCCCATCTAGCCTTAACAGTCCCATCACCGTTGCAGAGATAGAGAGAGCCATCAGTAAACTCAAGTCTGGTAAAGCAGTGGGTATTGATAAAGTTCCTGGCGAGGTCATGAAAGCCCTGAACAACCCCCTCCTCCATGAAGAGCTGGCTAATGTGTTCAACGAGTCTTTCGAGAAAAACATTCACATTGAAGCAATAGGAGCAGGCATCCTCACACCACTGGCTAAGCCTGGTAAAACTCGTGGCCCAGTTAAGTCGATACGACCATTGACCCTGCTGAATGTTTCTAGAAAGATCCTGTCACTGATAGTGCTAAACAGAATAGAGAGAGCTGTGGACAACTTCACCGGACCGTTCCAAGCTGCCTACAAAGCTGGCAGGAGCTGTGCCGACCTAGTTTGGGCACAGAGCATGCTCATATCTGTAGTAATGAAGAAGGAGTTTGAATGGAACAAAGTGAGTATCGACATGTCAGCTGCCTTCAATACCATCCGCAGAGGTACAACAATCAGACTACTAGAAGCTGCAGGATGCTCCAGAGACGACCTGAGGCTTGTACAATACCTCATGGCTAACACCACTCTAGTAGTCAGAGTGTGTTCTACTGACTCAGAGATGTTCTCTTTCAACATAGGAGCCTCCCAAGGAGACAGCACAGCTGGTAAATTGTTTACCCTCAATCTAGCTGGAGCTGTAGTGCACATAAGAGCAGTCCTCCCCTCAAGACCCAACCCTCCGATAGCCGATAACCACATGCCTCTTGAGTCCGGCTATTCAGACGATTTAGAGGAGATTGGTGAAGATATGAAGGAGTTACAGGATATCTTTCAGATCTCCAAGAATATTCTCAGTGAATGGAGTCTCTTTGTCAATGACACAAAGACAAAGTTTACCAGAGTGTATTTAGAAGAAGTTGGTGCCTGTGACGAGTGGGATAATGAACTAAGAGGAAAAGAGGAGTGGAGAAACGAGACGCTTCTTGGTACTAAGCTTGGATCAGAGCAGGATGTTACTAATAGAATAAATAAATCTAACTCTGCCTTCTGGTCATTTGACAAGCTGTGGTGCCAGGGATCAGAGAGGAGTCAGATAACTGAGAAGAGAAAGATCAAACTCTACGACTCACTAGTAGTATCAGTGCTCCTGTACAACTGCTGCTGCTGGGCCGTACCTCAGCATGTTATAGAGTCTGTAGATGTTCTTCAGAGGAAGCACCTCAAGCGCATCCTACACATCTATTGGCCTAGCTCAATATCTAACAAGGCCCTCTACGCTCGTACCCAGACCAGGCCCCTTTCCGAGAGAGTGGAAAAGGCACGGTGGACAATGCTAGGTCATGTTCTACGCAGTGACAACGACACACCTGCCTACCAGTCTCTGTTATTTGCTACACTAGGATGTCAAACACTAAATGGACGAGTGGGTAGACACAGGACTAATTTGTATGATATTATTGTGAAAAAGGACCTATTTAAGAGACAAATTTATTTAAAAAATGAAGATGATTTTACCAACTTAGTGAACTTAGCAAGAGATAGAGTAGGATGGAGGAGTTTATTTACTTTGAGACATATTGAACGAATGAGTCTTCGTAAGCGTAAATAGGCCAGCACTTTGCTGAGCCTCTTTAGGTGCTCTTTTGTTTATAGATGTTATTATATTATATAACTGGCTAAATGGCTCTTTAGATTATGAGAGCATCTATGTTTTGAAACAGAACTTCGATCTGGTCTTTTCACTTTCACACACCCCAATAGGTTCTTTACCTGCTTTAAGACTTCAGGGACTTCATTTTCAATATCTTCCGCGCTATCAATTACATTTAGATATTTCTTTGAATCCTGATTATTTTTTATTTCATTCAAAGATCTATGCACAAGTTCCTCATCGTCACAACTTTTCAAATTGCTTGGACCTAGTGATCTAGTTAACTCTAGCATTACCGCAATGTGGGAAATAAAGGCAAAAGAATGCTTCCCTGTCACATTTGCATGGACATAATTAGTAGACAGCTTTCCTTGTATTTTTGGAATAGATTGAATAGTTTCCGATGACAAGATTGGTTTCACTCTAGCTATTGGGCATGGCTGATGCACAGTATTCTGCACCACATCATCCGTACTCTTTGTTCCATTCTGACATTCCGGGGTAGGTAAAATACTCATCATCCGACGACGTCTTTTCTTAGATTTTAGTCTTAATACCCGCTCCATGGATCGCACAATTGATAACGTAGGACACCTGGATTTTTTTCCTCCGAAAATATTGTATATATTCTGTAGGCAAGCTTCCTCTAAAGAACACCCAAGTCTGAATAAAACCCGTTGAATTGCTTTGGCCTTGATAATCTGGCCAGGTACCATGTCGTTACACTTCCACAATTCAATTTCAAAATTCGTCCTGACCGTGCATCTATCTTTAATCGTTTCGGCATCGAGCGCCTTTCTTCCGGATTTCTCCTTACAAAGTTTGTTTTTCGGCGTGGAAGTGCCATCTTCTGTGGCGAATCTTGTAGAAAGTTTGTTTAAAACAGTCTCTTTCTTCGCAATCACAGGCTTATCACCTTTTCCATCGTGTACTGGCAGTCTAATTGTACTCAGAGAACTTGTTGGAGGAGTATTTCTAGAGTTCAATTTGTCCCGATTTCCCTGCTGATTCTCATTCTTGATTGCAGTTCCACCTTCAATGAGTCGTGTAGACAACTTGTTAAGTGCTGTTTCCTTCTTTGAATTTAACACTTTCTTGCTGCTGTTTATCTTATCAACATCAATTGGTCGTCCAATTGTGAATTTAGAATTGTCTACTGTGGGAGTTCTCGTGGTTAAATTATCAGTGTTAGCCCGCAAATGCTCCTTCTTCTTCAGACCCGTCGATGAAGATTTATCCATAATCGTCAATTTGCTTTGCACCGTCGGTTTCTTAATCTTTGGAATCCTAAAAGTAGGGACAGCTTTCCTCTTGAATGAGTTGCTTGTTATTATCGCAGTAGTGATAACATCAGCAGATGATTCGTCTTCAGAATCATATTGAGTTCTAGGTTTTGATGAATCAGCAGCCCTTTTTGAAGTGTTGACAACAACTGATACGTCCTCAGTAGATGGTTCGGGTACAGTGATTACAGCTGGAGGAAGCTCCGGAGTATCAATACCTGATGATGTGTCCTCAGTAGATGGTTCGGGTACAGGGATTACAGCTACAGGAACCCTTCAAGCGAATGAGCGACTCTCCTGATGCCTTCGCAAAATTGCAACGTAAACATCTGTCGTATGTGAGACTTTCCATAACCCTTCCGCACTTACACCGCCAAGCCATATTCTTTTTTCGTATTATATGAATGATTATATTAGTAAATTATACAATTATGTGTATATATAGATACAAGGTGTTTTTTTTTGTAGAGTTATCAAATCAGTTACAACTACAGAAAACAATTGCAAGAGCGAGGTACTACTAGTACTAAAGGTCAACACTCATAATTGAGTTTAATTTGGGTAATTATGTTAAAATTTGAACCGATTAGTCAGCCAAAATCTGATTTTTAATTTATGTTAAAAAAGTTAAAAAAGTTAAAGTAATTAATGTTAAATTCCAAAATCTCGATCTTAGAATTTAACTTTTTTAACGTGGACCCCCCCCCCCCCCACTTTAGGATCTTTGTTTTTAAAACATGTCTTGTCCCTACAATGTCAGAATCACTGCAGCTTTGGAAACTTGACTTCCGCTTCAACATTTTCATGGAAGTTGGCACTATGATAAATTAAAATCTGGCAGCTATTGAAATGTAATCTCTGACTATAACATAATATATCCTTTTACTTTTCAGTATTACTCGTCGGTCCAAATGGCACAGAGCCATCTATGCTCTAGTAAATCGATTAATCAATCACACCATTAATTATTTGGTAAGTTATTGATAATTGATACCTAGAATCAATATGCGATATTTTGCGATCGCGAAATAGCGCGTGTAAGATCGCACACTCCCTACAAATTTCTAGGAATTTGTCTATATTTGTAGGAAGAAAAATGATGTGCGTAATATAAATAAGAGAATTTCTTGGAAATGAACCACAAAGTGTCCTTTTGGAGGGATCGTGTGATATTATATCACACGACTGCTAGCTATGTTTTGGCATTACCGTTTCCCTTTCGTTAGATGGAGAGAATCTTCAGATAAAACATTTCTTGGTTGTATTTGTAATTTAATAATATTACACAGCGTAGCTAGGATGTAATTTGTAACCTAGATCATTTTGTGCTTCTAGGTCCTGGAGTACATATTATTATACTCAAATTAGTATTGTTTTCACTTTCTTTAACGCTGTCTCACATTTGTTAGTTAAGTTATAATAATCTTAACTCTGCCGATGCCTATTCAACTTATTAAAACAATCTATGGCCCGAAATTTGGGAGAAGTACATCTGATTAGCTCCTCAGCATAGTTGTTTCGATCTAAAAATAGAACTGCCCAGACAAAGCTCAAGGACTTGTCACCATGGTTACGAACAACACAGAGGAGGTACCTGCCGTGGTAACCTACGACGAGATTGATATTGCCTCCGAGGCCTGGGCCGTTTGCATGATACTGTTCTGGTTCCTAATGTTCTTACTGGCAGTTGGTGGTATATTCTTTTGCATCGGTAGATGTCTTTATCTTCGCCAAAAAAGAAAACTAAAGGGTTACCGTGAGTTTGAAGATTCTGTAACTGCGAGTGGCAGCGGGTGGGAGCCAAAAGAAACTGATAAACTTTTATCATGAGCAACGCTAATTGAGCACAGTTTAACAACTTTTCAGACAATAGTTGTAGCCCGGGTCTCAGCATGATGTCACATTTGTTTGTTGATCTATAATAATCTTACGTTTGCCGATGCCATTTCATGTTGTAAAAATACTTTTTACAAGTTGAAAAAACCCATTTTATTCCTTTGCATAGCTTTTAGTCTAATAAAAATACCCAGAAAAGGACTTTTCATCGTCGGCACGACTGACGAGGTCATGGTCACGAACAACAAGTTTGAAACAGACCGGAAGAAAGTTCCTGCCGTGGTAACTTATGACGAGCTTGAACTTCAACCTGCTTGGAGGCTTGGACACTCTGCATGGCTCTCTTCGGGTCTATAATAGTTTTGCTTGCTATAATAGGTACAATCTACTACATCTATCTTTACCGAAAGAGGCGAGGTTATGAGCACCGGTTATTAAAATGAGCTGGGAGAAACTGATAAACTTTTATCATGAAAACCTTACATCAGATCACAAAACTTTGCACAAGAACGCAACATTTCAGTTGTGAAAGCGATAAAAATACCCTCATCTAAGTTGAATGTTCACTGAGCTGGACGTTAAATGATGATATGTCTCTCATACAATGTAAGAAGATACAAGGAAGTGCAAACATTTCAGTTATCATTAATCAGTAATTTTTGATCGCTTTGAGGCCAATATTTGAAAATTGAAGAATTTATGATAGAAAAAGACGGATCATTATATCTTATTTCTCATTGCAATGCAATAATTAAACCTTGATTGTCATAAACGTTAAAGATTTATTGTTTATCAGAACTTGTGAAATAAATAAATTGTTTCTCTTCTCAATTGCTTCTTTTTACGACAAGGTGGGCGGTGACTAAAGTCGAATGTTCTGGTCTAAATGTTGGTCAAAAGATGAATCATAGTAACGCATTGGCCTATTATTGAACCATCTAAGCAGAACTACACAGCTAACTAGCTTTAACACAGAACATTGCTATAACTAAAATAAACTCACCATCAGTGAGACGATAGATTCTCCCTTGGGTAGGCCGTAAACCCCTGTATCCCCCTTCTCTCCCGTCAGAAGTACCCATGCGTTCGCTGTACTCTGGGCGTTGAACTTGTTGCTGTTTACTATGTACAACTTGTACTGAATCGCTGGAATTTAGTTTGTTTTTAGAAGTCACATTCGGGAGGTGTACGCTTAGCGCTATGATGGAAATTAAATTAATCAAAGGTATCTTACATTCCAAGAATACAGTGGAGTTTCAGAATAAAAGAGCTTTGTATGACCAACTCTGCAACCCACTGAAAATAACCAAGGACTCACTGATATTAGGGAAGGACGCAGTAAAACAGGTGAACGGAACAGCAGATAGGGTCAGGAGATACTTTATGAAGGGTGCTACTTTCTCCTCATCCCGTAAGAAGGCGTAGTCTTTATAGCGCTTACTAAGCACCTCCGAGTCGCAAGTTATCAGCTCCAGGTACTGCTGCATGCACTGCTTCTCTATTGATAACCTGAGGTTGATTAACGGTCAACAGACTGATGGGTGCCGTTATTAAACTCTTTAGATATGGCACCGTGTCAAGGACCAGTTTAGCCAGTAAATGAAAATCAAATGTGGACTGTAGATTAATCAGATTATCACATTAATAAAAAACTATTACCTGATAAAAGCCCTGGCTCTGCCAGTATCGGTTCGAATGATTCTCAAGTTCTTGATGTTGTTGATATCGATGTAAAGCTGTTCGTTAGTCGATATATCAGGAGGAAGATTGGGTGTCTGTTGAGAACTTCTCCTGAAGAACACTCCAGATGTTCGATAGTTGTCTTCTACTGAGTCATCCTCACTTGTTGATCCAGTTGAGGCTAGAAGAGAAAGTATGGTAAATGAGTGTGTAGGGAGGAATGATGGGTATCATGCTATTTAAAGATGAGTCCTGTAGGAAGGGTAATTTCCAAATTAAAAGTGCCGAAAGTAATCACACTTATACTCACAAGGGGAGCACTGAGGATGTTTCTCTTTCCACCGGTCAAGATGCTTGCGGAGTTGGTTCCACAGAGCACTCTTACCGTCCCGGACCACCAAACCATGTGACCAAACCCGCTCCACCAGATCACAGATAGCTCCAACCATACTGTTCTCTTCCACACCCCGGATTACATAATCGTAGCCCAGGCCTTGAGCTTCCGGGCCCATCTTTAGGACGAGCAGGCGATTAATCTTGTTCTTGCAATCCTGAAAAATAAATCAAAATATTAGATTTAACTCATGTGATTTATGGTTAAATTCAGAAAGTATGACCAATGACAATGAAATTGAGATGTTGGAAGTTCTTTAAAATTACGCTATAAGCCGAACCAGACAAACCTTGAGTAATTGGTTGGTAAAGTCAGCATGAGCTTTCATCATTCTGTCAAAGGAGTCGTCTGTATCCAGAGGGAAGTGTTTCTTAATAGTTGGACTGCTCAAGGCATTGCTCTTATGCTCCAACTGCGCTTTAGCTTCTTTTATAGAACGTTGTCTCAACAGTTTACGAGACATTGAGGCAGACCTGAAGTGACCCGATGATGAAATATTATCATTATAGGCAATTCTAACACAATCCTTGGTAAATACTAAATATGTTATCGAAACACGTTTCAGGACAGCAAGGAGTTATCAATTAGCTGCAATAAACTTTGAAGACTAACGTTTTATCAGAAGCATGTTCGAGAAGAAGTTGAGATCTTAGTATAGGAAAGTCACTAGATGGAGTGGTATCACCCGTAAGTATGGGGCTGCCACATTGAACTGGGGGACGGCAAACAATATCCAGCAACCCTGACGTTGATGTAGGAGTTCTGGCAGAACCAAGACTCTTTTTAACTGAAATGATGGTGTGTAAACGAGATAATAGACAGATCAAGGAACTGTTCGTTATGGGGAATGGTGCGATTAACGAGAAACGTATAAGAACTAAGAATATGTACACTGTTTTGACAATATTAACACTTACCCTCAACTCCTGGCGGTGATTTGATCACATCGTCAAAAGTATAGTTCCTCAACTCGTCGATCCTACTGTCAAAGTGAGCAATAACATCTGACGCAACACCAAAAGAACACAAAACCTTTGAATCGATAAAAGATGAAAACACATGGGTCTCTAAAAATCGAGATAGAAATGTCAGGTTCTGCTCTGCCTGATCGCAGAGGAAAACGTCCCGTTCGAAATTATCGAGATTATCTCGGTTTGCCTCCCAAGTTTTTCTATCAGGCGGATATATCACGAATTTATCGTAGTTCTGTAAAAGTTTACAAAGGTGATCAAAGAAACAGTTTCTGATGGCAAGGTTTGTTGTCGATGTGTGCTGGCACTTTTCTTCTGATTTTGGCGATTCTCTAAACTCGGCGTTGCATTGTCTGATTATTTTCAGCTTTGGGGGACGGTTCAGTCGTCTCTCACCAAAAGTTTTGGTTTTTGAATTCGTCGAGGTATCAGCAGGTGTGAAGTTAGTAGTTAGCTTCAGTCTAGAGAAAGGGTCGCTAGGTTGGGAGAGACTGGGTCGAGCTATGATAGAATTTATGGAATGTATCAGTTCGTCTCGATTTGGTAAATTAGGAATATCCTCAGGTAGGGTTAACCTGTTGTTGTCTATATCGAGAACACAGATATCTGCCTGTTCCTCAAGTGATAAATTAGCTGCTATGCCCATGAGATATGTGACCGGAGCTTCAATAAGGTCGAGGGAAGTTGCTGGAACGATCGGCACGTAGACGTGGTCCCATTCGAAGGGGTAAATCAGGCACTTTAAGGATTCCGCCACCAACATCAATCTTTGGTTATCTGAAAGAAAATGTTTGCGTCATCTCTTGTGAAAGGTACAGTTTACTGAGTAAAATTAGGTCAGTGTCAAGCAAAGCTTAAACTTAGAGCATGAATCCAGGTTGTACGCGCTCAAAATAATAATAAATCCAATTGCGCGCGAACATACTGATTGATAGGATTTTCGCTTTTTTTAACACTTGTATTTCGCGCGTTCCGTTGACTACCTAAAGAATTTTCACAAATTTAATTTTGGGAGGATCAGGAATTTATGCTCCCGGGGACCTATCACCTACACTTTTGCATAACTGTTACTTTACACAGATATTTTATGACCTCACTAGGAGCTAATTTAAGGTCCTGCAGAGTACGGAAACGTTACTTCATAAGTTTCAGTGTGACGCAGACTAAATTATCACAACACACCCTAAAATGAAATGAGTCATGAGTGATTGTCAGCGATTCAAATGAAATTGGGACAGGAATAATTGTATACGGCTCAAGACATGTGGGCACCTTACTGCTGAACTGGTGTTAGAAACCTATTTTTATCTGCCAGCAGTGAAAACGGCTTTCCCAAGTACCACCAGTAGTAACTGTTAAAAGTTTGAAAATAGTTAAAAAATATCGCAGTTCAAACAGTCAAGCAAAATGGATCATTCGACTGGCTACCATGACCATTGGCCATTGGCCAACTTTCAAGAACTGTAAGGTTTCGTGTAATCGATTTAGAGTTTTAAAATGGCGTTAAAGAGTAAAGACATCGATAGTTGTCCCATTCTACCCCTGATTACATGATATCGTATAATATAAGACTGATGAATCTTCTGTAATCTAATCGTAACTCTCTCACATATTCTTTGTCTTGACATAAACTAGGAACTAGGAAAATAGGAAGCTGATTTTCTGCTGATCTGCTGATAGTCTGCAGAGCGTGTTACAAATTGAACCCAAATATAAATAACCTATTTTTAGCTTCTTAACACGTTATTTTTTGATCATCACTAAGATGAAAAGACATTTTGACAGCTTTTATTTTCTCAAGTGAAATGTCACCCACCCGTCACGCTGCCTTTAACCCAACCAATTAACATCCCAGAGAGGAAAACTTACACGACAACTCAGTTGGACAAATTACGTCTCCTACTACCCCCTCTCTCTGCTTTCACCGTACAATATAAATATATTGGTATATCAACTCATGCCCAAATAAGGAGTGATAGCTGACTGAACTATACACATACTGACGTGCCAAGTGTCGTACAGTACGCAGCACGGCTTATTGCATACTGCCCTGCTGTATGGCTGTATACAATTTGTTAACAGTTTTATGAAGCCGTATTATCAAGAGAGCGCTGTGTACATGTCGGAAATGTAGAGAAAAATATGGCGGTGGGACAGGGAGTGTATGGCAGTGTTACAGGGTTATGTCACGGATTAATGGATTAACCTTGGTGGATTTTGTATTGAAGACTTGTAAAGGTAAACGTTTTACAGACATACTTGAAGGTCTAGAAAGGTTTCATTTTTCTGATCGCAAAATAGCTTTTTCTAGACAAATCTTTGTCTTTGCCGTTTCGGCTAAGTGCTTTATAACTTTATGATTTTCACTGTGCAATGAATTATGAAAGTAAAAAAACTCAAGGCCCACTCTGATATAAGATAGTTTATATTTCAATATAACTTGCTAAAAATGTGTTTTAAAGGGTAGGAGAGCAGGCTGTTTCGAGATAATCACGTGACCAGGCTGTTTCGAGATAATCACGTGACCAGGCTGTTTCGAGATAATCACGTGACCAGTCTGTTTCGAGATAATCACGTGACCAGGCTGTTTTGACACACTGTAAATACTTTTAGTGTAAAGTGGTGATTTGTAGTGAGTAATACAGCAGGTTAATTACTGACACATCATAATATGATACAGGATGTTGTAAAAACATATGCACATATTATTCTCATTGGAAATACTACGTCATCAAGTAAGTTTTTTTTTCTGGCCAGCGAAAACACATATTTTCATATTGTCAAGCACAATCTACAAAGCTATTAGTATTAGTACACATTAAAAACAGCCTGTAAGCAATGTGCAAAAGTGCCACCATCTTTACTGTAACCAGATCACAAGCAAAACTACTTATCAAAAAGTGATATCATTTGGGAATAAAAATAAATATGCACTTTACATTGAGCTCAATCAAGTTCGTTAAATCGATCACATTTGGGTCACGAAATGATCAATTAAACCACTTATCACCGGCCGATTAAAAAACCTTCATCATTTGGCTTTGTCAGAGTTTTCTCGGCACTATACCGAAAAAACCAGCCCATTAACTATTACCGTTTTCTTGATTAAGCCGTTAGGAAATTACACGCGAACGAACGAACGAACACGCATCTAAAGATTATTAGTATAGATGCCAATCAGAAACGGAGGCTAATAACAGAAATGGTAGCTGACAAACTTTGGCAGACAGCCATCGGCTATTGAAATGTATATAATACTGATTGCTCAAAGATTTTATAACGAGGTAAAAGTTGGTAACCGTCCAATATCGCACCACGCACCGTAAGTTTTTTAGCTGATAAGACGGTCTCTTTTCCGGGTTTTACGGTGACATGTAATGAGTAAGTAAGTAATGAGTGACCTGCAGTATGTGACCATGTGACCTGCAGTTGCTGTGGGTGGTTCTGAAATACGTGATACGTCACGCCTGACCGGTCATCTGACTGACTGACTGAACATTATTTAGTATACTATACCGGGTATAGCTCTTCCATTAGTTCATTACCCGCTGCTATAATCCGTTTATCAGGTACACTATACTATACAGCTTTACGGACTGTGAGCAAGGTCCATGATAATCCACCAATTTCTAAAGCTAATAGAGTAATACTTAATAGGTAATGAAGATCAAGACCGTGGCGTTTAAGTGTTCTCGTCTCACTATTTGAGTAGTGGTACAAAACGTTTGATATTCTAAACATTTTATTCCGAATAACCGAAATGGTCTACCTGGCCATATAAAGTTAGTCTGGTAACATTTCTCATTTGTACATATGTTAATGCGTGCCAGGAAAGCAACTCTTGACGTCAATTAGGCATGCTAAGTTCTGTATCTCGCCTAATACCACCACTCAACATTTCCCACTGTATAGCAGCGGGAAAAGTTATAATATCATACGAGCATCAAATCACCTATATTTTCTTGTATTAGAGCCAACTCCATCTATAGATAGAAACAATAATCTTGAGATTGCTCTGAATCTAGGGTGAAACTCAGAAGATCTAGCTAAACGGTACGTGATGAGTTTGATAGTACCGAGCACCTATATTTCTATCAGACTTCATTTGGTATGCAGTGATCAACCACACACACACATACAAACGCACAACAATATTCGTAATTAACTGGCAACAAATTCCCAGTTAGATAGATAGATACATAGAGAGAGAGAGAGAGAGAGAGAGAGAGAGAGAGAGAGAGAGAGAGAGAGAGAGAGAGAGAGAGAGAGAGAGAGAGAGATAGAGAGAGAGAGAGAGAAAGAGAGAGAGAGAGAGAGAGAGAGAGAGAAAGAGAGAGAGAGAGATAGAGAGAGGGATAGAGAGAGGGATAGAGAGAGGGATAGAGAGAGGGATAGAGATAGAGATAGAGAGAGAGAGAGACGGGGAGGGTGTCTATATATGACGAGTAATAACACAGACCACCAGAAAGAGAGAGACAGGGGGGAGAGAGAGAGAGAGAGAGAGAGAGAGAGAGAGAGAGAGAGAGAGAGAGAGAGAGAGAGAGAGAGAGAGAGAGAGAGAGAGAGAGAGAGAGAGAGAGAGAGAGAGAGAAAGAGAGAGAGAGAGATAGAGAGAGGGATAGAGAGAGGGATAGAGAGAGGGATAGAGAGAGGGATAGAGATAGAGATAGAGAGAGAGAGAGAGACGGGGGAGGGTGTCTATATATGACGAGTAATAACACAGACCACCAGCTCAGTTCAGGTCCAGAGAGGAGCCCCCAGTATAAAGACACCCCATACTCCCCACTCCGTGGTGTCCGATGTGTGCGGCAGCTGATTAATTGGCGCTCGCTCGTGAAATGGGGACCAGGAGATATTCTATCTAGAGCTCTCTAGGGAGAGGAGGGAACAATACATCACTTTGGTGCGTCGGGGCAGCATAATAAGTGAGTCCCCGACCAACACCGTGGATAACCAGGCTGTGATAAAGGTCTGACGTCAATAAGCTCAGGGTGGGAGAAAGGGAATATTTTAAAGCAATTTTGTATGCGAGATGTTTTAACGTCATCAAACAAGGGAACTCTCCAAATTGAGCATTTTTTTTGATATAACATTATACTCTGTCAGGCTCGGCACATTTGACCGACTCAGACCTAAACATATTAACAACATTTCAACGCCGTTGCACGCTGTTTAATAAATTTACAGGAGTCAGTGGTTTAAGTAGTTGTAGTTTATCACCAGGCAGTCTGAGTTGCCACAATAGTTTATCTCGGAACCAATGAAAATCATTTGTGTTCATACAGTGTCAAATTCTAAGAAAATTAAACAATACTAAGAAATTAAGGTGAGCTCAATGATTGTGTGAAACGGAGGGGACTTCAGGGCACTGTTTCACTGTTTCATTCAGATTTCAGGGAGCACGCTAGTCAAAAATATAAAGTCTTGAGGCTGATGGAGACAAGTAACCACTTCTTTGTTTGAAATATTGAAATGCCTTATGTTCATTAGACCTTATCTTGGTAGATAATTGTTGTTCTATAGAATTTTCGAATGATAGTATACTCGAAATAAAAAGCTTGAATACCTATTAGCAGAGCTACTGTTCCACAGAATACATGATTTCTATTTTTGAGTCTACAACTTATTTTTATTTTATTTTAAAAAGTTTTGACAAAGATATATAAAGATTCTGTGTAGGGTATAAGTGATGCAGTATCGTATGAGGAGAGAGGAGGTAAAGAAGATAAGAGAGGAGATAAAGAAGAGATAAAGAAGATAAGAGAGGAGATAAAGAAGAGATAAAGAAGAGATAGAATACCAAAAGTTAGACACCACCCAACTACCCAAAGTGGATATCCCATAGGACAGTCTACTGATACATGTATTTAGGCTGACAAACCCATCACACATTTGCTGAGGTTCACTACAGATGTTGTCAGCAACAGAACTGAGGGTGCATTTTTCAATGGGAGACAAATTTGGGAAACCTCAGGGATGATTTCTTAGGAGCATTTGTCTTGGATTTTAAGTGATTAACAATTTCTTAGCAAATTCAAATCATACTGTGGAGCAGCACCGGGATTTTCAAGAAAAATGCAGATCTTTTGATATTTATAAGACATTCCGTCATTCCGTCCAACACAATGGAAGCAGGACTAATTAATGATTATGAAAGTAGAAAAAAGCAAAAGATTTGATGAGATCACCAAAAGTCAACGCCAAATATGGGCCAAATACTCCGACTCGAAGATTACAGGCTGTTCATAAAATTATAATTTTTGTAGAGTGCAAGCAGCAGCGATTGAAAAGTTTTGCAACAATGGTGTCATAAAACATAGTGTGTTAGGAACAAACGTAGATATGGATGGCATGGAGAAGCTTAAGTTGAACACAAGCACTGTCCATACTATGTTACCAAATTCCATCTGGGGGGACTATTGTTCGAGCTTTCGAGTCGAGTCCAAAGATAAGCATCGAGTGGCTTGACAGTGGGATCCTATTTTCCAACACCCTTCTTAACTTCTTTAGGGATGAGGTGGATAAAAATGAACATTCTTTCGAAGATTCTGTTGGTTTGTATCAACTTGAGATAGATAATTAACCCTCGATCCCCACTATGATCTTCCCTTGCAAGATACTCACTTTCAAACTTTTTTGAACGACTCCTCGAACCTAGATCGGAGCAAAAAAAGTACGATATCATTTTTACGAACCTTAAACTTACCATTAGACAACAAATTCTAGCACCTTATATTACTTTCAAACAACGGGTTGTTTCTTTTGTTTCTCAAGAGTTGGATGCTTAGAGATTACTTTTTATGCTCGAAAATTTTGGAACTGATTTCCTCAAAAAGATTGAATTCGATCTGTTAACTGACCTTTGCTGAGAAGCATGACTTGGTGCTCTAACAGTAAACACGTCAAGATGTCCACAAATGTAGAGGGGGAAATGTAAGAGTAGAGATCTTCTAAACTGTAATCAAACAGGGGCAGAGGAGACGAGGACATTGCCACCTGAAGTTACACTTGTTATCTTGGGATCAAATAATATCTTTAAAATATCCACTATATTGATAGTTGTAGGAACTATAAATATCATAGAAATAATGGTGAGGAGGTGGTGCACCATATTTGTTTCGACACAATACAGCACTAGGAGTTCACGTGTTAGTGTTGAATGTTGGTGACTAACATTGAGTATAGAGAGGGGAGCAGCCACTTTGAGAACCTGTCCTGGTCCTGGACTCATCACCTCGTACAGCAGGTTGTACACGTACGATTCTATCGGCAGTGTCTGCTCCGTCGACCTACTGTATTCCAGCAACTGAAATACGTTGAGTTATGATAATTTACACTATTTCGCTGATTAGTAGGTATTTTCTATTCTGTTTTTCAACATTTTTTCACGATTTAAAGGTAAAAGCAATCTCGAAATCTAATAAATATAGAGGAATGATAAATGAGAACGTTAAATTTTAGAATCTATAAAAAGAAAATATCAAAAAGTTGTGCCCATCCCATGCACCGTCATTGGTGCATTTTGTATGTCGATTAAATAGATAATATTGAAAAGTTCGCCCCATCCCACCGTAATTGGTGCATACTGTATTGTGTATGTCGATTATGACGAACGGCATCGCTTATCCACGTCAAATGATCGTGAGTTGAGCGATGAGAGTTCATTAACTTCCAAACTGACCGCAGTTCTTCCCTTAGAATCACGGGACCATTTATTTTGTCATATAAGACAACAGGAAGTGTAGAGCACCACTGAGTACCTTCTCACTCCCCCTCCTTACGTTAAAAATCCAAAGCCAAGTTAAATTTTGAAACGGTTCAAGTGAAAAAGGTTAATTTAACCTGTTTGGAAGTCCCAGAGAGTAATAAAATTGATAATGTTTCTCCAAATTTTCGGTGTGCAGCCAGCATTCCTTCCAGTGATCATCTCCAGAGGCTGCTCTCCCATTTAATAATTTTCAAAGCGATTATAAACTGCATAAAATTTGCCTGTGGCGCCTCTAGGAGTAGGAGGGTATTTTATAATGGTTTTAGGGCACTGTATCTCAAAAAATCTCCGCCTGTGGCGATTTTGCCCATCTGCTCTTGCAGTCTCCAGGTGATCCTCATAATTTGGGTGAATACCTTGCCCTTTTGCTCCAGACTCATGACAGGGGCCCTGATAATCTTGTCACAGCAAGCACATGGAGAAACCCCCAAAGAATTAACAATAACTAAAACTGATGCGGCAAAAACCTTTTAAAATTCAGCAACAGCTGATTTTATTATTATTTTTATTATTTTCACCTATGGACTGTAGACAGTAGAGTACTAGTATATTGTAGGAACTAAACATTGACACTTGAAACTTCGTTTGATTCTGGTCTTCAGCTACTGATGGAGAAGTGTAGCTTTATTATGAGAGGAAGAACAGCTCCCTTGCTTAGTTCCAGACACTGAGTTGAGAATATCATTGAAACCACAGGTACCATTGTCCCCCGTACCACAGTCTCCCGTACCATTGTCCCCCACGTTGAGGAGATCTCACCTAGCTGTGGCTCTCTCTCTCTCCTTCCCACGTACAACACAAAGTAATGAACTTTAGAATACTGTATCCAATGCAATCTAATGGGAGTACTATAAAACAGGTACCATTTTTTGGTGTTCCACCAATACTAAGACGTTTACTTAGTAAACTATAGCTGGTAATCGATTAAAAACAAATGTTCCTTGACTTTGAGATTGTACCTTGCTGTGACAAGTGAGTTTTCAATTGGTAACAATTCATACCTCAAATAATTTCAAACTTACAACGATACTCACATATTATTATCACAATACTGAACTTTGTATACTATTTCTGAACGTCTCACCACCATCAAACGATTCCCGCACTATATAATGACAACACTATATAATGACAAGCACTTTATAGTGACTTGTCACTATATAGTCCTGTCATTATAAAGTGCGTTTTGCACACTATATAATGACATGTGAGACGGCTGCAAATTTACCTAAAAGGATGTGACCCATGCCTTCAATGGTAAGGTCGCGTAACACGGTAACATCGAACGTGCCACAGATCATCACTAGCTGATCCGTCATCTCAAATATTTTAATATAAGGCAAGCTGTGGAAAGGATGTGATCCAAGTACTCAAGTGGAAACATGAGTACTTGTTGGAGCTCGTTGGTGTCGTTGGAGCTTGTTATCATGTGGTGGTACTCGTATATATAGGGCTCAATGAATGACAAGCTACCTTAATTCCCAAAAATTTGGGCGACAAAAAATTTGAGAGGGCCTCTCGCCCAAATTTTTTGCAGACCAAATTAATTGCATAAATCTTTTCCGTCTGCTAAATTTTTTGCTTACCAAACTTTTGGCATTTGGCCTGTGGCCCTGAAATCTATAGAAAGATGGCTTTTTCTTCATATGCAAGTGAAATAATATTTGAAATTTTAGTTTTCTAATCTGAAAGCAAAATTACTGGAATAATAAGGAATAATAATGAACTAAAGCAAATATCTAACTGAAATTTTAGTGGAAAATCGTTCATTTTTCGAAGAATTTGTGCCCAAATTTTCGGTCGCCCAAATGAGTTCAAATTTTCTGCCCAAATTTTTCGGGCTCAAATAAATTGTGCTCAATATAATGGCACACAAATTTTTGGGAACTAAGGTATATCAATCATGGCTACTCCTTCTGTTGAATACACTACTGGTAAACGAGGAAAGGACAACGCTCTCGTGGATGGTCAACGCTACAAATCCTACCATCTGGAAATTCTTGAAGCCCTCAAACTAGAGCAAGGACTAACAGACCAGAAGATCACGGAAAGACTGATGAGAAGACCTCCACCCCAGAGAGCAGCCAAGTGGATAAGGTACGACTCCCTTCTGGAATCCTTCATGCAAACCTACGATAACCAGGAGTACGAAGTCATCGATTATCTCTCTGCTGTTTCTGCTGCACTATGAATTCGACATTTGATTATTGATATTATCGGTTTTACGATATTGGGATTTTATGATATTTCGATTGTACTATATTTCTATGACAGTTATACAATATACATTTTACTTAAATGAGATTATTTGCTTTAGTAATATTCTAAAAGTAGAATTAAAGAAAAGTAAGGAAAAGTCGATATAAGATAAACTTGTCACTATATAGTCCTGTCATTATAAAGTGCGTTTTGCAGACTATATAATGACAAAGATCAGCTGTCATTATAAAGTGCTTGTCATTATATAGTGTTGTCATTATATAGTGTGATTACCCCATCAAACTTAAGTAGATTATAATTTAAACAATTTAGCAGGGTTTCCAGATGTCAAACTCCCTAATTCCACTTTTCTGATTATTCTGGGCCACGAATATTTCACACGGTTTTTGGTTGACATACGTCTAACAATTAAATACCAAGCGTGGGAGTTTTAGTGTCCTTATAATATAGCTGATAAAATGTCAGAACCACATTCTGGAGAAACATTATTGGTGATAAACAGTCACTGTTCATGTAATAGGTCCACACGATGGGCTTAAAGTTGGTTGTGATAACATAGCAGATTTGGACTTCACCGATGACTTAGCTACAATCACACCCAGCTTCAGCGATAACAGCCGCCTCTGTCAAAGTATCTCTGATATTGCAGCCCGGTATGGTTTACTCATCAACATCGAGAAGACAAAATACATGTCCTACAACCTACCACGCGCACGGCCTGTTAACTCGGATGATAGGGTCTTCATTAACAGCAACCCTCTCGAAGAAGTCCACGACTTTAAGTATCTAGGATCCTACATCGCTTCAACCAGCAAAGACATCAATGTCAGGAAAGGCCTTGCATGGAAAGCACTTGAAAGTCTAGATGTTTTCTGGAAATATGACATGTCTAGAAAGATCAAGACTAAAATTTTCAGAACTGCAGTCGAGCCTGTTCTTTTATATGGCGCAGAAACATGGACTTTGAAGAAAGCTGACACTAAAGCACTAGACGGTGTTTACACACGAATGCTACGAAGGGTCTTTGGTATCTCATGGAAATCCCACACACCTAACTCCGTCCTCTACGGAAATATCCCATCGGTGACTGATACCATCAAAACACGAAGACTTCGTTTTGCAGGGCATGTCTACCGTCTACAGGACCAACCTGCTTAGCAACTCCTTTTCTGGCAACCATCTTACGGCCAAAGGTATCGAGGACGACCACACAAGACCTTTCCGGACGTCCTTCAAGAAGATACTGGTTTAGAGCCCCACATGATACGTCTGCTCATGAGTGATAGAGATAAATGGAGACATGCGTTGACACGAAACTCGTTCCAGATTTCATCTGGACCGACCTAGGCAGGCAGGTAGGCAGGCAGTTCATGTAACGAACTCTTGCTCATTATCAACTTGCCAATAAAACAGATTCTATTATGCTTTATTAGGATGAATACAATATCTTAGACAAGTTTATAGTCAAGGTTTTCCCTTTGTACCTCAAGTGAGAACAAGGGTGGCTGGATAACCCCCACGAAGTTGTAACATTTTAGAAATTGTTTATTGAGTAGAAGCGACAATATTCCCAATTCCCAAGAGGATCTTACACTGTCTTGTTTCAGTACCATTCTTTACTTGATCAACAACTTCTCATTACTTACAATACGATTTTCTAAATCATGCGGTCATCATTATTTTAATGATAATTAAAAATACCCAAATATTGCTTGATTTAAGAATAAAATGTGAGGACACATGCTGAACAGCCAATAATAATACAGCCCTCACAAATCTCATGTCAGCTAACAACAGTAGATTATATATTTGTTATCACTCTGACAGACGAGCTTGTGAGTGAAATCACCGCAAGCTGTATTGATTGGGCATGATTAACTGACACATTCAGTTACAGCTCAAGCTGCAAGGCGGTGTCCAGCACTGCTTTTCCATCAGAATTCCATTTTGCAGGTTTCTTGCTCATTACGATTCGTGACAAATCCTCGCCAAGCAAATTGTTAAATAAGCGTATTCAGGATTAATTTAAACGATATTAATCACCGAGGGGATCTCTGGTGCAGCTATTGGACGGCCAAATTTAGTTCAATAAACTGTAGTTTAGCGATACCTGTCTTAAACGGTAGTCTGGCGGTTCAGATTAGTTAATTTTCCTTGCTTCTACCTTAACTTCCTCAATCTCCAAATCTCTTATTAAGTTTAATTTAATATATGCAGTCAAGTTAAAGTTGTCACAAATCGGGAGGGAGTTGGATAGTACTTTGTACCGTTTAATTGATTTAACATTCCCAGGCCAAAGCGTAAGATAACTTATTACTGGTGAAGCCAGTATCTAATTTATTTGAGTTTCAACTTTCAAGCTTATTTGCGTCACAGTTTTAAGATGTCAGTTCTATAAACGGTAGTATCTGGTTGCAGAAGGTTGAGATAGAATTAAAGAGCGATATTTAGAAGTCTTTAAATCTTCTAAGTTTAGAGTTGCCTCTAATGGCACTGAAGCAAACACCAAGTTAAACTTAACCGTGATTATGCGGTTGTCAGATTGTTGCAAGTCCTAAAAGTTACCAAATTAAGTAATATCTAAGATTTTATAGTTTACAAGAGTAAAGTAGATTGTTGGAGAGAGAGAGAGGAAGAAGACGGATTTGTATGGTTAGTGAGAATATTGACTCCAGAGCCACTCACGAATCATTATGTTTCTGAAGAGCAGAAATAACAATATGCATCACAATATGCTTCTAAAAGAATAAAGAAAAGCATAAATAAAAACAGTGATAAAACACAGTTAAATATCGTAATAAATGTAAAAACAAACCTGCATTAAGTACTCTCTGACAAAGTCGACGTAAGGGAGCTCAATAACAATAGCAATACACTTGGTCATGTGAAGAGTTGTGACCTCCGAGTTGACGGAGGAGGGAGAGAGCATGGTCTCCGGGCCGGAGTGGAAGGCGTCCGGATGAGCAAACCTGGGCTCCTTCTCGCATCTTAGCTGCTCTTTATACATATTCAGCAGCATCTGGGGTTAAATGCACGTCAGTGTACGTCAGCATTTTTGAATTTTTGGACTGAGAAATTGTTTTATGACAATGGTTCGTGACGATAAGTATGTTGCAATGGCAGTGCAGATCATGTCATGTGACATCAGAATACCTTAAAGTAAACTGGTCAGTCAATTTTGTAGCATTTCAAAGAATTATCTAATAGCTCTGTGATTAGAGTGCAGACCACACCATTTCCTCAGAATTCATTAAATTTTGGATTCAGATTATATTTGATGTAATCCATACCAAGTAATTGCGGACATAGTTCACTATGTGTTTACCGTGCTTGGGTACCAGCATATTTTACACCTGGGTCCTGGAGCAATATTTTCGAACGGTTTTTATGATCAATTATTGCTGTAAAATTTGAAAAGTAAATGTTTAACAAGAATTGCGCCCGTTGTTTCGTTTTGGCGGACGCTAGATTTCCGTTCACTATAACTATAAATATAATCTCCAATCAGCTCACTTCATAATAATAATATTGATACACATCAGTACACTATACTACGCATGTCACGTACAAATTGGGCTTATAACCAAATACTATACATTGCACAGTATACATTAAAATGCACTCGCGCTGCGCATTCATTGACAGGCTAGCTATACACATCACATCTCCGCAAGCAATACTCGCGCGCTGCACTGCGCGCTAGTTGTCATGGTAGCGGACGTAAGGAAGGACACACGACATATTTAAACCCACCTATCTCGTTCTCCAAAATCCACGTTTTTCTGCAAAAACCTCCATTCGTAACCTTTCACTATTGCCTTTTTACAAAAGGGTGAACGGAAAAATTCATCGCAAAGCACCATGACGATAAGAATGAAACAATGTCATGACCACGTTTCATTATCATTGAGAATCATTGAGGTCTGTAGCAGGTAGCTTGCAAAATTTAGCAGCATTTCAAAGAGAATAATCTAATAGCGGTGCAGTTTGCAGTGTGCACTCACTGTGCAGACTAACAGACTATATCATCACGTTTTCAGAATACTGCCTTTACAGAAGACGATGATGTATTAATAATATTAAGATTGAAACAATAGGTCTGTGCAGACAATGCAACTATGACATAATTCCAGTACAGTTTGTCTGAGAATGGAGATTTGTCAAGATTATGCACAACCTGGTCCAATTTTTGGTAAATTCTGCAACTTTTCAACTTTTCAACACTTAAAACTAGGGTTTATTGACAAGTTGTCAGGTTGTTGTCTATGTACTGATCTATGAAGTACACGGGTTTACAGTGTAAAGTGTAACGGTAAACTTTACCCGCAGCCTAGAATAGTGTTGAAGTTCGGTGTGCTGGTTTGTAATTTTATGCATAAAGTTTATGAGCTACCAATATATATTGTAATTACTTCTTCATAATGGAGGATTTTCTGTGTTATATTCGAGCAGTTTCGAGCTGTAACCTTTATCTTACATTTCTGTTTGGACTGTCTGTCAGTCGAGTTTATATTTCCAATCTGTAGTTGATCTGTATCGATCTGTCAGAGAGTTCAAGAAGTGACTTATAGTAGATACTAGTACATAATAGAAGTAACAACAATTAAACAAATCCAACATCACTATCACGCGATACAAAACAGTAAACACACCCACTCTAACCTGCATTGAAGATATTATCTGAGGACACGTGACTTCAGTCCAGTAGGTAAGACAACCTCCGTACTTCTGGGAACCGTCCTCACGGGTAATAACAAAGGAGTGGAACTTGGGGGCAGGGCAGGCTGCCTTCTCTCCGCGCATAAACTTTACACCCGCCGGCATGCAAATCTAGGAAATTTATTTACAGAATGTATATAAAAAACACTCCGTGCACATTGGAATACGCTAATACACACCCCTCCAATATTGTATTATCACAAAATCGAATAACAGCAGAATAACATGAGAAGTAGCTGTTAACATAAGATAAAACACCTCTTTAGTAGCATTAGGGTCAAAGTTAGCAGGACAAGGAGGGTAGATGTCTAACACTTTGGTTCTGTAAGACACTTCAACTGGATCATCGTTATCTGAGATAGGTATTGTTTACTTGCAGCTTTGCAATTTTAAGAAGGAATGCAGACCATAATGTTTGCTTTTTAAATTTGGACTAAAAATGTAGGCAGTGCATGATCTGCCTGAGCTTGAGGGCCGCCATTCGTGCAATACCAGCAAAATTGTCTGATTCCCTCAAGAAAATGTTATAGAAGTGTTACGCTAGGAAAGTGTGTTGTTCAGAGAACCAGCCAACTGTTTTCCAAGAACACGCCGTTCTGAGGTTGTTTCAAAGAGATCGTTGAATTTTCAACGAAATTTACCAAGTGGAACCATTCACAGAAACTGAGAACAAAGAGACTTCAGTATTCGTTACATAAGTCAGGTGACCCTACAACTACAAGAAACCCAACCGACCATCACGACGTATCATTTTCAAGAAGTCGCTATTTCTCAGCATTTCATCCAATGTTTTAAAAGTTATGGTGATGACTTTTTAAGTAAAATGGATGCTAATATGATCCGTCCTCAATATGATCTCGGAAACGCTGAAATATATCGTGATCCGCTAAAAATGTTTGCATTAAGTTAAAAATAGACGCGGATCTCCTCAAATATAGGATAATGAAGAAGCGAATCTAGAGGTATTCTTAAAACTTTTGTCATTAAATACTTCAACAATAAACATTTTAGCTCAAGTATGGCAGGGAAATGAGGCCTCCTGGTCTCCCTGGAATTCAACAACTGGTCAAATAAAACCATGGACCCTTGCCAACGTGAACCTTTTTTACCAACAATGCAGATTTCAGATGCCCTTTTTATATCATACTGTGTCCCATACGGCCATACTGTGTCCCATACGGCTATACTGTGTCCCATATTTTTGGCCATTACAGCCCACTACCCAGTGGCACAGTGTAGCACTCTAGCACTTAGCAGTGCTTAATTACTTGTCATTGATACGTTGACCTTCAAAAGTATGATCCGTATGTGTGCGAATCAATAACTTTCATGAACATTTAAGGTAAATTTACCTTCGAATCGTGCTATAACAAAGAACACATATTTTACATATTATTAAAGCTCTAAGATTGGTATGCAATATGCATCTTATATTTGTCTAATCCTCCATGCGATCATATACTAAAAATAGTTCGAAGGAGATACGCTAGATAATATCATAATACCCAAGATTGTCTATACGATTGTGTAGTTGAAGATGGTCAAGTCGTTATGTTAAGGGGGCCGGGGGGGGGTCTTCATCAAAATTCTCTCGAAATTGACTTTTTAGTTGTTTCTGATAGAGGGGAGTGATATCTATCAGCTGTTTTTGGTCCCATGGAAAAATATTGTTCCTAGCCGAAATTATCGCCTGTCAAAGGTCAGCGCTTATGTGTAATTGTATTGCGCGAGCGATTTTCAATCGCGCGCCCTGAAAATCGAGTCTAAAAATCTATCTTCTCCTACATTTTTTGAGCAATCACCCTGAAACTTTCAGGATATGTTCTAAGGACCATTTCAAAGAGATTGTCGGGCCAGAATTTTGAGATAGGCCTTAGAACATTTTTTATTCAATTTTTAAAATCTTGGACCTGAAAAAATCGTCAAAAAACGAGGTCCAAGATTTTCAAAATTGAATAAAAAATGTTCTGAGGCCTATCTCAAAATTCTGGCCCGACAATCTCTTTGAAATGGTCCTTAGAACATATCCTGAAAGTTTCAGGGTGATTGCTCAAAAAATGTAGGAGAAGATAGATTTTTAGACTCGATTTTCAGGGCGCGCGATTGAAAATCGCTCGCGCAATACAATTACACATAAGCGCTGACCTTTGACAGGCGATAATTTCGGCTAGGAACAATATTTTTCCATGGGACCAAAAACAGCTGATAGATATCACTCCCCTCTATCAGAAACAACTATAAAGTCAATTTCGAGAGAATTTTGATGAAGACCCCCCCCGGCCCCCTTAAATAGGGATATGAAAATTTGGTTAGATGATATCATAGTTATTAGTTGTTTCCAATAAGTTATAAGAAGATTGTACGACTTGCCAACTCGTACAATCTTCTCTCTCTTTCGACTTGGTTATTTAAGATAAAAGGTGATATGAAGGCTCATATTTGGTTGTGATTGATTTAAGTTAATATTACTAACCATACTCTCCGTACAGGACCAGACCAGCCCCAGCGTCCAGGCCACACTGCATATATCCGTGCACCAGTCGTTGTCTAGACTCCATCAGCTCCGTAAAATCAAACCTAAAAAGGTTAGGTTAGCCATCTTAGCCACCTTAAAACACTTTGACTCCTCAATTTTATACATACCTTATATGAATAATGATATTGATACGTCTCTCGACAAGAATTTCTTAAGATGATATTTTCTAAAATGATGCAATGTTGCATTAAGGTATAAAATAAGATTTAAATGTTCACGATCGGGAGCTTTTCTGGAAAGTGTCCTCACTCCTTAGTCCTTATATAATAAATATGTATAACTTTGTTGTAATCTGATTCGAATGGCACGATTCTTAAGTTAACAGATTCTGACTTGATTTCCTTCTGGTAGTTGTCGCAATTAAAAACACTCTAATTTTGGTCGATGATTGAAATTACACCCACTCTACAGTCTACACGCTCGTGTGAGTAGGTGTCCAGCCAAATAGATGATATTTAGATCGAATTTAATTGAACTGTAATTGATCCAATTACTATCCACCAGAAAGGCTCCCGGTGGCGGATTTATAAATCTGTAAGCTCCCCACCGGGAGAAGTATATATAATAATCTATATCAACCAACAAAACAAGCATGTAGTAGACATGTAAATGTTAGCAGCACTTAACACATCTGTGTTAACTAAGTGGTTTAACCAGCGTGGACACAGCGAGACGGTTAGTATCAACAAATATAAAACCCTGGTAACCCTGGCAACTGGTAACCCTGGCAAACAAGTAGACGGTTAGTATCAACAAATATAAAACCCTGGTAACCCTGGCAACTGGTAACCCTGGCAAACAAGTAGACGGTTAGTATCAACAAATATATAACCCTGGTAACTGGTAACCCTGGTAACTGGTAACCCTGGCAAACAAGTAGACGGTTAGTATCAACAAATATAAAACCCTGGTAACCCTGGTAACTGGTAACCCTGGCAAACAAGTAGACGGTTAGTATCAACAAATATAAAACCCTGGTAACCCTGGTAACTGGTAACCCTGGCAAACAAGTAGACGGTTAGTATCAACAAATATAAAACCACCCTGGTAAACAAGTAGACTTAAACAACTACAGCTTCTGGAGAGTTTTAGATTTTAGGTAGTTTGGTGATGACCACTGAATTTTGTTAAAATTGTTTAGTTATTGTTGATTTATTATTAATTTTAGTTATAATGATTATAATTCATGATTCAGCTCCCGGATTCCGTTTCCCGCTCCAGAATGAAAGAGCGATAAACCGATGTATATTCCCTATATAAGATGAATATTATTATAAACCGATGTATATTCCCTATATAAGATGAATATTGTTTCTCTCAGAATTTACGGTAGTGGTAGAGTAACTCTATGTCTAACATCAGATGGTCCATTTTAAAGATAGCATTTAGATAAAATAACGTACTGATCCAATATTGGTTTATCTAGTTTTAACAGCAATAAACTTTCTTGGAATTCTGATCGATACCATCCAGACTAAACCACGAGAAGCATGATTCTCTGAGATACTGTTCGGAAGAAACCGCCATGATGACATGCATGGACATGTTTGTAGTAAATTTGTTCGTTTAGCTGCTCCTTTAGTAGGATGTCTGATTCTGGGGAAGAATTGCTCCCAATTTGTTGCCCGTCGTTTAATCTAGAATTTAATTTAATACGACCATTAAACTAGTGTTTATCATTGGCATTTGGCATCAATTCAACTTTCACACCATTATTGCCAGTATTAAGTATATTTGGCAAGACATCAGTCGTATAAAGTATGAGCCACTAGCGTACCTAATATCTTGGGATGATGCCAGCCTCTGATGCCAGTACCGTTTGATTAGTACAGTATTGGGATCCACGGAATGATCAGGCGATCAACTGTTTCATTAACAGCGAATGATCACGACTAATACTGTAACACACTATTGTAGGCTTTAGAACAATGTAATCTCTCCTACAGCCTGTACTGGTTGAAATGCACGTGGAGAGTGAGTACAGACTGTAATCTGCTCTTCCTGGATTTGTACAGTGGAGAAAAGTTACAATAATTAGTGTTGATACCTAAGCAGGGGAGAGTATTGGTTGAGCTGGAGTGAGAGTGAGAGAGATAGTGATGGAGCCACTTACTGAACCGGCGAAGTGAGAATTCCTCTGTAATTATATAGCTAGCTGATAATTAGATCCAGGTTGGAATTCTTGTTATTCTAGTTATGGCGTGGCACATAACTAGAATTATTGCAAGTAATGTTTATCACGTACGTAAACACTACTAAATCTACTTGGTATATTATATTACGGACTGGAATTTATACTTTAACTCAATTACTTTCTGGCAATTTTCTCGTGTCTGCGACTCTGCAGGGTACTATGTTTACCCGTACTACCCTATTATATCATATTGGTCTTAAAACACTGAAATAGCGCTTTCAGGTGCGCTTATCAAATAGATTAAAATATTCAACACAATCAGCACGAATGTGGTCGTCAAGTAAACTTCTGCCCAATCTTATAACATTTAGAAAAAAAGCAGCCGTAAGTATAAATGTATAATGAACGAGAATGCCTCTAAAAGCTGTGAACAATCAGCAACTTAACGGGATTTTGACGAGTAACCAGCATCTACACTAAACAAAGCGAGCAGTGACTCTTAGACAGCAGGAACACTGATGTCTCGTTACCTGAACGACATGAGTCTCCACGGGGAGATACATCTCTCAGACGGACTGTCTGATCCATTCGACATACTGGTTTAGTTATTTGTTATCATGCATTAAATAGTTATCAGTTTTATCTTAAACTTGAACATATTAATACTAAGGATACATTAAATGGGCACATGATGTTTTATACGCAATAACATTTAACATTACCAAGAGTTAAAGTTATCATTTCGACTGCTATACCTAGTGCTTAAGATCTTTTGGAGAAGATTTTTAGAAATTGTAGGCGATATGTCTAGGATAGAATAATTTGAATTGCTGTTAATTATTACTCATTTACCTTGATTCCTCTGCCTCGATATCAGGTTGATCTAAATACTCATCCATAACAAACATTACAAACAGTTTGAAAAAACAAACACAAACTTATCAAAAACTGCTCAAATTACATTAACAGGGTAGCAAGAATGTTTTGATGATAAGGGAACTAGAGAAGTCTTCTTAATTTATTATAGCGGTGTCCTGTTTCAGGCCATGATTGATAACACCCGAGATTGATTATTGATGATTGAAATTTAAACAGGTTTATTATTAGACGTTATTACAAGTGTTAGCTCCAGCAATCTGCCAAGTTGACACGGTGCCCACACAACAAATTATAAATATCGATTATTCTCCCTAAAGTTATTTAAGACACATCTTTTTCTTTGGAAAATAAAATCTAAAAATAAACATTCACTCAATTCACAAGGTAACAACTTAATATTATATTGAACAACTGCAAGTTCAATGTTGTAAAATCTGATGAAATATTTATTTTCCTGTATCTCATTCTATCCTTTTCTATTCAATTCTATAATAAAATTCATACCACTGCGTCAGAATAATCAATTGAGATTATAAAGGCTCCAGAGTCTAGACAGTTTTAAGCTCATTATTCCAATTTAGGAGCAACATTATTGTATGTAATACCTAACGGATATTTACAGTGCGGTACACAATAACTGCCCGGTGCTCATCAATTTTATGGGCCTTGAAACAAATCACTTAACCTAGAAACAAACATCCAAATCTTTAAAATTGAGTATAATCCTTTGTGAGTTTCATAGCATCACCATGACAATATCACGTCGAAATTGGTCGAAATTGGTCGATTATGGGCTGTCCAGTGTCCAATGATCATTTTCGCTGGCTTCTATCTCAATAACTTAACCAATTGATAAATTAAAGCTCAATTTGAGAAATATAGGCATATTGGGGAACGCATTCCGTTCCCCTGAATATATCGTTTTGATCACTTAATGTGTGCGTGTAGACCCAAGGTCAGGCGGACAAATATTACATTTATGATTGACAGAGCTATCTCTGTGATGCACATGCCCTGGATGTAGAAAACGGTTGGTGAAAAGAATTTCTTAATTGGTTTTAGATTTTGATAAGCAATGGACTCGAAAACTTTGCTCAGCATGAAACTTGCTTTACTTCATGTATTATGGAGATAATCATCCAATAAATTTCAACCAACATCAACCAACATCTTGGTACATTATTTGAGTCACTATTTAGAAATAATGGTTTAATACAATGAGCTCAAAAATATCTGTAATTGTAGTAATTAAAAGTATGACTCATAAGAGTCCACAGTATGACTGAAAATGTTTCATAGATAATAATAATAATAATAATTCTATACATTTACATAATTGAAACAATTATGGCCCCTCATAGATAAGCGTGGTAGCCATAAAATCCAATGTATTGATGGTTTGTTAACAGCTGATTAAAACACCCTTCACACTGTAATGCGTTGGGCATCTAAATTATAGATTTTTATAGATCTGAACACTGACAAAATACCAGATACGTCAAACCAGGAATAGACTTACCCACTGTCTTGCATCTTCATAAAATCAGCTTAGTTTACTATTGGTAAAATGTTAGCCATAACTCATTACATCATGTACATCATCTGAAATTTATTAAATTAGTTACAATGAACTGCAAGGAACCAGAATGGTTCAATAATTTAGAATGGTTAAATGTAATGGATGACTTACAACATATGATATATACTGTAAAAATTCTGCAGGAAACTCCAATCTGAACCACAGTTTGCAAGATTTTCTATCTGATATGATATTCAGCAAAAGGTGAGATAAAGACCACTGTATAAAATTCGTTATGAGAGCAGAGTAGAGGCCCACTCTCAGCATAACCAACAATGTCCATTACAGGATCTTTTAATCTATCAACTATGCTTGTCATCTCAGCAGACATCCGAAGAATTGACAGGCTACCTATATTTGAAAGGCAAATCTCTCCTAACTGTAAATAAATCTTCGTTCATAAAGCTTCTAGCAACCTCCGAAGTCGATCAGGAGAAACTGTAGATAATATGAATGATTTTGTGTACTTAGACTCTGGTTTGAGAGCACAGATAGGGAGATCAGGATTAGAAAGGAAAAAGCATGGGATGCCCTACATAAACTGAATAACATCTGGAAATACAAACTTTCAATGAACCTTAAGATCCGATTAGCGGCTTTTGAATCGGTACTACTCTACGGATCAGAAACCTGCACACTGAAAAAGGCTCAGGAGAAAGGTTTAGACGGGACTTATACAAATATATTGTGTATGGTGCTATGTATCTCATGGAGGGACAAGGTCAGGCGTCAGCAATGTTACTATGTATGGTAGCCTGCCAAGGCTGTCAAACAAGTTATGAAGCAGGAGAAAAATGACGGAACACAGCATCAGATATTTTGATGTGGAGTACTGGCCTTAGTCTTATTGAAACCTTAGTAAAGGCCGAGACAATGTTATTTAATATTTGTCTATGTTACTAAAGGAAGTTGAGACAAACTCTGAAGAGGAACTGCAAACCTTGACGCAAGGATATATGGAGTGGGTTATATGTATATCTCGCGTATATCGGACTTAGTTTCGACTTAGCAGTAGTAGTTTGAAAAGTAGTAGTAGTAGTAGTTTGTCATACGTTGTATGACCCGCCTGTATCGTCACCCCCTGTATCGTCACCATAGTGAAACGACCGTGGGGGTCGCAACGTGATACAAGTAGTAGTAGTAGTAGTAGCATTAGTTACTCCTGTCAAACTTTTTTGGAAAGCCTAGCTAATTTAAAATACATTATTTGAATATTTTCATACACGCTTAAATTACCATTTACCATTATATTATTACTGCTAACGGTTTAGCAAATTAATAATAAACTCAAATGCATTTTTTCAATGATATTCAATTGTGCCAAAATTTAAGTTTTCGCGTTGCTCTAACCAAAGCCCTCTCGCTTGCAATAGCGCGCGACCGCCGGAGGCGGCAAAGATATATATAATATATCTATATAGTGAAACAAATTTATTTTAGTGAAACAAATTTAAAATTTTATCCTTTATTTTACAATCATAATATAATAATATTTATAAGCCTCCGTTTTGAAAGTTTTAAATTTTAATATATTCACATTTCTATTTAAAATTCAATTTAATGTATAATAAGTCAATAATTGGCCGCCAAAGCCGCGCATTCTTGAAAACAGGATTAAATTGTTTATGATTATACGACAAATAGAAATAAATTTAAAACTATCCGTGGTTTTTTGAAATAAATTATAATCTTACCTAAATCCAAAGCCAGCTTTGTAAAATTTACTATTAGATCATAATATATCGTCAGTTCTAAATATGTACAATGCAACATTTCATTAATCTACATACAAGCGTACTCCAGCCCCTGCACGCATCCGTTCTTATGCGGCGCGGCTCAAGCCGCGCACGCACGTATTATTTTATACTTTTTGCTTTCTAATAAATATCGTGTCAATGTGTACGTCTAAATGTTCATGTTTTGTGTAAACCTTGACCATTGTTAATGATCTGGCCCGGCGCGCGCTACTTCGTAGCACTTGCCGTCGGGCCATTTTCGAGAAGAAAGCGGCGCGCGCTACTTCGAAGAAATTTAGACGAGTAACATCCGTCAAGTGTAAACCGAATCCGATTGAGATTAGTTTCAAGGATAAGGACCCAAGTGCCTGTACGGCTTTTTCGGACCCCTGTGGACCACTACTCTTGAAATCGCTCTACAATTACCTGAGGACCCCAGGCTATTATGTTCATTAACCGAATATAGATTTGGCGGAATGACAGGCTGAGCGCGGCCCAGTAACTCTACAACTATTGAACATTTATAACTGTTATATAATATATAACGTCATTTGACAATTATTATCATTAATCTACAATCTAACTTAAACTGTCTTGCTGAGGGGGAGGAGTAAACGCTTCACAAACTAAAGTACTTATATATATATATATATCTATTCAACTTGTGAAACAAGCGCGTCACGCAGTACGCGTACTAGACACATGGCTATGTGAAGTTTTTCCGGGCTCAATTTAGATTGCAGATTTGCATTTAACATAAATTTAGTTAACAATCATTCAACTAACTGAGCTTGAAAATAACGCCGCGCGTAGGAATAGGCGCGCCTGATTTGAATTAATTTTCATTTCCTTCCGGCCTTAATAATTTAAACAAGGTTTTTGCGTTGCAATATAATTGTAGGTTTACAACCTACCAGGATGCGTGCCGAGTTGGACTCGTCGACGGTCCAATATATGGAACAGATATTTTACGAGTATCACCCGTTAACAATATAAGCGCAGCAGGTGACCACTATCGCGATCGCGCGGCGTCGCACTGCATTATAATAACATACGGTGATTATTTGCTTATAAATTAAAAGCATATTAATATTTAACGAGTGATACTCGTAAAATATTTGTTCCAATTATTAGACCGTCGACGAGTCCAATGCAATGCAACTCGGCGCGTGTCTTGGTAGGTTATAATAACCTATAAATTAATATGATATAACACGTATTATTGTTAAAATTATTTTTTGCGGCGCGAAAAACATTTTATGAATATGCAGTAAATTGTAAATTTACATAGTAATTACGCGTACAATCGCAGATCGAAGAGGCGAAGCAACAATGCTAGTTTGCGCGGCGCTTCGAAGCGTCGAAGTACTCAAATGCAACATGCCAGGTAAAAGAGTATCAATCAATAAACTAGCAAGCGTGGTAAACACAAGCTGGCATCGTTAACGGGTGATACTCGTAAAATATCTGTTCCATATATTGGACCGTCGACGAGTCCAACTCGGCGCGGCGCGTCCTGGTAGGTTGTAAACCTACAATTGCATCGTAAATCAAGTACAAAGTCACAAAAAGCTCAACGCAAAAATAAAAGAGGATTAGTTTAATAAAAATTTCCTTTTGCGGATGTTACTCGTCTTAATTTCTTAATTAAAGCGCGCAGATTTCTTTTCGAAATTGTGGCCCGAGGAAGTGGTAAAAAGTAGCGCAGCACGCGCCGGGCTAGTCCATATTTAACAATGGACAAAGTGTTTTTAAATACAATTTTTAAATGTTAGATGTTTGATATCTTTTTTACGTAAGTTTATGCAGAAATGGCTGGACGAAACCGTAAGTGGCATATTATTATGCCATGTTACGATTCTGTTGACTAACCGAAGGGCCGGAAGTGTATTAGGGCTGAAGTGACGGTCCAATATGTCATTCGCTAACATAATCATCTCTTGTCAATAACAGTACAGTTTTTTGAATAATGACTTACACTTCTTTTGCCACTACTTTTGTGTTTTTTCATAAAACTTTTGGTGACCTTCACAATACCAGTAGGTTTTAGATAGGGTGTTTCAGCTACATGGGTTGGAGATCCCATTTTTTGCGGTGATAATAATAATAATTATAATTCCATACAGTTTCAATTATTATAGAATTATTATTATTATTATTATCACCACAAAAAAGAGGACCCCCAACCCGTGTAGCTGAAACAGGGAGAAATGAGAATAACAGGGAGTCACTGCAGCTGGTACAAGAGCATGGGTCAGGAGCTTGGCTAACATGTCTCCCCATTCAACAGCTAGGGTATGCTTACAGCAAGCAAGACCACCTGACAACCACAACACTAGATCAACAAAAATTTTTAACATTTTAACCCCAAAGTTCAGAATGACTGACTTTACTACTACACAGGAGGAGCAAAGTGCAAAGAAACTGCCACAAACTGCTACAAACTGCTACTAACTGCTACAAACTGGCACTAACTGCCACAAACTGCTACTAACTGCTACAAACTGGCACTAACTGCTACAAACTGGCACTGTTTGTAGCAGTGTTCACCAGCCTAAGGTATTCAGCAACGGAGTCTCTCACATTGTTATGTCGGTAGTTCACAGTTGAGGGTATGATTATGATCATTCTTGGCTCCATAATTGCAGAATCTTGGGGTGTTAGGGATTATTGGTAGCAATGAATTGTGCTCTGAAAATTGCATCACTTGATTTAATTTATTGTATTATAATACTGTTTGAAGTGTAGCTGATGTAAGTGTACTGAAAGTTATCCTTGTAAGATTTAATGTTTTTAGGCAGGCCCCCTCTTCATTTGGACCTCAATCACGTTTTCCAATCCATTCGATCATTGGAACTGGATAGACCTCAAAGATTGCCATATTCTTGGAACAACCCATTTGTAGCATCAACAATTAATTAGCAGCAGTTTTATTCAGTACAGGGGTTGGTGGTCTAGTGGTCGGTTTAAGGCCAAGGTACTTTTACCAGAAAATTACGGTTGAGGACCTACTTGCGCCATCAATCTCAGAGGGGAGCACTAAGGATTTCTATACAATCTCATTATACACAGCCGAATGATCTGGATATCACGTCAGTGATTGAAGGTTAAATAAGGAGGTACCCTGCCAAAAGATCTGGAATCTTCTGTTGATTGCTGAACACAATCTTATTAATAGAGTGGATTCCACTAATATAGCCATCATATCACTATCAACATATTTCAAAGCTTTTGATGTGGTATCATGTAAATAAATTTGCAGAAAGCTCTTTTGTTGGACCCTGCCTTTGCATGAGGCTCGTTGCCATTGTATCATTTTTATTTCTCGAGTAACTCATTGCTTAACCATCTGAAAATGTTGGATGTTGAAATTTGTTGTTAATATCTGATAACCAACATTGTTATGACCTTTGGTAATTTGTTAACTTATCAATCAATACTAATTCAATGAATCATATGCAGATGTCTTCAGGCTTTGAAGATAAAACTGGCATCATCAAATCTGCGACTGATTGGGGTAGTTGGTATCAAACTATTGAAGACATCACTGCAGAAATACTTGTACCATTGACCACTAAAGGTAGAGACATTAAAATCAAGATTCTGCCTTCATCTCTTTCGTGTTCTGTAAATGGAAAGGAGGTTCTGTCTGGTAAGCTATTTGCAAGTATTGTTTGTGATGAGAGTACTTGGACTTTAGAAGATCATGAAGACAACTGTCGCATCATCCGTATTTTCCTTGTGAAGGGTAATAAGACTCCTCAAAGTTGTTGGACTTCATTACTTCAAGATAAATATCCAGCTGATATGGACACCCTTGACAAAATGCAGAAAAAAATTCTCCAAGAACGCTATCAATCAGAAAATCCAGGATTTGACTTCAGTCAAGCAGAAGTAACTGGAAACTATCAGAATGGGGGTCCTACTTTATCATGAATATCCAATTATATCATTTGGGGTAACCTTTTCTTGGGTATACTATGTTTTTTATATGTCGAAGTGTGCTAGAAACACAAGAAGTTTATTTATTATTTATATACATGTAAATATTCATCTAAACTAAAAAGTTATTACAATTGTTACAAAATTTAATGATTATGCTTCTGGTCTACGATACGTTCAATTTAATGTTAATGTTTTGTCAAGTTTCATTTAAAACAACTTGCAAATATGTTGAATATTCCATAATGAATTCTCAGCCTTCTATATCGAATAGAGCTATCTGTTAATCTTCATCTTAAAGACAATTAATTAACGACTTATTTTCAGGATGGGTCCCAAAATTCCTGTTCGAGGTTTAGTAGCCAGGCGCAAAAAAATTCGAATAGTTACAGCTGTGCTATTCACATTTGTCGGCGGAATTTGTATCCTTTGATCTTGAATGATAAGAAAAGAAATCGGTACATTTAAGTTAAATGCAATTGTCTAATAATCCCTAATAATAATTGATTGAATTTTGATAATTTAGCTAATGTGCTTGTCTTCCTTAACATTTCCATCAAAAGTTGCCAAAACTGTTGGGCAGTATGGATCTGATGATTTTCCAGAACTAGATCAGCCCAAAAGTGCAAGATGAATATACACACGGAGGCTCTTCAGCTATACTAACAGCTTCATTCTGGCAGAAGAGAGCTTGTCGAAATGAACAGTACTGAAGCGTCGAGAATCGAATCAATTCATGATTGAGTAATAGAGCACCAGATATTAAATTCTTCAGTGACATTGATACTTAATTTATTAAATGGATATAGGAAGATAATTTGATAATGTCTAGTGATCCAACACAAATTTAACAGTAATGAGGTAGATATTAGTTAATTGAAGTAATTTGCTGTTCTACCAAAGCAACGTTTTTTCTACATTAATTGCCCTGCCCCATCACGTGGTGGTACCAGTAAATATGTTGGAGGAAATAGCCAATTTACTGTTCATGTTGCGTGCACCTTTATTAATATAGCTTTTTACAGCCAACTGTATGATTCCATTTCTGGTCGTTTTAATCGGTTAGCATTTCTGTTTATTGAATAGTTCATGACATGTTTTCTAAAATATTGTCTCCATGCTGTTTAATGTATAATTTGTACATACCAGTGGACATTATTATATTTTTACCATAATAATATGACATGGCAGACAGCTTAGTCTGTTGTTTAAATATTTTAATTAACCGTTCACAATAAAATGTGTATAGGTGTGTCACTTAGGGCTAGATTATGAATCTTGGAAGATAGCAACTCAGCTGGCTCACATGTGGAGTCACAGAGAAAACAGTTTCAACAAATGAAAGTGAATGGAAATGGACAACCAGAACGATTGGCTCTATTTGCTCAAACGGACAGCGAATTGAGGTTTGTGTCTGATTTAGTAGCTGCACACACTTTCATGCCTCTTATTTTCATAGCCTCTCATCTGCCCTTCAAATACCGTGCTGGACACTGCTAGAAAGATGATATCTAGTACATTACAACATTGTACATTATGCCATTGACTTATACCTTACATTTTAGTGAAAGTGATGGAAGTGACCCGGAGGAGACAGCATTTGAGCGAGAGTTTATTGACATCAATAGAAGAAGATCTATGCGTAAACACAAAGAAAATTCTACCACTTTGTCACCAAATGCTTTGTCTAATAATAAGGTAAGTGTTCACAATTAGTCCTTAATAAGATATACTTTAATAAGATATTGTACTTTTATTCTTATAGTTCTCGCGGATATCTTTATTCTAACCGGCAAACAACATAGTCTGGCAATATCATGACTTGTACATATATATAATAGTATTAAGTATTCATTATGCTAAATGACGGAATATTCAGGTGGCACTGTCAGAGTGTAGTGTTAGTCCTATTTCGAACATGTCTGGCAGATCCCATATCTCCGCTAAAACACCCTCCACCACGTCCGGACTTCCCTCCAGTCGATCCTCCCGACTCTCTCAGGTGATTGTCATTGATTTGTTAAAACTATGTTCCTGAGACCAAAAGTAAACTTTCAGTACTAAAGTAGCATGAACAGAGGCTCATTACAATCATTTGAATTAACACTAATATTGCAGCTGAACAAAGAGGATCTGAGTGACAGTGAATCAGAGGAGCCTCTGTATATCACCAAACCATCTTCTCATCTGCTGTGTAACATCTGTAAGAGAGTTCTTAGACGCCCCGTCATCACTCAGTTAGTATTCCAACATTCTCCCCTAATCGAAAAGTTATTTAAACATTGCATCTCACAGTCCATGCGTATATTATTTCTATCAAAACTCACTTTAAATATATCATCACTTGTCTTGTCGTAAGTGTATTTGAGTTGTTTTTATAATCTAATGAGCATGTTCTTAATAATAAGACCACCAATTTCTCAGATGTGGACACACATACTGTGCTAGATGTGTGATGATTGGCAGAGTTAAGGACTGTCCCATGGACGGTCAGGAACTAGCACTAGTCGTGGAAAACATTGCACTTCGAGAACAAATCGGTGGTTTGATGGTTGGTGAAATTAAATATTGTTTTGTTAACTCTTCAGATTCTTATTTGGGATCTAAACAGGTTTTCCATTTAAATACAATATACATATTCTGTTTTTCTCATTCAATCTGATTATGTTTAGTCGTGAAGTAAGATTGTATTAGGAGATAAGAACTAAGAAAAGACTAATTAACATATCAATTTTCCTCTGTTCAGGTGTACTGTAAGTTTGGTTGTGCTATAAAGGAAGGTGGGGATAAAGTCTACACCGGTCAGTCCTGCACGGACAAACTCACATTCCACCAGCGCAAAGTTCACGAATCCCAGTGTCCGTGGTCCATCGTCCCTTGTCCCAACTCGGAGGAATGCGGGACACTGCTAGCACGTGACGTGACAGAGCATTTGGTGGAATGTAAGCATGCCACGTGTGAGAACGTTAAGTACGGGTGCGACTACAAGGGGACTAGTGGAGGGGTTGATAGACACGAGGAGGATTGTAAGTTCAGGGTAGTGAGGGGGGTTATTGAGAGTTTCCGGGGCACTATAGAGAACCTGGTGGTAGAGGTGGGTAAACAGAACAAGCAGATAAAGGAGCTGAGGAATGCTGTGTTGGTGATGGAGCAGGAGAATGTGCAGAGAGACAGGTAGGAACAGTGTTGTTGTGATGTTGTACAGTGTTGTTGTTTCTAAACATTGCTGGCATGTTTATAATTAGTTGTGATATTATTTTAGTTTACATTTTAGTTCAAATTATTGTATGATTTGTTTGTTAACGTGAGAAACTTAATTCAGGAAATTGGATCTGAAGTTGACATTGCTAGACGAATCACAGTCTCACTGCAACACCTCGCTTAACGAAACTAGACAGATGGTCAACGAGATCAGCACAGAAATGAACAACGTTCAGTCACAGGTATTTAACCCCCAATTAATGGATATGTCCCCACGATTCTTTAGTTTGTTGTGTAATACGACGGTGGTATTATGTCTCTAGTTGTCACTTTTGCTATCAATTCTGAAATCTTGTAAAAATACACAAGGTAGAAATTGTAAGTAATTTTATATTAATCCAGTCCGACTATGAGTTTGACCCAGATAAGGTAAACCTCCCGGATTTTGCATATTTGGGTCTTTAGATGTGGTTTTCTGGTTTTCTGGGTCAAGAGTTAGAGAATGCTTACTTTTAAAACAACTTTTCATGCTTAGTTAAAAGTCTTAAATAGCTTCAGCCAAAGCATACACGTTGTAGAATCAGGTATCAAAACTGCTGAAATTTAAATTTAAAGCCGAATTATCAAAATGCAGCCTTAGCCTCGTAATCTGCGGGATTTTACATGCATGTACAAGCATTTTTCGTCTTTATCAATTGTATGCCAAGATTTGAAAACAACCGTCAGACTCCTCATCAGAAGATATCATATTAGTATATTTGATTTTGTGTATTTCATGCATAAAGTATATTGCAAGTACTGATAATTTAAACACTGCAGCTAGGATTAGTCGGAAACATAGAGCAGCACGTGTTTAAGTGCAAGGGAACCTTTGTTGGACACGATGGTCCCATCTGGAGTATGGCTAGCTCGGGAGATCTCCTCTTTTCTGGATCCAGCGACCACACTATCAAGGTATCATCTCTTTTTGATTAATTATATATATATATATATTATATTCATAAAATTTTTGCTCTCTTCATTAATCTATTTTGTTGGAACTATTATTTCATTTGATAGTGCTGTACTGTAAGAAGTTGTCTTATTGTAAAAATTGCATATTTAATATCGAAGGAGTCCTCTCGGTCCTATTTACCATTCCCTTCACCAGATATGGGACACACTGGCAAACTTCACCTGTCTCAAAACACTACAAGGACACGAAGGAATGGTGCTGGCCCTCTGCGTGCACAATGGTGTTCTCTACAGCTCAGCTAGTGACAACAAGATCTGTGTCTGGGATATCAAGTCCCACAGGTTACTGGAGAGTTTCTCTGCTCACAGTAACCCTGTGTGTACTTTAGCTGCTAATGATAGCTACTTTTTTAGTGGCTCTCTTAGAGTTATTAATGTAAGTTTTTAAATCTTTAGTGCTTGCAATATTCTACCATTTTAGTAGTAGCTGTCATTTGATTATATGACACAGTGCCCTTCGTCACATGTTACACAATGCCCTTCGTCACATGTCACATGTGACATATGCTTTACTACCCAGGTGTGGGATGTGGCAACATTCCAAGCAGTCCACACGATAGATAACCTAAACCATTGGGTTAGAGCCCTGGTTATAAAGAAGAACAAATTGTACGCTGGAATTTACCAAGCCATCAAGATATGGGATGTTACTACTTTCGAAACTGAGAGGATAATCGACATAAAAGGTTGATAAATAATCTTTAATTACTAACTTTCTTCATGTCAAGCAGTAATTGAGTAATTATCTACCCAGACTACTGTAATTTTGACATAAATTTCATAATTAAGTGTAAATTAAGCGCTGAACCGAACTCTAATCTCTTGATTCACACTAACCACCTCTATTACCCCTCATTTAACACGTGATCCTGCAGGCGGTAGTGTGTACTCCATGGTAGTAACAGATAGCTGGATAATATGCGGTACCTACGAGAAGGGTATCCAGATGCACTCCCTGCACAACGACCAGAGTCACGTACTAACGGGACACACTGGCACTGTGTACTGTTTGGGTTTCTACACATCCGCTGGTCATACACGACTTTTCTCAGGTCAGTATTCAGTTGGTGTCATTCAATCTGTTTAGGGATCGCGGTTATCACCACTATGAGTCAGAAGTCATCATATTAACGACAATCTATTGCCCGCCTCTCATAAGTATTACTTGGTCTATAATACGCATAGGCTTTAATTCAAAATGTTGGAAATGACTAATTAATTGAAATAAAACTAATGCCAAATATGTTCAGGAGCCAATGACAGGACAATCAAGGTATGGAATGTTGACAGGAAGATCCCGTCTCAGACTCTGGACCGTCATCAGGGATCAGTCTGCTGTTTGGTGGTTGCTAAGGGCAAAATATTCAGTGGTGCTATGGATTCTACGATAAAAGTTTGGCAGTGACATTCCTGGGCCATTAATACAGCTCTGGTACAACTTTAATTTTACGAAATCACCTGATAACATAAGTTTGGTGTTCCTACCTTCTTGTTTGTGAAAATTATGTGACTTGACGTTAAAGTTTATTCGTTTTGGTCGATAATCAACTAATCAGCTGTGATATTGAAACTTGATGACGTCACGTGATCGGATAATCGAATACCGCCGCGCTAGATGACAACGGTCCGACTCAATGACGTTCATTTAATTTCAAATTTTGAACTTTCGATAGCTCAACGAAAACTTTGGAACTTTGTGCTTCAAATCACCCCGTCATAAAATTATTTAATCATGAATTAATTCGTTACAGTTTTTAGAATTCTTTTCGTTGTTTTACTTTAATTTTCATGTTATATAATTTAATAAGTATCAAGTAATGAGTAAACCCATTTTACAAGTTTGCAGCAGTTATATTTTTGATACAATCGTGTAATTTTCATTATATCAATTATATAATCTCCAATATGTATTATATTCTTTTATGGAAATCGTCTATCATATTTTGTCAATCATTTGCTTTTAGGTACCACAATGAATTATTTTTGCACTATAAAAATAATGCTTTATATTCTCCAGACCTGGTCTACTAGTAATCTACTAGTAGATTACTAGTAGATTACTAGTAGATTACTAGTAGATTACCAGTAGATTACTAGATCTACTAGTAGATATGAAGTACTACAGTGAAACTCCGATTTACCGCGGAGTTTGTGGAAAGGAAACAGCCGCGGTAAATTGGGGGTTTGCGGTAAATCAGGGTTTTACTGTATTCAAATTATTTATGTCAACAACTAAACAAATATAACGTTCTTATAGCATGGTATAGATAGCAACATTTGCAATAGTCAACGGCTTCAATAAGTTTCGCAAAGTACTGTACATAGCATATATTATTACATTAATCATTAGACTAATCAATCAGTTGAACTGACCAAACGTTCATAATACTCTCATTCAAATAAGCTTTAAGATAAATTATAATTTCTACAATAGATCATAAAATGAATAGCTTAGTTTTTAATACTATTTAATATTTTGCATTAATGCGGGAAAATCAAACTTAACTTGAAGTCGTTCTGATGTTCACCAAATAACTGATAAAGCGGAATTTTTAAAAATCAGAGAATCCACTTTTGCAACTCTGTATAAGATCTAGCTGATAGTTTCACTTGTTCCACTTAAACATGGACTACTTTTAAACTCCTCCAAAGCCTTACTCGTATCAACTTCCCTTCTACTGAAAGTTCTCAACAGTTTAGTCACGTTAAAGTTCTCAGAGCTGGCAGTGTGGCTGAAAGTTTTCTTCACAGCCCGGGATATGGAGATTTGCTCGGAAACACGGGGATTAACACAGAAATATATGACAGGGTTAAAAACACTGTTGGTATAGTAGAGGGTCACTGTGAAGATCTGAGCAACTTCATAGGACATGTTGATGTAGAAGGTAGCCATCAGAATCTCTGGAATACAGACTATCATTCCAGTTAGGATGATTGTTGTAGTCGTGATTATCACTTTTGTGAATTTGATCTTGTTTTTAATGATAGCTACAATGATGAGAATGTATAGGATGCTGAGTACAACTAAAGGAGCGAGCAAGAAGAGCATTCCTTCGTAGGACTCGGACTTTTCGTAGACACATCTGTGGTACTGTCTCTGATACACCATCTGGAAGGAATTTGGAATAAACAGATGCCTGGTTAAGTTTCAGCATGTTATGAATTTTTTTTGGGTTTTTTATTCTTATAAAAATTTGATCAGCTGATATAAGATACAAAATACCGCCATTAAAAGTAAATCATAAACCCTAACTAAGATTCACCGTATTTGTACCAAGGAGAAATTTGATTGCATCAAGAACTCCTGCACTGACAGAAGGTAACCACGAGATGGTAATCATTACTATGCTGACTTTGTACGTGACAAAACTGTTGTATTTTAGTGGGAAGGTCACCGCTAGGAATCTGTCAAAAGCCATCGGTATCAGGACTAGCATCAGAGAGTTCCTGAAAGGAAAATGTTTTGGTAAACTAGAAGATAGAGATGAAATATCTTTTTAACACCGATGAAATTATTGATGATTTCAATGAACATCTCTGGTTTAAATCTTACGTGAAAACGTTGATTAGGATAGTGTAGCCATAGCAGAAGTTGGTAGCCTCAAAAAGGTCGGTTACTCCGACAAATCGCTTAGAAACAATGCCCAGTCCTCTAACAATTCCAATCATTGACATTCCAATGTCACTGAATGAAACATTCAGTATGAAGATCCCCTGAAATGAGGCAATCTATTAAATAAGGAATTATTATTATATAATGCAGTGTATGTATAAACCTATGCCTCCGCGATACTCATTATATATATCTGAATTGATATTGTTATGGTTTACCTTGCGTCCTGGCAGTTTTATCCTGTTAGATATTATCGAGTAGATAAGAAAGCTGCTGAGAAAGAATCCCAGAACACATATTCCTATCAGACAGGATCCCTGAAGTGTATGTTAATAGTGTCAGTATTGTTTATCAGCTCTATTTATTTATTATCACGCTCTTACTGTTTGAAAACTAATGCAATGTTGGTAAAAGTTTGTTTGTCTTCAGACCGAAACATGTTAAATGAAACTTTTATCATGGAATCAGTAATTGTTTATCATATTATTATATTTGTTATGATAACATATTATTATGTTACCATATTTTGGTCAACGTTTAGATAAATGAGTTTATACTATTACTAAGTAAACTTACGTTAACGATTCGAAACATACAGACTCCATCAGTTTCATTCACACATTTGTGATCTCGAATGTTGTAGACCATATTGTTTACACTCTGAATGGTAATGGTTTCACAGTTCACACTATATCGTCCCAACTCAAATCGCGCTGCAATTTACCAGACAGTTTCCTTGAAACCAAATTGAACAAACGAAACTTGCGAAATAATAATATGCTCTATACTTTAACAGCAACCGGTTATCTTCGTATGTGATTAAGTTTGATGTTGGTAGCTACTAGCTAATACATATCGAGATCGGTAAAGGATGTTAATAGTTGATAGTTAGTAGTTAATAGTTAATAGTTAATAGTACTATGTTTACAGTATGCACTGAAGGGGTATCCTAGGAAGTTTCTTGAACTTTTAACAGGCACCCCTCTTCATTTAACTCTCAATTAAGTTTCTTATCATTCGGCTGAGTTGACCGAGGAGAGCATAGATTCAATGGATCCTTAGATACTCCTTAGACTAGGTGACACTGGGATTCGAATGTTAATTGCTTCGCTACTATTGTATGCGTTGGGAAAATTGCAATTTAAGGTTCATTTTTAGAAAGTATCACTTTTAGAGATCTCTACGAAGTCGCTATCTCCCGTCCAAGCGAACAAACTAGATGGAACGAACAAGATTTAAATTTGTCATATTATCTCACTCACATTTACTGACGTTCTTGAGTTGGTCGAAGTTTAATCAATACGTGACATTACCGACATACTTCACAATAGATACGAATTAACCTCTTAAACTGCCCAATTGTTATCAATAATTCGTTTAAGGAATACAGCAGTGGACACAATGAGACGAGAACTCGACATCAAATTGAAGACTGCCGGAAGCCCACCTAAGCCCACCAACTTATCCTCTTCTGAGATAAAAGGACTCAAATGGTTGGAACAGCGCATTAAAGATGGGACAATAGCCATCACTAAGGCAGACAAGGGTGGTGCAACCCTTATTATCGACCCTGACCTCATCAAGCAACGGACACTGGAGAAACTGGAAAATCAGGAACTATATGAAAAGTTGGACTGTGACCCTACCCAACAGCTGTATGAGAAACTCTTCAAGCACTGGGTACAGGGAAAAGAAGAAGGACTGATATTAGCAAGGGATGCGAAAGAAGTGATGGGTGTTTCTGACAACACCAGAGCAGACCAAACTGGACCCACAAACCGCCCCAGTACCCTCCCTCACTATCGCCCTGGCCAGCCGTATTTCTACCCTGCTTTTAAAATTCATAAGCTGAAGAAAGAAGAACTCATACCAGGGGCCAAACCACCAGCAAGACTCATTACCGCCCTCCACGAAGGAGCCAGCAGACGACCGGATGTCTTCCTAGCTGATAAATACCTACGTCAACTAGAAAGGGATTTTTGCGAAGACCTTCTTATTGATAATAGAGACGCCTTAGTCTGGCTCGACAACATCAACAATACCCTGGACACAGAACTCAAAAGCAACATTAAAGCATTCACATTTGATTACAAAGCTTTATATGATTCATTGAGTCCCCACCTCACACTCCAAGCTTTGAAGGTGGCCATGGAAGAAAAGAGACCAGAATGGTCCGCCAAATTTAAGGAGTGGTTGATAAGAAGTGTTGAACTCAGCTATGAGTCGTCTATAGGCAAATTTAACGGAGAGTGGTACAGACAAAAACGAGGAGTACCGACAGGAGGCAGTATCTGTGTACAACTTGCAAACATAGCAGTATACCATGTCATGCGTGAGCAAGTCTATTCAGACACGGAACTAATGGAACCTGTAAAATCGGTCAAGAGATACATAGACGACGGCTGTGGAGTATTCCATGGTACGAAAAGACAGTTTTCAAAATTCATCGCGACTGTCAATACAAGGCTAGCAGAACTTGGCCTCCACATTGATGAGAACATCATAGAAGATAACAATGTTTATGTGGCGTTCTTAGACATAAAATTTTGTTTCGACACCGCAGGTGATCTTCAGACAGACCTCCATGTTAAAGAGACTGATGCTCGCTCTTACCTGTACTTCGGTTCCCACCACCCGAACCATACATTCAGCAGCATAGTCTATAGTGCATGCCTGAGACTCCGGCGAATCATCAATGATAACGACAGACTCCGAAAACAAATTGATGAATTAAAAACCTTTTTCTTCCAATCCAACTACCCTAAAACTATGGTAGATAACATCAGTGAAAAAGTCAAAGGCTTTGAAAGATGCCTCAAACCACTGGACAACTCAAACAGCAGTGTCCTGGTCCCAAAGTCTCCAGATCCAGCAGTCCGCGTTATTTCAACATTTGGCAGCGATCAAGAGTTAGTAGAATCGGTAAAAAGATTGGAACCAGAACTCAGTAGAACCAGGAGCTTCTCAGGATTATCTGGTTAGTGGTTCCCATACAAGTGGAAACACCCCAGGCTCCCCGATATCATCTAGAGCCGGTACATCACGCCCTATCTTCAAATTCGTCAGAAGTACTGGAACATCATTTAGAAGGAAGTTAGTCAAAGCAAAACAGTTTGCGGATGACTTAACCCAACCTCACACAAGACCATGTGGGGGCAGACACTGCGGTACCTGTAACATCATATCTCCACATCCATCAATTACAGTCAATGGACAGCGAGCCAAAGCAGTGTCTGGTACATGTGTCAGCTACAATGTTGTATACATCTTCAGTTGCCAACTTTGTAATATGTGTTATGTAGGAAGAACGGTGCAGCCCCTAAGGGCACGAGTAAACGAACATCGCGCCCATTACTACAAACTCATTTCGGACAATACGTTTGTCCCTGAAGAAAACGACGACGGATTCAGCTTGGGTAAACACCTTGTAGAAGTTCATAACATGAAACAACGTGACAATTTCAACCAGGCTTATAAAGTGTCAATTCTCAGTAATAGTAGCCCAAGAACTCTAGAAGTGGATGAACACCGTTATATTCAGAAATTAAGAACTATACGTCCATTGGGGCTCAATGCCGTGGACCCGTTTGGGATTCCATTATTGGATTTATCTTAAAGGTTTTCCATTGCATTGGGGCACAAAAGTTATGTTTTTAAAAATATTCATAGATATCATTTTTAGTTGTATCATTTCATTTCCAATGTTACACTTTGTAGGAACTGATATTAACCGAGTTTCTGATTCAGGATGTTACTGAAGATAGTAATGAAAATGTTTTAACACCTCAGTACTGTGTTTTACTACAGCTCAACCTGCTCAGTCTGACTATTTGGGAATTTAAACTCTTGAAAAGGATAAACAGAGATGTTTTCCAAGATGCCTAACTCGTGAAAAATGAAACAAAGCCTCAATAATATTTGATAAGGACTAGACTGAGACTGGACTAGACTGAGACTCTGAGACTAGACTGAGGAACTCGATAATAAGGACTGAGAAAAAAATAGTGTGAGCCTCTTGTAACTATTTGTAAAGCATTTATTTATAGCATCCTATCAGCGTAAGCTAGCACATTCTTTTGACTTGAAAGCCATTTAGGTATATTAGGAGCACAATGCAATAGGTACACAGTTTGTAACATCATGGATGCTGACTAAGCTTACCTGATCCTCTCCAACTTGTATTAGTACACTACTTCATTCACACCAGTCATTTCACTACATTAAACTGATTGAGGTTATGCCCTTTGTACATGCTGAAGCGATATGCTATGATGAGTGGAATATGAGTTAGGATCAGTTTGGTCCGTTTCATGGCAAAAACATTTATTGAGGTACACAGTATCTTTTATCTTCAATGTGAATACAGCGTGAATTGACAACTTATTAGAGAAAGTCATTTCTAAAGTTTGTAAACAAAAGGTTTTTTGTGCTATATAGGTGTAATTGAAAATTAGCAAACCTGTTGGCTTAAGACGCTCGAAAGGTGTACACAGAACGGATGTAAAAACAAACGCTTGGCTTCCTGAAGAGTAAGATACAAGTGAAATAGAGTACTACCATAGGGTAGAAATACACACCTCACTAGTTACTATGTAAAGACAGATGCGTATCACACTAATGATGAAATATGATCCTCCATGACACCATTAGTTTGTTTGCCCAAGTAGTTGATATCCTTAGTAAATGTAGACCTATGTGTTGTGTTTAAATATTGCTACATATTCCGACCGACTTGCTAAAACTTCTTTTTTGGTTGTAATTATGCTAAATATAAAGCGAGTTAAAGATGCTGCTGCCCCAGTGCTGTCTAGAGTCTAAACGAGTCCAACAACCGGATTTAATCATTTGTCCCTGTTTTATCTCCCAAATACAATAACAAGTTATATTTAAACAAATCTAAAACTGGACTGCTCATTATCAGGTTATCATCGCGCTTGATTCGTCTTAGGAAATACAAAGTTTAGTGATCGGCTGCTGCTGCAATCACCATTTTGGGACCTACACTCTACAGGGATCAAACACGAACCACATGAATTAAACTGACCCTCAGCCAAATGAGCAACTCTACCAACAAATCACAATCAGTATATTAAAATATGTTTAAATCTCTGTTGGATGTTGAACTCGTATTAATTCAGAGCTTTGTAATCTAGCAGTATGTGGTCATTAGCTGTCCACGTGTTGTCTATATAATTTACACATATGCCAGGTCACACCTGTTACCTGCATACTTTATCACGGGGTATTACTTTAGTACCTACTGTGTACAACATATAATATTTAACCAGAAATAGTCTTGTCTTGATTAGAAATAGTAAGGCACTTTATATTAGTACTTACTGTGTACAACATGTGCACGACAAACTCTTTCTGGAGGAACTGTTGAAATATGGGACTACTTGATTCGGACGATTCACGATGTACGCAACAAATAAAAGTATACGGAGTGATAATCGACGATTTGAATCTTAGTGACAGAGATTCGTAGATTTGTCTAACAGATTTGTCTAAGGTTTTGCAGATGCAAATGACCACATACAAATTCTACAATAAAAAATCCAGAATCCCACACGATCTAAATCTTTAGCCTTTGATTTGATCTCAAAATTGGAAATTGAACTAAAAATTAAATGATGATCTGGGAAATGGTCAGATTACGTCACACAAATTTTTCCGCAAATTTGGTTTTGGTCAGCGAAAAAAACATTAAAAAAGACCGCCACTCTCTAATCGAATGAATGGTATAATTACTCGTTATCTCCGGGCAAGGTGACTAAACTACATTTTAATGCTATCAGTCAATTGCAGTCAATTGCAGTCAATTGCTTGATGATTATTAAACTTCTTAAATTATCGGTAATCTGTTTAAGCAAGATATAGAATAACGAATGATTTATTTTAACAAAATTAAAAACTTAAATTTAGTTAAACAACAGACCTAAACATAAATCCAACTGGGGAGATTATTGATCGTAATTACCTTGAACTACAGTAGTATTTGCGCTGATGAAATCTCTAATTTCACGATTAAGTGGCTTATAACGACCCTGATGGCCCTGGTAAATGTTAACGCTAATAGCCCTGGTTGTAATGACACTCACCACTCACCAGGTGGTTTCTAAAGTACTATTGTCTGTGTAATTGTAGCTCTTCTTTCCTTCCTTGTAGGATGATGAGTCAATCATACGGCTTACGGCTATAAGAAACTAATCTGAGGGAGAGTGGTAAACGTTGAATACAAATTGGGCACTTATTGTTATGGTATGTTCGAATAGCAGTAGTCAGCATTACAAGTGTTGGTAATACAACTAGGCTGCTACAGGGGTTTGGAGGCTGCTTTCACGTTAGACCAATTTTCATTTAACGGTCATGCTTCAGCTCATCAAGACCTGTCCCTCCAAATTAATCTCGAGATTGAACTTGGCCGAAATAACATAATCATCGAAAACGAAGATTAGGTGGGTGTAGCCTTTTTACTTAGGTATCGACTCGATCGAGGTAGAGTGGGTGCCCAGTGCCCACAAACAAATAAAACAAACCAGGCAAATAGTTTTCACTAAGATCCAATTAATCATATCAAACCCGCAGTTTCTACATCCTCCCTAACACCGTCAGTCGTCACCCTTGGGAACAAACTTTATTAAACTTATCAACTCTAAAAACCACTACAATAAATACGTTAGAAATAACGGCAGTCTATGTTTAACAACCATGATAAAAATAGAATATTTGTCACTTGAAATATGCAGATTGCAGGATGGTTCAAAGTTCAGTAAGGTTTAATCGATTTCTTGCCCTATCTTAAGCCGATAAAAATCATAAAGCTTCAATGATGAATGAATCATAAGGCAGTAAGAAACGAATCAGAATCTATGATCGATAACCATTAGATACAAAACGAATGTTCAATGGTGACAGTTCAACTTTGATAATAATATCAATATGACAGAATATAACAAATCCGATCTTCAAGTTCAAGGAAGTGTTTAACGTTAATGACCTTGAATGTTAGATTTATCATCTGTCATATTGTCATAGTTGAATTGTTTAATGTTAATGTTTATGGTAAATATTGAAGACTTACATAATGTAAATAATGTCTTTAAAAACTCATTAAATAATGCACTAAACATGGGTTTGTCTCAGAACCATGTAAGAATTTCTAACATTAACAACCTATGAAACGTTTATGGACGTCAAATCGTCGGTATTTCAAACACAAACGTTATTGGAGGCGCGGTGTTATAACGAGTTATTACGAGTTGAATACGGTGAAGATTTAGTCTCTAAGCCACCTGCCTCTTACCGGTACTTACCAACACTTACCAGGCTAACTCTTAATAACACAGCTGCCTATCATCTGTCTAATTAGTTTCCTGTAAAGTATCTTCTCATCCAGAATATGATATAAGCTATTATGTATTATACTTTGATGAATTATCACAAGCGCTACTATCGCTCAATTCCCAGCAAGTGACTTATGACTTATTTAGAATTTAGTATAGTACTCAATACTCATTGTATATTATGATAATTTATGTTATGAAAATCTTGAGAAATTATTATAATTGAGGGGATGTGTGGAGGTAACTAAACGACACCTGGTAGAAATTAGAATTCCTTTCTTTAATGAGCCTTTCGAAATTTGCAGTTCATAACGAATAACGATGAGATATATTATTATTTCTATTCGGTGCACCGAAATCAGCGGTCGAAATCTGAAGTTCGACACGATAACTTCGATTTTCGAACTAGGGTACCTTAAGGCCAATAAATTTGGTTCACAATAAATTTAGTTACAAACATTTTGGTTACCATAACTTTAGGGGTCTTTCACATATTATTACGTAATCAGCCGAGGGGGAGGGGGTTTCCAAATTATTACACTAGTGTAATTTTGACACCATAGCTATGTGTAAAACTGATTACGGAGGGGGGGGGGGGTCTACAACAGTTTTAGGACCACATTTTTCGACTTTTCGAGACTTTTAAAAGTTAAATCAACGTACAGGAGCAATGACCAAGATATAAAATGTTTTTATAAGTTAATATTTGTAAAAGTTTGACAACAATTACAATGTATTTTATTATCAATTTTTGGTCCTAATGACCCATTTAACCGATTTTTCGCAGTTTGCGACCGCAGTTAGAAAAAAGCGTTTAGCTCTGTTTGTGAACATCTGATTATCACGAGCTTTTCACTAGTCTCTATAAAATGTCCCAATCAAGGCAAGTAGTTAAGTGAAAGAAGTTAAGTGAAATATTTTCTAATTATGCTAAAGCACAGGGTACCAGTTTTACATTTGACTAGGTTAACTATTGACTATTGAGCAGTAGGTGCCTTAAAACGCGCTTGTAGTTTCAATTATATAGTAATGAATTATTCAATTATACGATTAAATTTTGTACAAAGCAAACAATACATATCTATTCAACTCTAAGTTTCATGTATGAATCATCAATTTTTTGGGTAACAAAATAGTATATTATATTCAAAACCAGAAAGCCCGTGATCACAGGGAGGAAGCTAATAGTATTCTTTGGTAGCCAGTTTTTATGGCATCAAAAAATATCTGTCACAACTGAAGATACAGCCGATTAAGATGTAGCTTTGCACTGAACACAACGTAATTACCACACAACTGATTACCATGGTTACTAGGCAGCTTTCTATTTTTCATCTGATTTGCACGTGGGCGGTCTTACAGACACAATTCTTCATTTTATATAGTAGAGACTAGGCTTACAGTCACAATATTCACAGGCATGCTGATTGCTGCCTACTATGAGTCAATATATGCTTTTTCAAACTTCGAGCTGTCCTCGCTTTAGTACAGTGGTGAGGTCTCTCTCTGGTGTGTGACAGTTTGTGAATAGCAAGACTGCTGGATCTATTCGATTTATAATCACACAAACTGCAAGGAGTAAGGTTTATCTCCGGTGTGTGTCCGTCTGTGCCTACCAAGATTGAACGATGCATCCTCCTCACATTCACAAGTGCATACTGATGATGACCAGGCTGAAGTAGTGATAACTTGCTGGTCGTCTGTCATCTCTCTTTGATATCAACCTTCTCAAACTTTTCTGTTTTTTGAACTGACATTCCTGATTGAAAGTATCAAATGAATGTTGTTTACGTTTTTAGCAAGAACAATAACAATTATTTGTGCAGCTCGAAAAATTGCAAAAATATTGACACAAAAGAAGTCTTGTTAAAACTGCAAAAGCAAAGCGACCCTGATACTTGGAAAACTGAAAATGTCACCTTACAAAATGTTTCTGGGCCTAGCATGTCCGTCGTCCTCCACGAACAAAATTAATTTAATTTAAGCGAAGAACTAGTTATTTAAACACTATAATTAACTTATCTGCAATGTGATACTGACAGAATGTTAACATTCTAACACAAAGTTATTAGATTGATATTTTTAGTCAGAGGTTGGTGGCTTCGAGTTAAATTTATGTTACGTTAGAGCAAAGATAATTATGCATGATGTTTTGCAATAGTTATAGGCCACAAAAAAACTTTTGCATATCTTTTCATATTTATTCTGAACAATATCACTTCAGCAGGAAGGATGAGTAAAGTAGCACTGCATTGGTTCAGATATGGTTTACGACTGCACGATAACCCTCCTCTCCTAAAATCAATCAAAGAATGTACCAACCTGATCCCTCTATATATTCTAGACGACGAGTATTTTAAGCCTGGAAAAGTTGGAATTAATCGCATAGGTTTCTTGTTGGACTCCCTAAAGGCACTTGATTCTGACCTCAGAGCTCTGGGTTCACAGTTGTTCGTAGCTAAAGGTAATCCACATGATGTAATCGAAAAGTTTATCCAGGAGCACAAGATTGAGGTTGTGAGCTTCGAAAGAGATACGGAACCGTATAACAAAGCTATGGATGAAAAGATCATGAACACTGTTCAAGCATTGAACGTTAAGTCTTTCCCATTATGGGGCCATACCATGTTCGACCCTGAATACCTTTTAGCGTTAAGCAATGGAAAAGCTCCACTGACCATGACATCATTCTTAAAACTCATGGCAGAGACTGGCGATCCTCCAAAACCAGTGGATCCTCCTAAATCAGTCCCACCTCCTCCAGCTGAAAACCTGACATGCAAAGACGTGTTTATCTATCAGGGTGTTCCTTCTTTATCTGACCTCAAACAGTACGACTTCAATCCAAAGGATTACACAACTTGGTTTGTCGCCGGAGAAAAGGAGGGTATCAAGGTAATGAAAGAATTTCTTGCTCAGAAGAAAAGAGTGTCAACGTTTGAAAAGCCAAAAACTGATCCCACAGCTTTGTCTCCAGACACGACTGCCTTGTCGCCTTACATGACACGGGGTAGTCTCAGTGCTAGGTTATTCTATCACAGTCTGAAGGATACATTAAAAGGTATGACTAGCAGTAAACCTCCGGTTTCACTGAAGGGGCAGCTGTATTGGCGTGAGATGGCATACCTTATAGGATTCAGTGTGCCTAACTTCAATCAGATGGAGGGGAACCCTATCTGTAAGCAAATACCCTGGCTAGAAGGAGATGAAGCAAAGTCTCTGCTAGAAAAGTGGGAAATGGGACAAACAGGCTACCCAGCAGTTGATGCTGTTATGAACCAGCTGCGAACTGAAGGCTGGATGCATCATCTTGCAAGGCATTTAGCAGCCTGCTATCTAACACGTGGTGATTTGTGGGTCACCTGGGAGCTGGGTAGAGATGTGTTTGATAGACATCTCGTGGACGCTGACTGGTCTATAAATAACTTTTCATGGCACTGGCTATCTTGTAGTGCTTTCTTCCATCAATACTTCAGATGTTACAGTCCTATCGCTTTCTTCAAGAAAACAGATCCAAATGGAAAGTTTATTAAAAAGCATGTGCCTATACTGGCAAAGTTCCCTGATAAATATATTTATGAACCATGGACTGCGCCCAAAGGTATACAGCAAGCATGTGGTTGCATTATCGGCAAAGACTATCCCAAACCAATGGTCGAACATAGTATAGTGGTAAAAGAAAATATGTCCCGAATGAAGAAAGCCTATGATGCTGGTAAAGCTAAGAAATCTAGCGAACCCCCTGCTAAGAGGTTGAAGCAGAATAGTCTGGGAAAATATGCAAAGAAATGAGGATTTTTGATGAATTAGTTAATCGTTCAGTTGCAGTATGCGACCACTGTGAGAGCAAATATTGTAGCATTTTTATTTATCATTATTATATATTGACTAAATTTGTATAATATATTAATTCTTTCAGTGTGTGACCGCTGTGAGAGCAAGTTTTTTAGCATCTTTATTTATTATATATTAACTAAATTTGTATGTATCTTTTAATTTAGTAAATGTTCCAGTTGTGACCGCTGAGAAAACAAGTATCTTTTTATTTTCTATTATTAGATGTATTAAATATCTCAACATTTATTGTGCTATTACACGATTGACAGAATATTTTAACAATGATAAATGAATGTATAGCACAAGCATTAAGAATTTACAGAGTCATGGCTTCTAGTTCGTACATTTACGTACTCGATATAAGGGCATTGTTGAAAGGTATTCAAATTTGTTCCAAGGTGTTTAGATCCGTGAATATTAGTGAAATTTGTTTTATTTTCGACTTTAGTATTGAATCCTTTAACGGTTCACTTCAGAATTATTTAAATTGTGAAATTGTTTTCATAAAATACTGCGATCTAAAAACTTTTCTGTTCCACTAAATGTTGTTTGATTAATTTCCACTATTTTGTATTCAACACTTCAACAGCTCTTGGCTATTTTGATATGAACAGTAAATTTCAAATCAAATAATGATTAAGTTTTACTATTCCGTGTTATTTGATATGTATCTGGAACAACATCTTATTGCCAAGGAAGGATAAGTACTGGTACATGGGAGGATTATACAACTTGGCATGCCATGTCGCCAGAAAAAATTATATAGTATAAAATTCATATGATAATTACTAATGATTTTAGCTTCACCTTGTCCTTGAATGATTTTATCAATTTAACCAGAATTCTCTTCAGATGTCATGCTCATGTTCTCACATTAAAAGCGAAGTAAAGACTGAAGAAGAGGATTTGATAAGCAAAACTGGAGGTTTTCTGTGTCCAGCATGTGGCGAACAACTTTTCTATGAGAAGTATTTCATTGAACATGTCAGGGAACGTCATTATAAATCTAACCTGCATATTACAGAACAAGATGGTTGTTCCGTTCAAAATAAATACGATGTTCTTAAATCAGAAGTAAAAACGGAGCAGAGTGATATTAATGGAGTGTCTGGAGGCTTTCTCTGCTCAGTTTGCGGGGAAAAGATTCTAGAGGAGGATAGTTTCATTAAGCATATAAAAGATCACGTAGAAAACTCTGGCAAACGAAAAAGACCAAAATGTGATGAATTTCAAAATGATACTAGTGATAATATTAGTAGTCTAGGATCTGGAATCAGGAATAGATCGGACAGTGGTTGCATTCGTCTGGAAAATTGTGATCCTCAAGAAAAGATCCGTGCTACAATTCACTCCGGAGAGAAACGATTTAAATGTCCAGATTGTTCGTATGCAACCGCTCGGAAATCACTCCTCAAAGTACATATGAGTACTCACTTTGGAGAGAAATCATTTAAATGTCCAGATTGTTCATACGTAACCGCTCTAAAATCAAACCTCAAAGTACATTTGAAGACTCACTCGGGAGAAAAACTATTTAAATGTCCATATTGTTTGTTTGCAACAGCTAATAAATCATATCTCAAAGTGCATACGAAGATTCACTCCGGAGATAAACCATTTAAATGCCCAGATTGTTCATATGCAACAGCTTATAAATCATATCTCAACGTACATACGAAGATTCACTCGGGAGAGAAACCATTTCAATGTCCAGATTGTTCGTATGCAACCGCTTGGAAATCAGACCTCAAAATACATTTGATGAGTCATTCCGGAGAAAAACCATTTAAATGTCCAGATTGTTTGTTTGCAACAGCTAATCAATCATATCTCAAAGTGCATACGAAGATTCACTCCGTAGATAAACCATTTAAATGTCCAGATTGTTCATATGCAACAGCTAATAAATCAAACCTCAAAGATCATCTAAAGACTCAATCGGGAGAGAAACCATATAAATGTCCAGATTGTTCGTATGCAGCAGTTCAAAAATCACAACTCAATTTACATATGAAGACTCACTCGGGAGAGAGACCATTTAAATGTCCACATTGTTCATATGCAACAGCGAATAAATCAAACCTCAAAGATCATCTGAAGACTCACTCGGGAGAGAAACCATATAAATGTCCAGATTGTTTGTTTGCAACAGCTTATAAATCATATCTCAAAGTACATACGAAGATTCACTCGGGAGAGAAACCATATAAATGTCCAGATTGTTTGTTTGCAACAGCTTATAAATCATATCTCAAAGTGCATACGAAGACTCACTCTGGAGATAAACCATTTTAATGTCCAGATTGTTCGTATGCAGCAGTTCAAAAATCACAACTCAATGTACATATTATTATGAAGACTCACTCGGGAGAGAACCCATTTAAATGTACAGATTGTTCGTACGCAGCAGCTCAAAAGTCGAATTTACTACGCCACCAGTAAATGCATGCTAGTTAGAATCATTCTAGAATCTTTGTTCTGAGTTATTTTATTTTTTTCATTATGTGCACTAAATAGTATGATTTTTATGATGTCGTGTCAAGTGTTAAAATTATTTATTTTATCTGATCATCTGAAGTGTTGTTTTAAAAAAACGATGAGTATCTAAATTTTACAATTTAAATCTATCCTTTTCCGTATTTAGATATTTGAATTTGGTAATAACTTGCCGAATAAAATAAAGTCAAAAACGTTCATATCATCTTAGACACAATTTTGTAGCCCAATAGGATATATTGATAATAGATATGTAACCATATCTATAATTGACGATAATTCATACACGAAATAGTTTACAGAAACATTAATTATATGACCTTGATTATACATTATTTCTCATGCCCATGTTAATAAATATAGTTTCTGGAATGCAATTGTCTTCTTTGCTTATTTATAATGTATGTTGACTTAAATCTCCCATTTCTGACTAAATGCATCCATAAAAAACTTATCCTCTAAAACACTGTATAGTGGCAAATTTATAATAGATGCACGGCACTCCTGATTCATGATAACATTACTGATGATTTTAATTTCCTCTTTAATTGTTTTAATAATTTAACCAGAATACTCTTCAGGTGTCATGTCCTCACATTAAAAGCGCAGTAAAGACCAAAGAAGAGGATTTGAGAAGCAAAACTGGAGGTTTTCTATGTCCAGCATGTGGTGAACAACTTTTCTATGAGAAGTATTTTATTGAACAATGAACATGTCCATGTCAGGGAACGTCATTATCAGCCTGACCTACAAGTACTAGAAAAGGATGAGGAACAAAGTTTGTTCAGGAAATTTACTGGAAGGTCTGTTCATGAAAATGGATATGTTACAGAACAAGATGGTTGTTCCGTTCATAAATACGATGTTCTTAAATCAGAAGTAAAAACGGAGCAGAGTGAAATTAATGGCATGTCTGGAGGCTTTCTTTCTCTGCTCAGTTTGTGGGGAATAGTTTCTGGAGGAGGATATTTTCATGAAACATATCAGAGATCATGTAAAAAACTCTGGCAAACGAAAAAGATCAAAATGTGTTGAATTTCAAAATGATAGTATTAATAATATTAGTCTAGGATCTGGAGTCAGGAATAGATTGGACAGTGCTTGCATTCCTTTGGAAAATTGTGATCCTCAAGAAAAGATCCGTGCAAATCTTCAATTATATAACGTTACAATTCACTCGGGAGAGAAACCATTTAAATGTCCAGATTGTTCATATGCAACAGCTAATAAATCACACGGACGACCCCTTATCATTATTTAGATTGAATTTTGGTTAAAAGATAGAAACGAATTGTATATTATCAAATGTGAATAAGTTGTAGTTCGAGTCTGAAATTTTATCAGTGCTGCAGTATTATGATAGATTTAAACTTTCGCAAATAAAAGAAAATTATATTTAAACGCATTTTTAAGAATATTCATATATTATTATATATATACAAATTTCTGGAATCAAATAATTCCAGGATATATCTCCTTTATTTAGAAGTTGAAGAACGTTGGTTCTTGTTTTCAGAATCGACAGTAGTATAGGTCACTAGATTAAAGCCGCTTACTGTCCTTGTCAAGGTTCTTGTTAACTGCCTTTTCATGCTCCGAGTTCTCGTGGTGGCTTGCTCTTGGATTTGTGGCGCTATTCTTGGATTGGCACAGTAATATATGATTGGGTTGAAGATGCAATTACTATGATATAGAGTAACAGTGAATATCTTGGCTACTTTATAAGAGAGCTTCACGTTTGCTGTGACCATCAAAACCGTGGGTAGCACCACGATTACACCGGTCAGTAGAATAGCAGTGGTTGTGATCAATAGTCGTCCCACGGATATCTTGTTTCTCACGATTGATATCCCAATGATAAGATACATGAGAGCCATAGCAATGAGAGGGACCACCAGAAACATGATTGGTAGGATGGGGTTCACGTCAAACACGCACCGGTTGTAGGATGCCTGATATCTCAACTGAAATAAGTAAGTTTATTAACGTGTCACATGATATGTCATGCTGTTGAACTTAATGGTTTTGAATGTCATGGTTTTGTATCTCAATGAGAAAGGTCTTACCTCCATGGCCCCAACTGCGTATCTGATCGGATCACAAAGAAGATGAGATATTGCTGCAGGAAGCCAGGATAGTATAACCATTGCTTTGCTAACTTTCGGGGTCATCAGCTCTCTGTACCTCGTGGGAAAAACCAGGGCGATATACCTATCCACCGTCAGTGGCAGCAGAGTAAACATAATGGAGTCCCTGTGTGGGTATGGTATTATCATCATCCCGGTTTCAGAAACTCCATAATATAAGGCTGGTATAATGAGAAATTAAACTTATTAAACTTAAATTAGAAAATCCGCGATCCTCAACAAGACTCACCAAACAAAGTAAGCACCAAACGGAAAGAAGTAGCAGTACCACGACACTGTTCCATCGTCACTAACCCCCATAAAGTGCTGAGAGATGATGCCCAGTCCCCTGGGTACTGCTACCAGCCCTATCAGAGCATCGTTCACAGCTACGTTTAACAGAAATATCTTCTGTAGGGATTTGAAATTGAAGTCAGATAGGATCAAAATTAATTTATATAGATGGGAGAGTATATTATGGTGTAAGTGAAGTTTTCATTACTGTTTTTATGTAGTTAAATCTGTAATAATATAATATTTTCATTCAATAAATATTTTGATAAAATTCAATAATCATTTTTGATAAAATTTGGATTAGAGTGAGGTTTTTAATAAATTTGTATTTGTTAGATTGAGCTATTTAAAGTCAAATATTATATAATAAGATATCTAGAAGTGTCTATTTATTACTGAATTTTGATTATATAATATTATGAAATTTAAACATTTTCGCTTACTATTCCAAAGTTTTTCACTGCAGCAACATTTCTTCAAATTACAAATTAAATTTAATAATTGCATAACGAAAATAAAATCTCTGTTCTCATTCGTGAGCAATTCATGATCAGCATACATACCTTAGATCCTGGAAGCTTTATGATGTTGAAATGCATACAGATAATAGCCGCAGTGCTCATTAAGAATCCCACTGCTCCCATTCCAGTCAGACAGGATCCCTGAAGTTATGTTAATTATATAGGTCAATTGAATTTTACCCAGAAGAAGATACATGTCAGGAGCTCGATAGTAAACCCGCTTGATAACTTTCGGGGTCATCACCTCGGTCCGTGGGAAACCAGGCGTTCTATCCACCTCTGGAGATCAGGTAACATATGGTCCGTGTGTATAGGATATTATCGACATCCCGGAGTTCAGACTCATATTCGCTGGTTTGGAAATTTTTAATAAATTAGAATCCAGTTCTCATAAGATCACCAACGTGCACCAAGGAAGATAGTACAGAGGAGTCTGTAATAACCCAAAGTGTTAAGTTTAGCCAGTCAGGAGCTACGCACAGGATCGTTCACAGCTACTTTCAGTTATCCTGTAGGATTGTTATTGAAGTCAGTGGGATAAAAATTTATTAGATTACGATGTTTTGGTTAGGAAGTCATCACTGTTTATTATAAACTGATATAGTTCTCAATATTGTTATAAATTAACCTGAAACGAAAATCTTGATTAAAATTGGATAGAAGTCAGGTTTTAAATTGTTAACTCTCATGAATTGTGAAACTTTATTACATGAAGTTATGATCTCCAAAAATGTATCTCACACTATTTTCAGGAGAATGTTTACTGAAAGAGTCTTACACCAATCTGCTGCTCTAAAAACTCTCTGATGGCCACACACCTGTCAGCTTCAGCATCTATCCGTTATGAAAATCAAGTGGACGCTACAGATTTGCTCAAAGCAACCCAAGACTTCCTCTCCCACATCTCCCTCAACTCTAAATCAGGTTCCAGAAACAGGTACAATGTCAGGCGCTCCTTCAGCGAGCAGCCCGCTGATATCGGAGCCAGCTTCCCCTGGGACCACCACGAGTCCAGACTTCAGCGGTTCTCATCCATTCCTCTGGAAATGACCAGTAATCAGGTCCGGTTCACTAAGGATATTAGGAAGGAGGAGTGTAGCAGCAAGTTCCTGTTTGTTTCTAAAAACTCTGCCATTGTTTCTGTATTTTCAGTCCTGCCCTATAAGATATCAGAGGGAGCTGCTAATAAACGGAAAGTGTTAAGTTTAGCAGGTCAGGAGCATAGCAACAGTCATTATGCACAAACTACTTCGTACGCTGAGTTGTTATCAGAAGAGACTGAAAATTCGGTCGACACTTACGATCCGTTTTGGTTAGAGAACCCCGAGCGGACTACAAACAGTTATAAAACTGATATAGTCCTGCCAGGGATCATTGTATCATTCCTGGAGTACGAAAACCCGGAGTCCTTCAAGAAAGACGAAAACGATCAGTTTAAGGAGAAATGGCCGGAAGTTGATATAACCCTGAGCAAGATGAAGAGCATAAAACGAGATCTCCTGAAGGTTGCTGAAGCAAAACATTTACCCATCATGGTGCTCTGTTACTCTTACTGTTATTTTGAAACTCTAGCCTTTTCCAAGTACATTAATAAAGCAAACAGGAAGTTGGCAGCTGGAGCTTGCCTTATGTTAGCTAAGAAATTCCTGTCTTGTCACATTTGTATTTTGTCAGAGCTAACAGAAATTTTGAGGGTATCTAGTCGTGATATTATTGCTGAAGAGTTTAAAGTTTTAGCTGCCCTAAAGTTCTCACTTCATTACCCTCACTCAGCTATTCTTCCCCATTATAAAAGGTTAATGGGAATGCCTATAGACCATTAGATCTAGTCCAACATGTAAATATTAGTTTTAAAAAGTGTTTGTCTAATTTCTGTATGGTGCCCTTCAATTCGATTAATTCGACAAACTGACGTCCTTGATTTTGCTTTCTGTATACGTGATATTTAACGTCAATCGGTCAATCGGTACTTTTTGTGATTTGTCGGGTTTGTCATAATTTTTATGTACCATCATCATAGCCTATTTATAATCCAGTTTTGATTTTGATATTTATTATGTTTTGTACCTTAATAAGCTTGGCAATGATTTATAATGTTGAAACCAAGTTCTGCAATTGCTTTCTTACTCTGTGAATCTAACTGAACTGTTAGAAATCGAAATGTTACAAAACTTAATCAAAATACCAGAGTTAAACTCGAATATCAAAATAACGAGAACTCACATTGACAAGATCAAACATGCAGTCTTCCGTGCTGTTTGTAGAACACTCGTGATCCTCCACATTGTATCCCATCACTGGTAGTGACCCCCTGACCAATTAGTGTTACTTTTACTGCTTTTATTACACTTCATTTTAATTTTGTCTTTTTGAGTTATACCTTTACTCACGTTTCTCATTTGCTCACATCACTCACAGTCAGCCGCTCTGACATGGTTAACACTTTAACAACCTTCCTTGTGTTATTGGTTAATCATAATATGAGCGGGATAGAAATATCTCATTTCATATATGCATTTATTTGACAACTCAAACAGTCAGCCGAAGTGTGGTTACAGTGTTTCGTAACCTAGATACAGTACTGATAAGGCTATAATGACACCATGATACTGACTTCCTAATACGTACCTGGTTTCAGGGGGCATAGACACTTAGATTCAAACCATTTACATCACTTGAGTTCTAGTGAGAATAGTGGGAATGGTTTATAATTTATTCATTACGTTAAATAAGTGAACTAAAGATTCAGTTATGAGAACTAAGAATTGTATGAACTATGAATTATAAGGACCCTTCACTGCACAATATCATCGAAAGCTTTTAAAGCAGTTCTTACTTCACAAGGTTGCTCGTTCCAAACAAATGTTCACAGAAACTAAAGCTTCATTCAGCCTTACAATAGTCGAAAAAGGATGAACAAAAAGTCTGTTCGGGATAAACGTACAGACTACGGGTCAATAAGTATTGTAGCAACAAGCTGAGCTGAAGTAAAGAGGTGTTTCTTGTGCTACCAATCGGAATAATTCGCTATAAATAAGAAATTGATAGATAATAGTCATGAAAGTAAATAAAAGAATTTTTGACATTTCATGATTGCTTTGTGTTTAGAACACCATGCAATGGCTATAATAATTATATTCAATAGGCCGGGTTAGACGTTAGTTCATAAAGCACAGTTCAAAGCGATATTATGGTTTGTGGTTAATTGCTGTACGTGCTTTTCTACCAATCAAAAAGCTGGGCTTGGCGACTTTGATGTGTCGCTATAAATATTTTATATATGCCCTGATCATTATCATAAATTGACTTATTAATGTGACTTATTAAGTCAAAACCGGTAATCAACTCGTAATTAAATCCCGGATATTGAAATTATGTCATGTACGCACATCTTATGATAATTTCTGCCGCACTGGAGGAAGTTTATAGCTCAAGTAATCGATACATAATGCGGACACAAAAGATCTTTAACCGGAACAGACCTGGTTACATTAGTCAGCCTCTATGTATAACTGTATAATAACACCGTTTATACCATCAGTCATCATTGACACAGTCTCTATTCAGCTATTCAATAGGCAATCTAACACGCAAATAAACCACGACTTAAAGATGCATTCCAAAAATAGTACTAGCCATATAAACTCAGAATGAAGTTTCGTATTGGTTAAAGTTAGGTCTTTCTAATCCTAATTACGTATACTCCGCATAACTAGTTAAAAACACTCTCATTGTGTGCCTTACTACTCCCGCTCACTACTCCCTCACTGCACTACTCACTACTACTCCTGCACTATTCCCTCTAGACTAGAGGTGTCAAACATTTGCTTAGATACATCAAGAATTGGCACAGACCCAAGATCTGATTAACACGTCTGATACTGGTTCAATGAATGTCATTACGAGGTTACCGTACTAAAAACATAATGACGATTAATAACTAGCTTAAATCAAATAATCGGTGTATAACGCTGGCGACTAGGGTCTTAGAGTAAGGTAACTAAATATAAAGGTTTACACAAGAACAGAGAGGACCCAGTAAGATAAGTGAGCGACTGTATAGTGTATAATAAAGCCGTCTATAAACAATAATAAATATCATGGAAATCATTAAAGGATCTAACAAAGGTTCATGTGTTCGGTATTAGTAGAATTTACTCTGAGATTCCAATTCCGAGTCATTGCAAATAATCATTTTGAAGGAGTCGTGTATTTGAATCTCAAATGAACTTGGAGGAATCCGGAGTTCGACTTTGGAAGAGAGAATATAGAAACTATGAAATTACCGACGCGAGGTTACTGATAATTACTAGCGGCAGTAATTTAACGGTAACAATAAAGACCTTACATTATCATTATCTCACGAGTAACACGTCAGTTGGAACCAGCTTGCACCAGGAGTGTTTACTGCCTTAACATGGCTAAAAACTTAGTACATTAGTACATCACCTAGTAGCAGCGGTAATCATCCGAACATTTGTCTCACCCAGAAATCTTTTGCATCATTTCGAGCTAAAAGTTCAAAATTACCACGAAATAACTCTAAAGGCTTGTCATTAAGAGGCCAGCTACTAGCGTCTGTGGTATAACTCCCTTATTAACGGAATATGTTTGAAACACAATAAGATCATATACTTTAATGTCCCAACGTGAAGATACATTTCTAGATAAACTATTTTAGCAGATTTCGCAAACTAAAACCGAAGTAGTGGAAGTAAGACAGATATTATGTAGGCTGAGAAACTGGCTGCAACTGAAAGCTTAATGATACAACCTAACTAACTAATTAATTGAATAAGTAGCAATTAATATTAACAATTAATCGCAGAATAACTGTTGGTTGTCCGAGTGATGTTCACCAGCGCAGATATGGCCTGGTACGGTAAATTTTAAGTGATGCTTTAAGTTAACAGCTTGATAGAACAGTAGACCGTTAAGCTCAGTGCACATAGAATAGTGTATTGTAACTCTGTACAGTAAGATAATACGATAGACCCCAAGCTCCCAAGCTAACGTCCATCACGGTAACACTGATTATGGTAATATGTGTATAGGGCATACTGGGCTTAGGCTCAGGTAGGTTAGAGCCATTATAATATAGTTACAATACTCTCATACAGCCCATTTCCGGATACCAGTTCTATGAAGGCATTCATTAGAACGCTATTGTCGAGTACAATCAATAGACTGTCATAAAAGGAAGATAATGGCAAATATTCTTCAAAATATTAATGCCATTCAGTAATATGGTGGGTAACACTGTAATTCGTGTGGTTTTTATGCTTTACCACAACTTACAACTGTAGCGGTAATAAACAAGCCCCAATTAAAACTTATTCGACGCCACGGCGCGGATATTACGACTAATTGTTTAGATAGACAGAAATTAAGCGATTTCCGATTCCAAGACCACAGCTAAGTAGGATGGTGGCCCGAAAGTGGTATCCTTTGAATGGATTTAATTTAATATTCGCCCAAAACCTAGTGCAAAAATATAGTGCTTTGTAAATTAAGTGGATTTAAAGAAAGAAAGGCACGTACGAACAATTTCACGACCAATTGACAAGCACCAACATCGTTACTTGTGTATGAAGTATCATTCAAGAATGTCTCTTAATACTAGGAATTCCTCGAATTTGTCCAATGCTAGTGTCGAGAAATTAGTGCTAAACAGGAGGATTGTAATCGATAAGATTGGAGCTTTTTGATCGAGTGGAAATTCGAAGATCTAAAACAAAACATCGTTCCTAAACAAAGGCTTTTGAGGTTTGCTTCGTGTCAGGCACGATTTCTATAAGCACTTGGCACCATGGGTTTTAACAGGCGACATGGGAAGAAAGAAAATCACTTAATACCGTGAGAACAATTCCACCACTTAAAACCAATTGACGAAAACAAAAACTGACCAAATTTACACCTCAATAAGCTGACATAGTTGTCAGTCTATGAAATCATTAAGTCTAGATATAAGCGCTGTTTATTCAATTACGTTTACTGTGAAAATAACTACGCCGAAATTTATAATTTAGTACAATTACTCCCCAAATATTTGGCAGTCGATGGAATTATTATTAATATGTTTACCGAGACTGCGGGCTAGTAAATAAACTATCTTATTAGTGACAACTTAATCATTAAATGCCCTATCATTAACCAATTAAATATGTTACAGGATATGGTAATCAGTATTCCGGTAGCTGGTAATTCAGTTGTGATACAACTACAACGCACAGTTCACTACAATATACGATGTTACGACACGTCGTTACGTGTGTTGGTGGGCGAGTGTCATATTAACGGATATAGACTTAGCTCTGAATCCAGTTCTTTAACCCTGAATAGTATGGAGTCACACTCAAGAATTTCTCTTAACACTGGGAATTCTTCGAATATTTCCAATGCTTGTGTCAAGAAATGCCTGGTGGAAATTGGTGCTGAACAGGAGGATTGTCAAGTTATCGATAACATTGGAGCTGTTATTTTGATCGAATCCTCCAATATTTCCACATCTCTTCTTCGATCAACTTACAAACGAATCTGGACCCCTACCTCTGAGGAAGAAGAACCCCTAGTCAAACTAGACTATTTCCAGCTTTACTCCGGACTAAACAAAGCAGTCTGTATCTCAGGTGAGTGGTCTGCTCCAGTAACCAGTCTCCTCTCCAAACCAGGACGTATTGCTGTGTGTGGCCCACAGAACTCTGGTAAATCTACTCTCTGTAGATACACAGTCAACAAGTTGCTGGAACACCACAGAACTGTGCTCTTCCTCGAGGGAGATATAGGACAATCTGAGTTGACACCCTCAGGGCTGGTCACTTTATCCGTTTTAAGAGAACCTCTGATCAACCCTCCGTACTGCAGCTACTCTCGCTTTGTGAAGGATTTGACCCTGGCTAGCGAGCATCTCACTGCGGAGAGTTACTGTGTAGGAGTGTCATCCCCTGCTCAAGTTATGAGGGAGTATTTGGAGAAAGTGAAGTTTATTGTCAGTAAGGCTCGTAAGTTGAATGTGCAAGGAAATGTTCCCCTTGTTGTTAATTTCATGGGGTGGACCAAAGGTTTTGGTGTTGCACTGCACGCTGATATTCTGAGAATGTTGGAGCCCACTCACGTCATCAACTTACAGAACAATTCTCCCAAAGATTTACCGCCTATTCTTGAACTGATAGAAACTCCCGGGATTCTACCTGAACACGAAAATAAAATTCATATCCCTCCAACAGTTCTTAACATTCCCGGCCACATTTCCACTAACACCACCCCTGGGTTCCAGGCATTCGAGCTCAGACATCTCGCCTCGCTCAACTATTTCGCACCCATCTACAACAGTGCTAGCGCTATAGTGGCTCCCTACAAGATACGGTGGAGTCACGTGTCTGTCATCATACCTGAGGGGGTAGAGGAGAATCTAGCTGCCTATACACTGAGTTGTTCTGTTGTTGCTCTACTCACAGGACCTCCTCCTGCTGTTGGGTCACAAGGCATTAATATTGTGGATGATGATAATGCTAGTTCTATGAAATGTTTGGGACTGGGAATAGTCAGAGCGATTGATATCAAGGAGAAAGTGTTTTATTTGAATACTCCTGTCGATAAAGAAACTCTAGATCAAGTATTCGTATTTAAACACACAAGTTTACCAGTACCACACGTACCCTCGGGTTCCTTACCGACCCCTTATATTTCTAATTTGGCAGCTTCTGAGATTCTGGGGATGGGATCCAGGAGTCAGAGAGCTAACCTAAAGCGGCGATATCACGCCGTGTCTTAATATTATGGCAGGTTTCTGTTGATATCGGGTTTTTAACGACGTTTCTTTTTTAATTATCAGTAATTTGTTATGATAACTTATTAAATATTGTATACTGTTCGACGAATATTAATCTACTTGGCATTCGCCCAGTCTTTTGATCAATAGTCTGCCTAACTAAATACTGAGACAAAATATACCTGAGACTAACTAAGTACAATTTGCCTAATGGCAAGAGACCGATGAGGAATCTTTCGGGCGCGATCACCAATCGATACTCATACATACAAACTTCCATTGCTCCCATTTCAAAGAACCGCGCCCTTGCGCGCGTTCTGTCTCATCGTCCACATGTGTACGTAACATGCATATTACAGTACACATCTTCAAAGATTATTAGCCATACCTTGGCTCCAGTTCAAAGAACTTTAAACTCTATAAGCTAACTTCAACTTGTTTCTATCATATAGGGTAGGATGATGGTGGATGGAGCAAACAAGGAGGAGGGTACTGGAATTGAACAGAACAGCGAAGCAATGAGTGACGATGAGGCTGTCGTTTACGAGGAGGACGATATTATTCAACCACCGATGGTAGGTCTAGTTTAAAACACTTTGTTAGGATGAATTTGACGTGTTACAATTTCTCAATGGTTTGCCAATAAAACATCTTTCGAATAACGGATACTGGATACAAGAGAATTGACGTAAACTTTGAATCGATTACAAGGAAAATCCACACAAGTTACCCCATCTTTAACCCTCACTCTGAACTTTTCTCTGTCTCTTTCTTGTTTGTTTGTTTGTTTGTTTCTTATCAATGCTTAAAAATCTACAACTATTCAGGAGGATGGAGAAGCTGAGGTTGATGTTGAGGACATGTCAGAAAAGACGTTCTCACAGCACAACGGTTCAGTCTTCTGTGTTGCTATATCTAAATCGGAGGAATACGTCCTAACTGGGGGCGAGGACGATCTAGCTTATGTTTGGAAAATATCAGGTTTGTCTGATCATAATCCATGTTGCACTTCAGCCACGAAACTATGTCACATTATTTACAGATAACGTTGCCAACAGGCAACGTTACGCCACTGCTCACTACATATTGGTACGTGTGTACCACGAAATAGCTAGCGCTTTGAATTCGATGATAAAGCAAGTAAAGATTAAACGTGAGTCGTAACCAAACCAATAAACAAACTTCTTGGCCTAAAAACACAGATACACGCTGAAGTAAACAGCAAACAACGAATTCATGCACAGAACTCTATGAAGAATCATTGGCCGTTGTATACCACGTGATGAGAATATGTTCCACTGATTGGTTCGTAATGGAGTTAATTCAATCGTAAGCTCGTGTACTGTGTACACAGCACACAACTAAAGATAAAAGATTTGAAATAACAATCAAGCAAACTAATTCCTATTACAACACTAATTCTGTCGAATCAAGCGCTTTGTTCTATAAAACTGTGGCCTAAGTAAGGTGGCAGCTGCGTCGCAAGCATCTCTCAATTGGTCAACTTCGTATGTTTTAACTCCGCAAAATTGTAATACATTATAGTAAACACATTTTTAGTGCCTGAAAAAGTGAATAAATACTCACATCTTTTGAAGAAGGTATTAAAACAGATATGTTATCTGCTATCTGACAGCTTCACTTCATTTATGTAAGCGGGGTTCACAGTTCACAACACAAGCATAGATATTGAGGATAATGGTCTTGCTGCACACAGTTTACTATAAGTGTTGGCTCTTTGCAGGAAGTGACCTGCTCAATGGGTGCCTCGTTATCGTCTTACCCTGTATCTCGGGGGGAGCCAAGTGGATATTTGTAGATATTTGGATAATGTCATCCACTTTTTTCGTGAATTATCCATTACAGTAATCTACAAATATCTACATTTATCTACAAAAAATGTAATCTCAAATATGTGCCCAGAAATTCTACTGAATTTTTGGAGATAAATGTATGAATTTGTAGAATGTCATCCACTTTTTTCGTGGATTATCCATTCTACATTAATCTACAAATATCTACAAATATCTACAAATATCCACTTGGCTCCCCCCCTATCTCGGTTCGTGTTTTACGGGTCGGATTGCTACCGATGTGATGATGATCGCTCTAAATGAGCTAATCCTATAACACAATCCAGGTCATCCATAACTTTATCCCTATGATATCCAATAGAGTGAAGAGATTATTATGCTCATATATTAGCGCATAGTTCTACTAACAAATAAGACAACTTGATAGATCAATGTTTACTAATAAAACATACCAAATACAAAAGATATCTTGTTAAATTTACTGATGCACTGCTTTTCAAAATCTCAGTATGAGTAACACTAATAATTACACATTCAAACACAGTATAAAGAGAAAGAAACACGAAGAATTAAGTATGAGTTGTGTCAGCAGTAAGATATTTTAGCTTAACTCAAAATGGGCCTTCATTTATGTATTATTGCGTGATTAGCATGCATTATTCTATCGTACTTGTATCTTATAACAATCATGTCATAAATTTACCGCCAGAAGTCATAAACAATATTTAAAGATCAAACAAGCGAACCCTTCTTTTTACTATTGGCACGATTAAATGACTTCTCAGCCGCTGCCCTTGAAATCCCTGAAATAGAGCGGTACCGACTAGTCTTATTTTTGTCGCTACACTCTGATGACTCAGAGCGTTCCCTTCTATGAAAACTAGTGACTTCATTCCTGAGTTTAGAAAGTCCCTTTAGTAGCTTAGGATTACCAACGCTGACGTTAGAAATCCTGCGTTTAAATTCAGGTTTCCTGTATATCAGATCTTGAGGCATTCCTCGACGAACTCCTGCTTCACCCGTCAACCACCATGTCCGTCTTGTTTTAAATCCAGGAATATTGACTGATGGTTTCCGTTCCACAAACGAGAACTGGTTCTGAAAATTGTTTTCTAAGATATGCCTCATATCATTGCTCATATGAATTCTGTTAGCCTCTCCAGAAGATTCTAGATTGTTAGCATACCTTGGCTCCCTCCCGTATATACAATAGTGGTACATGTAGTTTCCAGCTACCCCCGCCACACAGCTCCCAGAGTGTATTCCGATCCTCATGTATACCGGCCGATTGTTCAGTCGTGGCACTGTTATATCTTTGGTTGTCGAGAGAACGTCCAGCGCAAAAGCAGCTATGCGTCTAGCATGAGCCGAACCGTTTATGTCAGGCACTGGTAGTCCACTAACAACAACATAAGCATCTCCAATGGTTTCTATTTTAACAACGTTATGCTTCCCGATAGCTTCGTCCATTATTGTGTAGAGGTTGTCCAGCATACCTACCACGTCCATTGGGCCACCGTCCTCCAAATTAGCAAGATCTGCAACAATGCTGGTGAAACCTTGTATGTCAGAGTAAAAGAAACTGCAGTTTGAAAACACTTGAGGGGATATTGGTCCACTTGACATCATCTTCTGCTCTGCTATTTCTCGGGGCAGTAAAGAATAGACTAACTCTTTTGTCTTTTCTTTTTCTTTTAGAAGATCCTTATTCTTATGATCGAATAGTTCCTTCAACTCTTTAGATTTTCTTTCAAGCGTCACCAACCATTGGTCCACGAGAGATCCTATGTTCTTTTGGGAGCCCGCCTCTAGTCTTTCTAGAATTTCCTGAACTGTGGGCCTGTCATCTGGTTTGTCTGAAGTACAGAGAAAGTAAAGCTGTTTCACGAAAATTAAACTTTCTACATCATCCTCCGAACCACTGGTTCTTCCTGATGAAAACGATTCTGTAAAACTTTCTGTTTTAGACATTTGTGACTCTGATTGATATGACCAACTCCATCGTTTCATTTTCATTACAGATTCTTTATCGGACACAGAATTATTCTTTGAATTTATGAAAGACGTTCTCGAGCTGAAGAACATTTCTCCCAATGTTTCATCCTTCAACGGTTTTTCACCCTTCTTTATCAGTTCAATTTGGTCAAGGCGTATCTGGAGGTCGATATTTTTATCGAAGAATATTCCGAATGGTGGCTGACCATTTATTAACTCTGCTAAAATTACCCCAAACGAGTAGATATCATTTTCTCGAAAACCTAGAATATCTGTAATTTCTCCACTCAAAAGCTGTGGAGACATCCATAGCTTATCATACACTTGTCGAGATTCATTCATTGCCTTCATTTCGACACCTCTATTAGTGTAAACTTCCCCTTCTTGAATGTGCCTCCAATAAAAACCTTTTAATTTCACATTCCAATTTGCATCTACCACGCAGTTGAGAGATGTCAAAGAACCATGGTAAGAGAAAGTACTGCCGTTGAGATATGATAAGCCATTTAGAATATCTGCCGCAAACGATCTGATAAAAGAATCTGTTCGAACTCTTTTTTCGGTTCGAATTAGATGCTGCAAGGGACCTTTAGAGCAATCCTCTAGAACAATTGTCAAACCAGTGGTGTCAAAACAGCAGTGGAGAAGTTGCACAATGTTGTTATGATGAACCCTATTTAGTTCTCTTAATTGAGCGGCCGTCTTTTTGTCGTTGGGAGATACGATGATGTCCGTTTTGCTGACAAACACAGGTTTGAAATGAGCATCAGTGGATTCAGTGTTAGCCTCAACTAGTCTTTCTAGCTCCTCGGAAGTTATGAAAAACGATTGTCTGGGGACTCTACGTCTAGTAACGCATATTCTCAGGATCGTGATGCTCAAAATGCTAACGATAACGGCACAGACACCCGAAATGAGGGTGATACGAATTTCTAAACATCCAAGATCGTGCCACGTGCACGGAGGCTTGTCAGGTACTCTAGGAGGAGCTCCCTGATCCTCTATTACTGATGCTGTGTAATAACCCGTCTCTCTCGTGGGAGACAGCCTTAACACAGCCGTCATCTCCTCGTCGGAGTCTTTTAATAGGAAGTATGCCAACATTTCTGAGTATCGGGAGCCTTGGGAGTTGGTTATTATTTTGCCAGTTTTTCCTGAGATGATTCTCAAATTCTTGATCTCGTTTGAAATCTTCAGGCCATCAGCGGGATCCTTCGTTTTGTTCAAAGCGTGAGAGTAAACAAGAATTGTATCATACACATGCTGAGAAAGAAAAACATTTTCTATGCACTCTGGTTTCATGAGATTCTTTTCTATTTTCTTCATCAGCCTACAGAAGAAGTCGTCCTGTACAGAAAACTTAGGCAAATCTGGCACAATATAGATAACCGATCTGAATGCACGTTTTGCTTCTTCATCTTCCTCCTTTTGTTCCTCGGTACAGCATGAGCACAGCTGTCGTTTACGAGCACTCTGATCGCACCTCCAAGGCAGAATCCGCTCGTTGCTAAAAACAAGCCCTATCTGAAAATTCACCGCCACAAATCTGTAGTTGGACCAATTGCACCAGTCCTCAGCGTTACAAATTCGGTAGAATGTTAGCAGTATATCTCGTATAACATGAGGACTGGCAAATAGAGAGATTATCCGGTTATTTTCTAAAATATACGCCATCTCCACTTCGATTAAAGTGTTGTTATCTGATAATGAAAACGAACCGATTTTGTCATAGCCCATCTCAGATCTGAGTGTGCGCGTGAGATTAGCCCATTTTGCTGTGCATGCAGTATTATCTTCTCTTTGGACTAAGGTCACGATATCTTTCCATCCAAAGTATTGGTACACCCCCGCATGATAATAGGCCTGAATTTCTGTAGATTCGTACAGTCTTGTAAAAGTAGGGTATTTAGTCACATTATTGAGATCATCCTGGAAGCTAGCAACACTTATAACGGGCATGTTCTCGGCTGTTGCAAAGCTTGCCACACTCGCTCCACTTCTCCTGTCCCCACAGGCTGGTCCAATCAGAACATCCGCTCCGTGATCCACTCGCAGAGTGTAAGCATACCCTAGCGTGTCAAAAGTGCGACCACAGGAGCGGTAATCAGGAGCTATCACAAGTTCTAACTCATACTCCGGGACCAGGTCGGGGTTTGAGTTTATGTCTTCAACTGCCATCTCAGCAGCCGTTCCTTGATTGAATAGATCTATGTAGGTACATACAGCCCTCTCCTGTGGAAACAAGAGTCCTACTTTTATCTTTTTCTTCTCAGTTTTCAGTGTCTGAGGATGTGCAAATTTGGTGCTATTGTTAGTGCAGCTGTACAACTGTTTGTCAATTCCGGGAAGATCCCAAGGACAGTAAGGGTCCCAGGTTCCCTCCGATATGACTGAGGATATCAGGAGAATTAGGAAGATCATACAAGAGCAGTTAGACGCAACATCACAAAAGTAAAACAACAACGATACTATCTAACCAAAACTGTTCCCCAGTTCTATTTGAAATTTGACTCCTGGTTCCCAAAGTCTAACAACAGGGACCCAACAGATAACCTGAATTTAAAAGCCGTGTTCTCGAGCTCTAATCATCCAGCAGGTACCACACAATCATCGGAACATCCCCCTAAATTCCGCTGTTGGTGGTAAAATTCCCAAAATTGGAACCGTGCTGTCAGGGCGTTTAATTTCAGATTCAATTCATTCTTTTATAAACAGATTAAGAGTCGTTTTAGCTTGAAAGGTATTTTACGATATCGAGATATTGTTATGAAACTTTCTTTGGTCCCGCTCGACATTTCATTAAGTTGAATAAAGCGCATTAGTTGTATGGGGAGAAAAATGTAAACAAATTTACTGTACAATAAATTCACAATACGATAAACAGAATGCTTGGATATCAAATTAGTATAAGCTTATAATATTCGAAAGTTTGATTTGCACAAAATGGTCTAAAATGTCAACTTCATTTACACAAATTCCATAATTTAAATAGAAGGGTCAGGTTTCGGTAAGAACTTGGAGCACAACATTAGCTTTCTAAATTTCGATATGTAGCCAATTGCATCGTTTTAGTAATCACTCTTCTTTTTACTATTATCTTGATAGTTGATTCGTCTTGTTTCCAACTTTAAGCTTGAGGACTTCTGAAATAGATCCTGATCGATCTTTCTTTGCCTTGCTTCCAACTGTCAAGATATCTGAAATAGATCCTGATCGATCTTTCTTTGCCTTGCTTCCAACTGTCAAGATATCTGAAATAGATCCAGATCGATCTTTCTTGAACTTCTTAGCACTCTTATCCGAACATTCTGAATGTGTCCTCATATGGGCGTTGGTTGCGTCATTCCTTAGTTTAGCAACTCCTTTAATAAGTAACTTAGGATTGGCGGTGCTAGAAATCTTGCGCTTGAATTCTAATTTCTTGTAAATATCCTCTTTGGGCATGTCACGCGGCACTCCCGACTCGCCCGTCAACCACCAGGTGCGATTACTTTTTGATTTAAATCCAGAAATATGACACGACGGTTTGCGTTCAACAATCGAGAATTGGTGCTGAAAGTTCTTCTCTAAAATTTTTCTCATATCGTCGCTCATGTGAATTCTGTTAGCCTCTCCAGAAGATTCTAGATTGTTAGCGTACCTTGGCTCCTTCCCGTAAATACAATAGTGGTACATGTAGTTTCCAGCCACTCCCGCCACACAGCTCCCAGAGTGTATTCCGATCCTCATGTATACCGGCCGATTGTTCAGTCGTGGCACTGTTATATCTTTGGTTGTCGAAAGAACGTCTAGAGCAAAAGCTGCTATGTGTCTAGCATGAGCCGAACCGTTTATGTCAGGCACTGGTAGTCCACTAACAACAACATAAGCATCTCCGATGGTTTCTATTTTAACAACGTTATGCTTCCGATAGCTTTATCCATTATTGTGTAGAGGTTGTCTAGCATACCTACAACGTCCATAGGGCCTCCGTCTTCCAAATTGGTGAGGTCTGCAACAATGCTGGTGAAACCTTTTATGTCTGAGTAGAAAAAACTGCAGTTTGAAAACTCCTGAGGGGGTATTGCAGCATCACATCTCATTTTCTGCTCAGCTATTTCTCGGGGCAATAAAGAATAAACAAGTTCTTTCGTCTTTTCCTTTTCCTTAAACAAGTCCTTATTCTTTAGATCAAATTTGTCCTTCAACTCCTTAGATTTCTTTTCTAGTGTTACCAACCATTGGTCTACGAGAGAACCAATGTTGCTTTGAGATCCCGTCTCCAGTCTCTCTAGGATTTCTGGAACTGTAGGTCTATCTTCTGGCTCATCTTCTATACAAAGCAGACAGAACTGCTTGACCATTGTGAGGTCATCCTCAAGATCATCTTCATCTAGATAGTCACTACTTACGTACGACAAAGTGGATTCTGATGACACCCTCGATGAAGGCCGCGAGGATCTGAGTGATTGATATGTCCTGCTCGACCCTCTTGATGACACTATGCTTCCACCATCAGGAACTAAAGAACTTTTTGAAGAAATGGATGATTTGTAGGAGGGAAGGAGTGACTTCGGTTTCAGAAATTCGTCAGATAACGGCTTTTCTCCGCTCTTGATTAATTCGATTTGATCGTGGAGTATCTTGACGTCGATTCTTTCATCAAAGAAGATGCCAAAAGGTGGCTCACTATTAACCAACTCTGCTAAGATGACGCCGAATGAGTAGATGTCGTTTTCTTGAAAACCACTTATATCTGTTATCTCTCCTTTATGAAATTGTGGAGACATCCAGAGTCCATCATAGACTTGTCTAGTAGTATTCATAGCCTTCATTTCCATTTCAGGATTACTGTATATCTCTCCATTTTGAATCTGTCTCAAATAAAAGCCTTTCAACTTTACATTCCAATTTGCATCTACCATGCAGTTGAGAGATGTCAAAGAACCATGGTAAGAGAAAGTACTGCCATTGAGATATGATAAGCCACTTAGAATATCAGCCGCAAACGATCTGATAAAAGAAGCCGTTTTAACTCGCTGTTCGGTTCGTATTAGATACTGCAAGGGACCTTTGGGACAATCCTCCAGGACCATCGTCATACCAGTAGTATCCAAACAGCAGTGGAGAAGCTGCACAATATTGTTGTGATGAACCTGGTTCAACCCCCTCAACAAGGCAGCTGTAGATTTGTCTGTTGCAGACACTTTGATGTCTGTTCTTTGAACAGAAACAGGTCGAAAGTGTTTGTCGGTAGCGTTGGTGTTGGCCTCTATGAATCCCTCAAGCTGCTCTGCTGTTATAAAGAACGATTGCTGGACACTTTTACGTTGAGTTATCCATATCCGGAAGATGGTTCCTCCTACAATGCTGATAATAAGCACGAAAACACCAGCTATCAGCGTGCTGAGGGGTCCTTCACAAGTGAAATCGTGCCATTTACAAGGAGGTTTATCCGGTACCCTTCTTGGAGGTCTCTGATTATCAACAACAAACGCTGTGTACAAACCAGTCTCTCTTGTGGGCGTGAGTTTCAGAGTCGCCGTCATTTCTTGATCAGAATCTTTTTGGAAGAAATAAGCAAGCATTTCCGAGTACCTGGATCCTTGGCTGTTGGTTATGATCCTCCCAGATTTCCCTTCGATATTAGTCAAGCGCTTGAACTCCTCTGATATTTTCTTACCATCCTTGGGATCGTTTGTAATATTGAGAGCGTACGCGTAAACAAGCACAGTGTCGTACAGGTGCTGAATAAGGAACACTTGTTCTATACATCTGGCTTTCCTCTTTTCCGGCTTTATGTAGGGTGAATCTTTTAATTTCTTCATGAGCTTGCAGAACAAATCGTCTTGTTGAGAGAACTTTGGTACATTGGAAACTATGTAGATAACAGATTTAAAGGCAAGTCTGGCCTCGTCATCATCTCCTCTCTGTTCCTCGGTACAGCATGAACACAATTGTGGAAATTTACGAAGGCTCTGATCGCACCTCCAAGGCAGAATCTGCTCGTTGCTCACAACGAAGCCTATCTGAAAGTTAACAGCTATAAATCTATAGTTTGACCAACTGCACCAGGATTTAGTAATGCACATACGGTAGAATTCAAGCACAGTATTTCTCACAACGCTAGGACTGCCGAAAATAGATACTATCCGGTTTTCTTCTAAGATGGTCGTTATATTTTTTGAACTTAAGGTGTTGTTCGGCAACAAGGAGAATGATTTGATTTTCTTGTATCCCATCTCTAGTTTGAGAGTCCGCGTTAGATTCGCCCATTTTGCTGTGCATTTAGGATTATCCTCCTTTTGAACTATTGTAACGATTTCTTTCCATCCAAAGTATTGGTACACCCCCGCATGATAATAGGCCTGAATTTCTGTAGATTCGTATAGTCTTGTGAAAGTAGGATATTTTTCCACGTCGTTTAGATCGTCCTGGAAGCTAGCAACACTTATAACCGGCACGTTCTCAGCAGCAGCAAAACTAGCCACACTAGAACCACTGTTACCGTCCCCACAAGCTGGCCCTATCAGAACATCCGCTCCAGCTTTAACTCGCAGAGTGTACGCATACCCTAACGTGTCAAACGATCGGCCACAAGATCGATAATCTGAAGCGTTTACTAGTTCCAACTCGTACCCCGGCAGAAGATCCGGATTTGAGTTTATGTCTTCAACTGCTATTTCTGCGGCTATACCTTGATTGAATAGGTCTATGTAGGTACAATCTGCAGGTATCTGCGGCAGTAGAAGTCCCACTTTTATCTTTGCTCTGTTGGCGGTTAATAGCTTAGTGTATAACGATTTTGTACTATTGTTAGAGCAGCTGTACAATTGTTTATCAATCTTACTGTCCAAAGTATCCCAAGGACAGTAAGGGTTCCAGGTTCCTTCTGATACAGCGAGAGTAGAAATAATGAGAAGTAGAAGGATCATTGTATCTGTCGTATATCTAGCTCCATTATCTTCTGTCTGGATTTGAAATTAACATGATTAAGTTGTACTGTTGCAATAAGATTAATTAAATTTGGAATTATAAAACAACTTGAAGTTAAGAGAAATGGAAAATAAATCGACAGTTTTAAAAAAACTTTACGATGGACAAGCAGACCGAATGAGCTTTCAAATTTGCAGGTATGCTCTAAAACAAAGCGAAATTCAAAATCATATCGTATTAAATCAGAAAGCAGTAAACCTAAACCATCTAAGAAATTTGACACCAAGGTATGGAAGTGTAAACTGTAAACCTTAAAGCTCGGAGGGTGGCAGATTATAATCTCGATATAAATGATGCTTCAGATGCACTCTAATTTTAATCTCGAGATTGTATGTGACTGCTACAATAGCGGATTAAATCAACATATTGTCAATGTCCGTGTCCTGACAGCTGAACGTATAATAATTATGTCCATTAACAGGTTCGAGTGGCCCGGGATATTTAACCTCGCATTATCAGGTCCTAGTTCATAAACCAGATTAGTCAACCAATTTTCACCATTTTATCTTGCCCCAAATAATCGAATGAACATGAAATCTGATAGCACTGAAATATTTGGTATTGACGCACATAAAATATTCAGGAGAAGACACGTTCCACAAGATAGAAGGTCACAAGGACAGTGTTTCTCACGTGGGGTTCTCAGCGAACGATAAGTACTACTTCACGGCCGATCTATCCGGATACATCCAACTTTTCGAATTTCAAGACAACAAGAAGATCTGGGAGTTTGAAGTGGGTGATGTATTGTGGGTGATGTGGCACCCTGTTGTTCCTATCCTCCTGGCGGGGGCTGTTGAAGGGGGCGTGTGGATGTGGAAAGTTCCTGCTTTTGAAACGAAAACGATACAGTTGTCTGACAAGCCGCCTGTTGATGCCACGTTTTTATCAACCAACCGTCACCTGGCAGTCGGGTATCAAGACGGGACAATGAAAGTTATCGACTTAAAAACTGGAGAAGCAACAGTATCAGTGGAAACGAAACGAGAAATAACGGCTATTGGAGTCTCACCCGACGACAACCTCGTAATGTTGGGCACCCCACATTCCTCCGTGGTACTGGTTACCGTCCAGACTGGTAAAATTATCGCCACCCTAACTGAGCACCAGGCAGGTTACACCGCTCCTGAGGGAGCTGCCACTGACTCCGTGGAACACATCGCCTTCCACCCTAAGAGACCTGTGGTGGCGGTCTCCTACGTGGACAACAAAGTGTGTTTGTGGGACCATGGTCTGCAGAAGTTGAGACACACCCTACACCACCCTGATGGAGTTGTTAAAAGCTTTTGGGCGGGAGACTCCGAGCACCATCTCGTGACTTGCTGTTTGGATGGACTTGTCAGGGTGTGGGACGTGGATCAGAACCAGACCATTGTTGAGGTCACCGGACATCATGATCAGATACTTGATATGAAGATTTCAGATAATTTAGTCGTTACTGCTGATGATTCGGGGTTTGTTAAAGTTTTCAGGATTGCTTGATATGAGCCTAGCTGCTAGGTTTGTTTTTACTTTTAGCTATTTATTTTGATATATTTTAACTGAATACATTGAAACATCCTGTTTGTGATTAGTAAATAATTTTCAGTCAATAAAGAAAAATTAAGTATGGTGCGGAATATGTAAAACGGCGTGCCATCAGAAGTATTGATTAAATTGAAAATGATCTAAAAAAGTATTTGTGATCACCGCCCTACTGCGATTAACCACAGAAAATACAGATCAGCCATCTTAAGAATAGAGGCTGATCACTGGAAATCTTAAAAAGCGATACCCAATAGTAAAATAAAAATAGCAAAAATGCCTGTAAAGTATATAAATCTTACTACAAACGTAAGAAGTTAAAACATAAAAACATGTCATTATAAAACTGCAAAGTTCTTCTCAGTTTGTCTCTACTCGGACCGTTTGGAGTTGATTCCCTTCTTCTTCAGCCTAGCTCTCTTGTTCTGGTACCAGAGCAGGATGGTGTGAACTGAGAGTCTGATCTCCAGGCTGAGTTTTACTCTCTCTGCCGTGCTGATATAGTTTTTATTCTCGAACGCATCCTCGAGTTGGGCTTGTTGGGTTTCTGTGAAGGCTGTACGCTTACGGGGTTTCACCTGTAATGGTTAGATTAAGATATTTCAGATATTAGATACCATGTGGTATGCAGATATTGATAATTGAGATTCAGATAGTAATGATAGTCAATATGAGGAAATCATCCAGACGCCATTTTATTCTTTGTAATTTTCAATAACCCTGTCTAGTCATTGACTACTGATATGAATGTATTGAGAATTTCTTTCTAGAGATATTTTAATTATTTGATTGTCAAGCTACCTTTCCATGAGTGACGTAGACGAGGGAACCATAAGGAGCACCAGTAGCATGATAGTAAGGTTGAGAGCCGGGAGCTGGAGTGTTGCCGGGAATCTGAGGTAGCGGGTACTGCACCTGCTGTTGAAGTTGCGTGTTAATAAAAACAAAAAGGAAATACTGACGATCTATCAAAACAATAAATCATGAACCTAAGAGCTAAGATACATTTTTATTCGCCAGTCAAGTCTTCTCGGTAAGATCGAGTATTTCGAATTTGAAAAGAGCCTTGCATACCTGTGTGTTGCGAGCCTGTTGAAGAAAGGGAAGAGAGTTCTTGACGAAACTCTGAGGGAGGTCTGTTAGAGAGGTGTTGCACTGCTGGAGAAGGAAAGATGCGTAGTCGTTGGCCCTCAGGTTCCTCTGCTCGGTGGCACCTTTTTGATAAGACAAGTTTGGCATAAAAGGAGGGGGAGGTGATGACGTATGAAAAGCAGGAAGTGTAGTGGTAGGGAGCTGGGTGGGAACTGTAGAGGTTGCTGGCATGTGGTGGGGAGTGTGGTCTCTCTGTCCATGTGGTGGCGTGGTTTGCTCGTATGGAGAGGTTGTCTGTTGGACTGGCAGTCTTGATTGGAGAGATGGAGGCGTCTGGAGATGAGGAGGTAACTCAACGTGTGTAACAGAGGATTGAAATTGTTGGATCTGAGGAGGTGTCGTCTGCATCTGAGGAGGTGTTGTCTGCATCTGAGGAGACGACGTCGGCATCTGATATAGCTGAGGAGAGGTTTGATGGATCTGAGGAGGAGAGGTTTGATGGATCTGAGGAGGAGAGGTTTGGTGGATCTGATGAGAGGTTTGGTGGATTTGAGGAGGAGAATTCTGATGAAGTTGATGATACATCTGGGGAGGACTAGCTCGAGGCGAAGGGAGAGCTGGAGCGCACTCTGCTTGGTGTCTGAAGTTTGTATGATCCGGGAAGTTGAAAATTGAGGGTGATGAGCAGGATACCTGACAGCTAGGAGATGAGATTGGGCTGTGACACGGAGTCATAGGTGTTGGAGGGAATTGGAAGTACTGCACTGTCGAATGATTTGTGACACTGACGGGGGTTTGCTTCGGCACAAACGGAGGTGTCTTGGGGGAGCTCGAAAATACTGAAAGTAAAATTGGTTAGATTATAATGTTTTGTATGATTAACGAAGTTTACATGAAAATTGAGATCAAGCGTAAATCGTTGTATAACTAGGACTAAATCTGGGAGAGAAATGCATATATCCTGCTAAGCTATCATAAATAAACCTTTGGGCTCAGCAATCTCAACAGCTGCTCCGTAATCTGGACGAAAGGCTATCGAATCAACGGGATGAGTATGACTATGACCAAGCGAAATTGGCAACAAATGATAACTCATAGCTATTTGAATAGAAAACGATCTTGTTTAATGGTAAACAGTGAAGCTGATCGAATCAAATTGGAAATGATTACTCAGATCATGGTTCTCTATTTATGTAAAGAGGCTGGGCCACAGACCCATGAGATCGTCACGGTGTTCTATTAACCATCGTCATGAGTTGCAGCAACGCAAACAACGTGTAATATTACCCAACAAGTCACGTGGCTATCCCGAGTCACGTGACTTGTGCCGACAAGAAACCCGAAACCAATGCTGCAACTCACTGGACCCTGTCCTGCTTCGAGAACTGTGACGTTCACTTGATCTCAGGTGCTACTATTTCAATCAACTCAGAATCATGTTTTAAATGTAAATAGTGTAACAACATCAATTAACGAATAAGCTATGGCCCTCAGACCTGAGTAGATGAGGTCAAGGAACATTAATCCATTATTGCAAAGCAACAATTAATGTTCCCACTGGCACTGTCATATAGACTAACAAAATGGAAACTATCAAGCAAACTTTACACCATCACTTAAAGTGGCTAAATTCTCTGATTATTTAGAATCAGGACTATAACTAGCAAATCATCCATGACCGCACCGGTAAAAGAAATCAAGAGTTTAAAATTACCAACCTTGATTTGAAGTCCTGTTGTAGATATTGAGCCAACTCGGACTGCCAACCATCTGCTCTGAGCAGACTTGTTGGGGGTGTGAGAAAGGAAGAGGTAGGGCAACTTCAGATGACATGATAACTAAACAAGTGATAACACTTAATTTACTGACGTTTCCTTTTATACTTTTCTTGTTGGGTGGTTGTAATCCCCAGCCTCACACTCCCACTACTGATTACAGTCGGTGTGCAATGATTGGATCACCTGATGAGATTACAGCTCGTGCCCTAAACATTATCTGATCCGGCCACCTTGCTATTCGTCATGTGATCGGGCGGATCCGTGCCCTAACCCTTACAGCCAGCCGGGGGCGTGGGTACTGTGTGTGATGAGGTGTTTTGTTTACAGATCAGCGTGATTGGTTTGATGGAGATTGGACAGTGATGTTGACTGCTTAATTATGTGTCTCTGATCAAGTATCCGATCGTGGGCATTAATGGCTAATCCAAACAACCGGCCGAAGGTGAGGTTTAGTTGCGGATTAGTTTGATTGGGTTGCGTTTGATTGAAAACTGTTGACTAGTGATGTTGACTGCTCAATCAAGTGTCTCAGAGTTTGACTGGCCAATCGTGTGTATTAGTGGCTAAGTGGCTACTACCTTTGATTGGACCATAAAAATTAAAAGGTTCGAAGTGAGAGCTTTATAGTCTGACTATAAAGCTCTCTGCACTTAGTCAGTATTAGTCAGGCACTGAAATGGAACGTAATTTTTAAAGAGTTTCAGTTGACAGTCAGCTGATCTATCAATTATAAATCACCTGAAAGCCTTTGATCCATTATCTATTCACTATTTAAATAGATGAACAGTTCACACTGAAAACAGGTCAATCAAAGGTCTCATAATTTAAAAGTGACTGAGGAAATTTGACTGTTTCTATTGGATTCATATAATTAAAGGGCTAAATTGTAACACATTACCCCGCTAGTAGATTATTACATTTGATGAGAGCAATGAATCTTTGTTTGTGGATCTGGTTAACTTATTTCCCGCACCACGGTTCCGTTCTCTGTTCTGTTACTGCAATTGAAGTCAACTGGTGCAAGTTGAAAAATATATAAATGCTTACTGCTTAGTCGCACTTAATTGACCTAATACCGCACTTTTTGCACCTTCGGCCGCTATTCGGTATTCGTTCTACCTACAAGTAAAAGTTGCCTATGCTGATCACGCTGTTTTAAAGTCTGCGACACTAAATACCTACGTTCCAAGTTCGTAAAATTCAGAGTCATCAACGTCATGTACATAAGATCACTATTGCCGATTACGCAAGCTATCAACTATCGTTGGTGATCAGATATTTCTATTTTATCTTCACTTTTTAAGCTTGGGTGCTCGTAATTGTTTGAACAGTAGGAGCCACTCTCCATTTGACGGTTAATGATAATTTTATTTCTCTCCGTTTTCCATTTACTCAGTTTCATGTAGGGATGTTCGTGATGTTGCTCAGGAGTGACGTTGATGGCGTGACGTGAGAACCTGCAGAAGATACACAATGCATCTTTCATCATCATACTCCTCCGGTATATCAATATGGTGAGTACTTCTTTCAGCTATTTATTTCTTCCTTATTACATTGTGTATTGATAATAGTAATTTTCAAAATCAGACATTCCCGTCTCCAGGGATGATACAACTTTTACAAGACAATTTAAGTAGAGAAAATTTACTTTTACTTTGTCAAAATGATTTCATAATGCATTGGGGTCGTTCACATATTACGTAATCATTTTTTGGAACACCCCCCCCCCCCCCCCCTCCGTAATCAGTTTTACACATAGCTATTGTGTCAAAATTACACTAGCGTAATCATTCGGAAACCCCCTCCCCCCTCAGCTGATTACGTAATGTGTGAACCACCCCATTTGACTGCAAATGATAAATTAGGCTAGCGAAGCCTAAATAGAAGGTAGACTCGTGATTACCATCCATAAAAAATATTGCGTAAAATATCTCAATTTTTGGCCATTCATTAATGGCCAAAAATTAGAGTCAAAATCGGAACAAATTTGTCTTTTAAGTTTAACGCATTAATTTACTGCCTCACAGTATAACAGTTTAATCTTACGAAAACAACACCATTGTATTTTCTCATAACACTACATAAACATTTAAAGCCGATTTAAATTTAATGTCAATCAGTCTCTCTAACCGAACTTGTCTGGAATTAAACAGGCGTATCCTGTATGTCTGGAATTTCTTGTGGTACCTGATCTCCCGTTTGTAGTTCTGGTAGTCGGGTCGCTTGATTAAGGAATGTTCCACCTTGAACACAAGGATTCTGTCTCTGGATGTGATGCTGCCTCGGTTGTTGTATTGCGTTGGGTCTCCGTCTTTGTGGACGTCTTACTTGCGTTGAAGGTCTGAACAAGGAGAAGATATGGGATATCTTCAGCTTTAAGAACTGTCTAAAACTTGTAACCATCAGAGAGTAGACGAAGAAGTTAGCCATGATGTTAAGGTATTGCAGGTGCACAACTGCTCGCAATGTAGTGGGGCTTGGCACTTGACTAGATGTTACCACCATTACAGGCCATGGTAGGTTGGAGGATAACAGGACTCCCACCGTGAGTAGCACAGTTAAAACCCCCTCCCACCGCAGTCTATCTCCGTGGCGAACAGCTGATAACTTTGCCACCACCAGGAGAAGGAGTGATGAGACGACTAATGTGGCGAAGGAGAGCATGGCAACCCCACCTACAGCGATAAAGGATATCCAGTACCATGCTGGAATATTGGGGACAAAATGATCATAGTTGCAATGATAATCCTGGTAACTAAAGTATAGGTTGTGTCTTAAGTAGATCACATTCCCAATAAGCACGGGAGAATACAAGCCCAGAGTCAGTAACCATGACACTGCTACACAGATTTTGTGTCCTAGCCGTGATGACCAGGGTCCAGTTTTCAGGGGGTACTTCACGACGAGGAGCTTCAGTGTTGTAAATGCGCATGTTAAAAGTACGGTCACAACTACACTTGCTAATTTTATATTTGCTTCAACATGACAGAGAAATCCACCTAGAACCCAGCGATCAGTTGTTAGAGCCAGAGTGCGGGGTAACACAATGAACACGGTTTGTGTGAGATCACAAACAGCCATGTGCTGCATAACGGCTACTATGACCTTGTGGTGTTTGACAGCATTATATTTGCTAGTTGCTATCAGGATGATACTGTCCCCTATTAGAGAAGCTAGGAGAACTGTAAGGCTCCATATAACCAAAACTGCTCGCTCGGTTCTATTTTTAATTCTATCCGCGAGAAATCTATACTGGATAGCGGAGTTGTGAGTGGAGTCATCTGCAGGTGATGCGTTTCGGGGAATTATCTGTTCACTATGAACTGTAGAGTTTTCATTTGGAGATTGATTGTCCCAACTTTGATTTTTCCTCCTAGACTCGGTAACAGCCACTTTTCCTCTGTATCCAACTTCTTTCTTGTCCGGTTTCATGGGACACTTTGTCTTATCATCAAGATCTGCAGCCATCAAAGTTAAACTGGCCCAGCCGCAACTGTTCCAAAGTGTTATGACAACCGATATTAGCAGTGCTTTTCGAGTAAAATTGCTGAATATCATCATGTACTTATAGCTATAAGCTTCCTGGGAAAATTGAGAAAATTTAATTTAAAAATCTTACTGTATTATGCAAAATAACTAAATTTGATTTTAAAATGTCTTGACACCACCCGCGATTGGTTTCTGGTTATAAAACCCATGTAACATCATCAACAAATGATAGCAGAGAGTAGTAGGTAGAATTAGGTAGAATTATGTACAACGAGGTATTAACCGATATTAAGCGTCCGACGGGCGGGCTAGTACTCATAAATCTGCCAGCTTAGGATAAACATATTTTTACTTTAAAGAAAATATCTTATATCTAAAAAAATGAGTATGCTGAATCTTATGACCCAAATGAAATTCACGACTTAGCAAAAGCTTAATAATTGTCAGGACAATTTAGAAATAAGAAATTAGAAATAATTTGAAATTTGAAATTTGAAATTTGAAAAGAGCAGAAAACATGAAATAATGATCACGACGCATTATTATTGGAAAATTTGACCCACATTACTGATTACGCAAAACTAATCTTTCTACAAATAATGGTACAGTAGAAGTTTAGTAATAGTAGGTGGGGTAAATGAAATTATTGCTGTGCCTGCTTCATTGTGATGTCTGTATGACGGGGGAGCTGGTTCTTCCAATATCTCTACTCAATGTAATATTTCCTGTAATCGTAAACCTTTTCTCGTTCGTCTAAAGAAAACACAGTATTATCATCTGTCCATAGAAATATAATACAGGAAAACAGCAGTAAATATCAAGGTTCTGATTATGCAGAATAATCAAAATACTAATAAGCTAATAGTTTCTGTCATTTTTTGGACGCTGGAGGCCCTAGTGTAAATCTTCAACACTGTCTAATCATAAATGTTAAACATCTTGAAGAAAAATAACAAAAATCATTTTATCTGCTGGCGCTGAAGAACATTTTACTATATTTTGCTGAAAACACCGATATAAGCACATTTGTTTATTACTCGTGAATGATGATATCGCCTAGGACGGGGGAATTAGATGCAACGACCATTATTTCTCAGTCAACATTTTGTTGGTTATATTGACATTAATAGACATAAATGCCCAATATAATAAATGTAATTTACATAAATAATCGTTGAATAATAGTTATACCCCTATTTTGTCGAGGAGATTCCTCTATGAGTATGGTGCACACTATGTATGTAGGATATCATTGTCTCACCCTACGCAGATTGCAAGAGATCACGTACAATTTCGCTGGTCGATTCTTATTGGTTGTATATTATAGTAAAGACACTCACTACTTTCTCGTCTGCTCACTGCTCGTTGGTCATTGGTTGGGGGCTCAATATATTATTGTTATTATTTCATGGTGCAGTATAATAACTGCAGTAGTCGGTAGTCCCCAATCCCCATCTACAACGCGGTCCCCCAGTACAATGTACAACGTGGTTTATTTTGGGCAAAATTTTTCATCCCATTTTATTTTGAGTGAACGGAATAACATACTGCGAACGAAATAACATCAAAGATCCTGCCATATCTTTCATTTCGTTTATATGGTGCTACCTCAGCTCAACAGCAATAAGCAACCACATACAAGATCATCTTATTCTTCAATCATGTCTCCACTCTCCATCGTTGATCGTCCCTAAAATGCACAATAGCTCCCATGTGCATGTTTGAAAGCTGTTTTTAGCACGAAAATAGATGACCCATGTTTATAACGCGGTCTCCATGACAACGCGAATTTTTAAAGCTAAATCTTTCATCCCAAAAACTGCGTTATACTTATAGGGCGGAACACTAATTAAATAAATACTAATTGGGCATCATTCCAACCAATCAGAACGTGTGTGGTTAAACAGGCAGGTTAGCCAGTTAATATAATTATATGGGAACAACGAACACTTTAACAAGAATCAAAGCTCCTCATATTTCATCGTAAACTTATCTTTAAAAGTCTTGTTTGATTAATTTTCTTCGAAATTATACTCTAACTTTGAGTGATACTTTTGCTAATATTCCAGTTTGCTGTGCCATGAAATAAGAAGACGTAGCTTGTACAATGTACCTCAACTTAAGAAAGGATCATGACGGTGTTGGAGACTCAGAGTGACTTGTATATAATGTGTACCATTCGTCTTCAACTATAATGCAGCTCCTAGTTCAGTATGGGGTCAAGCACACAACAGGTATATGACGATGAGTAGGGGGATCTTTATCAAACCGAAGCTTTTGTTTTGCATGCAATTGCATTGTGAGTGATTTATTCGATGATGTTATTGTCGAAACTCATCCGGAATTGTTGTAAAATATTTTGAAAGTTGTTGCTCTTCAATCATAAATCATTGAAACTTTTAAAATCATCCTAACTGCTTAAAGTTAGTTAGGATGATTTTACATTGAAGTCGACTATAAGATGTATAATGACTATCGCCCTGCCAAATTAGGAATATTCTAAATTAATAATACAATGGGTTCTTGCTTGTATCATAGTTTGACTGGTCGATCGTGTGTATTAGTGGCTAAGTGGCTGCTACCTTTGATTGGACCATAAAAATTAAAAGGTTCGAAGTGAGAGCTTTATAGTCTGACTATTAAGCTCTCACTTAGTCACTATTAGTCAGGCACTGAAATGGAACGTAATTTTTAAAGAGTTTCAGTTGACAGTCAGCTGATCTATCAATTATAAATCACCTGAGAAAGCCTCTGATCCATTATTTATTCACTATTTAAATAGATTAACAGTTCACACTGAAAACAGGTCAATCAAAGGTCTCATAATTTAAAAGTGGCTGAGGAAATTTGACGGTTTCTATTGATTTCATATAAAGGGCTAAATTGTGACACATTACCCCTCTCGTAGATTATTACATTTGATGAGAGCAATGAATCTTAGTTTGTGGATCTGGTTAACTTATTTTCCGCACCACGGTTCCGTTCTCTGTTCTATTACTGCTATTGAAGTCAACTGGTACAAGTTGAAAAATATATAAATACTTAATCGCACTTAATTGACCTAATTAATACCGCACTTTTTGCACCGTCGACCGATATTCGGTGTTCGTTCTTCTATTCAATTTGTGCACTTAGCACCGCTGCGTGCAGTGAGATAAGATCGATATGCCCACAATTACTGTGGTAATTAGGGTCAAACGTTTTTCATGACGTAACATCGGAAAGGATTTAGGATAATTACTTTAAAAATCAGGAAAAACTCATATAATTAAAATAATTTTCTTCCCAAAATATTCCCAAAATATTCATTATTCTTATTATCAGATGGCTAGTTGATATTGATAATGTCAAATGTAACGACTTTCAATATTATCGATATCACACTATTTGTAAAATATTACCGCACCTACAATTACAAGTACAAGTTGCCTCTACTGATTGAGTGATCACGCTGTTTTAAAGTCTGCGACACTAGATACGTTCCAAGTCCGTAAAAAGTCATCAACGTCATGTACATAAGATCACTATTAGTATTGCGCAAGCTATCAACTATCGTTGGTGATCAGATATTTCTATTTTATCTTCACTTTTTAAGCTTGAGTGCTCGTAATTGTTTGAACAGTAGAAGCCACTCTCCATTTGACGGTTAATGATAATTTTATTTCTCTCCGTTTTCCATTTACTCAGTTTCATGTAGGGATGTTCGTGATGTTGCTTAGGAGTGATGTTGATGACGTGACGTGAGAACCTGCAGAAGATACACAATGCAACTTTCATCATCATACTCCTCTGGTATATCAATATGGTGAGTACTTCTTTCAGCTATTTATTTCTTCCTTATTACATTGTGTATTGATAATAGTAATTTTCAAAATCAGACATTCCCGTCTCCAGGAAATGATACAACTTTTAACAGACAATTTAAGTAGAGAAAATTTACT